CCATATACATCCGTCAATTTTTTTCTCGCTTGGACAGCATTTTTACCTTTTCTGAAGTAAAAAAGTAAAATATGACGAAAATGCTGCTTATTGCTCTCCATATTTAAAAGGGCACCAACCCTAAAACTACTGCGTAGAATTAATAGAACTTTTTCACACACAAGCCTTGCAATATCAGCTCTGAAGACATATAATGGTTATGCGGCTTAAGTGTGAAGTTGGTTTCGAAGAAACGTAATGAAGTACTCTGACGGGAAAAAACGAAATGACTTTCCGAACAACCTTATACATTAAATGTTTCAAATAATCGGTCATTTTCTTTTGAATTTTTTTAGTATGCCAATACGCGTCTCGTACTTTGGCTTGTATTTTCACCATTTCTTCGAGAGGGGCATCTTCCCCATGATACATGAAACATTTCTCTAGCAGCTTTACGTAATATATGGCTTGGTGAATGGTTGGTGATGGTCCCAGATCAACTTCTTCATCTTCTTCTTCCTCTCGGTGCTCTTCCTCACCCTTTCTTGCTTGTTGTAATATGGCTTCCTCTGTCAAGTCTGCTGTTGTAGGCAAGTCCTGATATATCACCATAAAATCTTGCAACTCCTCACTTGTAAACGTAATTGTTGGTTGAAACTGCTTTATCCACTCGCTTAGTGACTGATCGATCATCTTCCAAGTCTTGTTCGCATTCTGTCCCGGTAATAAGTCCTGCATGACGATAGGAGTGTTGAATTGTTTCTGCTGTCACCTCTTTCCAAGCCTTACTAATAAAGTTGACTGCATCTAGCATATTAATGGAAAATTTGTCCAAGAGGAAGAAGAAGATGCCCGTCTCGAAGAAATGGTGAAAATACAAGCCAATATACGAGATACGTATTGACATACTAAAAAAATTCACAAGAAAATAACCGATTATTTGAAACACTAAATGTAGTTCTTAAATATTTATATAAAATGTTCCTAAGTATATAATTAAATATTATGGAACACATATGCGTATTGTTATTTTTTAAGCGCCTATAACTCTTTATAACGAAAAAAAGAAAGCAGTCCCTTCAAATTCGTCATATAGAGTCTCGACTGTACTTGTTAAATTTTGCGTCTACAGCAGATATCTTGCCTTCAAAGTATATTTCTTTTTGCTTAGTCGCTTACTTCGTTTCTTGGAGCTTTATATTCATTAAATCCTATTGCTGTGCAACCGATCCCTTTCCTGAATATTTAAGTCGATTTCTGGTGTCCACCATTTTTTTTTTCAGTAGAGGTGCATATCTGTCAATTAATAAATTAAAAGTCTGTTTTTAAATGTTCAGCGATTGTAAAAGAAAAAACGATTTACGACGCAGAACGTAATAAAATCAAAACTAACCAAGGACCCAGAAGTCTCGCGTTTAATTTTCAGAGATGGAAATCTAATTTACGTATATATATATTCGGTTCCCAGAGCGAGAACAATGCGCGTCGTACACCGTTACTCCCACAAAACGGTACATTTATCCGCCGGGAGCTGAAAATCGCGCAGCCTTTGCGTTATTGCAAAACCGAAATGTCGGAGAACTTTCACTGTTGCCCACACCGACGAACAGGTTGATTTTTTTTCCTTCTATAGCTGAACCGAGGCACGGATAATACCGCAATCGCTTCTGGCAAATAGTTTTTCGTCGGTCCGTTTGCTATTCGGATCATTTTTATAGCGAAATAATAACGAAAACGATCGGAATATTCAAGCGCTACTTTTCTTGGCCCATTAAGATCCCATAATGGTCGTAAAACTAATAAATCGCTATGAATGTTCAAAATATCAGTTGTGAAAAGTCCGTCCCTATCAATACGTCTTGCGCAAAACATTTTATTGTGGTGAAAGTTTGCAAAAATACGTTTACAGCAAAAATGGTTCAGACAAAAATTGTTGATCATCTCTACAAAAAAAAGATATACATAATACACACTAAATTCTCCAAGGACGAAGTCAGCTACTCAACATTAACCCAACACAATTAATCTATATATTATACACCTTTTTGACAATACAATTTGTAACGAGATAACCTGTACTATAGAAAAATAAAATAAAAACAGAAGAACGTAATAATAGAAATAACTCTGTGATTAATTAAAAGACGAAAAACCCAATCAGCACTTTATGTATCTAATAACATGCCTTTAATATTCTTCCGAAATAGTTTTCAAGATGGATAAGGCAAAGAAGTGTACACATGCCTGTGTTGAGCCACAGTGTTCTCCCTAATATTTCATTATAGGTTTCGGAGCGAAAAACTAGCTTATCTTTTAAATAGAAGACTTTTTAGGGGACATGTGGTCGATCATATTTCCTTAAGCCATACACAAACATACGTGGTCATATTTCCTTAAGCCATACACAAACATACGTGGTTATATTTCCTTAAGCCATACACAAACATACGTGGTCATATTTCCTTAAGCCATACACAAACATACGTGGTCATATTTCCTTAAGCCATACACAAACATACGTGGTCATATTTCCTTAAGCCATACACAAACATACGTGGTCATATTTCCTTAAGCCATACACAAACATACGTGGTCATATTTCCTTAAGCCATACACAAACATACGTGGTCATATTTCCTTAAGCCACACACAAACATACGCGGTCCTATTTCCTTAACATACGTGGTGATGATCCGAGGTGTCAAACGCTTTGCTATAGTCCAAGAGTATGAGACAAGAGTTTAATTTAGAATCCGCTGCCCTCAATAAATCATCAGTAACATGAAGCAAGGCAGAAATAGTGCTGTGAAGAGGTCGAAAAGCAGATTGAGTGTCTGGGAGGATTTTGTTATCGCATAGGAACTGACGAAGTTGTTTAGCTGCAATTTTTTCAATAATCTTTGATTGGTCTAAAATCATTAATGCTACTTGGACACCCTTTCTTTGGGACGGTTATAACTTTAGCAATTTTAACAAGATTGCTTTCGAAAAATCGTCGGTGAGCGGGAAGTTCGTCGCAAATAGCGCGAATCACCTTTTTTATTTTAAATTCTTGTAGGCACGCAATGTTTTTCTATCGTGCTCTTGCGGACCACTATGGAATTTTCGCAAAATCGATGTAATTTGATTGGACAAACAGGTAGATCCTTCAAGAACCGCATTAACGAACATAAAAGAGAGTTTAAAAACAATAGTCTAGATTCTAATTACGCTACACAGAAAAACACATTTTTGACGCAAATTTTGATATTTTACATACAGCCACAAAAAGTAAAAAATTAAATTTATTGGAGATTAACAAAAGGAGACATTCAAATGTGTTGGTTAACGATCGGTTAGATTTAAGTGCCTCTTAACATTAAATACGGTTTTATTGTCATTTATTGTCGGTATATATAGTAGCAGGTAGTTTGTAAATATTACATTTGATAAAGACACGGTGTTGTCCAACCAGTTGCCATGTCAAAATATATAATTTCTTGCAAGCAAACAAAAATCAGTTTCAATTAAATTCCCAAATCCAACAGAAGGAATCGTTTTTGTCGAAATAAAAACGAGAGCTATTAGTGGGACATCCGGTCCAATGATTAACGCTGTAATCGTATTTAAAGGCGATTAAATCGGGAGATTATCTTGTTAGCGGACTTCCAGGTCACCGAGTAACGCTCAGGTCCGTCGGCGATTTGACTCGCGGCGGTTTATTAGGCGGTCAATTTCCTCGTATCGATTAGAATTATATTATAATCAGCATATCCATAACTCGCCTTATTCGCTGGAGTCCTAATTTTTGAAAGAAAGAATATATTTATGGGAGCCATTGAGAAGAAAGCAGTCGACATCTTCCATCTAAAACCAAAACTATGGAAATGCATCATAAAATACACTTAACCATAACCCTGTTTGTTGTCCTTCCTTACATTGAAAAAGTCACTGACCACATATCAAAAGTTCTTAAGAAATATTCCTAACGGAGGTTGGATATTATCATGGCTAAGCTAATATTGTTAACAGCTGCTATGAATAGTTGGTTTGGTGTCGCACCACACCATTCCTTTAAGTTTTTGAGCCACGAGGTTTCTTCTTCTCCCTTGACACCTTCTGTCCTTAATTTTTTCTTCCATAATGTTCTGTAGCATCCCAGGATTTACCACTTGGCCAAAAATCTCTCAACATATTTGATTCGTCAACGACAAAATTCAGTTTCAGATACCAGGCGGCAGGGAATACGAAAAATATCAACTAAGCTCCAAGAACATGAAGAGCGTCAAGGCTAGGATAAGATTCGACGAAACTGAAATTCTTGCACGTAATCAACGAAAAATCCGAGAATTTTTTTTCTTAACCGCTGGAACTACGTCCTAACATAGGTTTTATAATCTCCCATCTTAAATTTTGTTATCGATAGAAAATCAGACCTAAAGAAATACAACCCCACACCGCATATCAAAAGTTGTCCAAAATTCTCTGAACATCCTCCACCAGGAGTTTGTAGTGTTCCAGCATATAAAACCGGACAATGATCACGTCCCTCCTTTAGCTCCGCCTCCCTCTCAGACCGTATATAAGCAGGTACTGAGTAGAATGCAAACTAGAGATACTAAAAGATTCTCGCAAGTCAATTATCTTTATTTTTTGTTTACACCACTTATTTTAATTAATTCTAAAGCTACAAGGCTTATATAGCTGAGCTTCGGACGATTTGTGAGTTGTGTGTGTTCCTTCGCAGGGTATTTGTTTGATACGCTCTTTCTCTTGACTTTGTTCTGTATGCTCTTTCCTGAGACTCTCTGATGAGAGAATTCAGTGTATCTTTAAAGGTAGACCGTTATCGAGTATCGGGATTTCTACGCTTAAACTGTATATATACTGTTTATAATCAGCGATCTGTAGTACTTTGTCACTTCTTGACTATTTTGCAGACCTCCCAAAATAAATTTTACATACGAACGCGAATAACTATATGTTGGAATGATAGATAGATCAGATACGCCCCTATTCATTTCCTTTGATTTTCATTACAGTACAGTCTCAGGCAGCAGGACCTCTCGCTCCTCTCCCAGCTGTGGTCCTTGAACGAATCGATTCAAGACTTCCGACAGATGCTGCAGGACCAAGAGGACCGGATCTTTTCGCCTCCGTCTCCGTCACCCGCGCCCTCTTCAGCGGACGAAGAGGAATTCTACATGAGCGCCACCTCGGTGGGGTTCAAGTCGATGTCGAGCGTTCCCGGGAGGAAAATGAGCGGCAGCAGTGGTGCCAGCGGCAGCGTGGGTTAGAGCTGTGCCGCTAACGGATTATTGAGACTGTGATTTAATTGAAATTTTTCCTTCGTCGTATATCTAAGGTGTGCTGATGGAAGTGTTGATCGTGAATGTGGTCTTTTGCAGCATTGTAAAATTTTTAGCTAGTCAGTTTGCCTAGGCTGAAGCTGAGATTTATAAAACATTTTCGTACTGCGATAATAAACGTAGTAGTAGTTACATTTTGGGTGGTCGTAAATAATCGCAATTTTCATCTCGGGGTTTTAACAATCACTGACACGCCCAAAGGCATTATATCCAAGCGTACCATACAAAAATCGATAGATGTCAGCTCGGGTAGTTTTAACTCTAAAAATATTAATTGCAAACGCCCGCGATTCTCAAATTCCTAACTAACCAAAACTATTACACTAATGGAACAAACATGGAGTATTGATAAACGGAGGGATTAAGACACGTAGACGCTACATTATCCCAACTAAAAAGAAATAAAGGATTGTGTGGATGTATATGTATATGGTCGTTTTATACGGGCTACCATAATATTATTCGCAAATCTACTGGGTTCCTTCTGCTTGGTCTCTTTACCAATCCAAACCAAACTTGCTGACGTTTCGCCAATCATCATCATCCAAACTGGCTCGCATTTTACTCTGCACCTGTTTATATATTGGTTGAGGGGCCGGAGGACATTAGTCACAATGTTCACACCCTCCTATAACTCCGCCCACCTCAGACCTTATATCAGCAGGAACAGAACAAACTGCACAGGATTCCAGAAGATTTGTAAATAATAAAAGCATACCAAAAATATAACCGATGGAATAATAGAGACCGTGGAATTCCAAGACCGCATTATTTTGCCAAGACGGATGTTAAACGGCATAAAAGAAGATGGGGCCTATATACAGAGGATTATCCTTAGGCCTAATTAGATAGAAGACCGCATTTTAAACGCACGTGATTTCTGATATTTCTAATTTCGTGTGGATATAATGTCTTTGCAACTAACAACAACGAAAAGCCGATTGACAAAACCAGCGAGCTCTTTTATACATTGAAATATTAAATTGGCGGTTTTCCCACATAATGTTTTGTCTGTCATCGAAAAATTGGCTCCGGAAAACTACTTGAAATGTACAGTGCAAACCCTATTCGATTAGTTCATTTGTACCTGATGTATATTCGATTTTTATTTGAACTTGTAACTCGTGGTCGCGGAAAATTTTCATATTCCTTTTTTTATATATATATACCATAAATATACCTACAACGCCATATGTTATTTGGTAATCCGGATTACATTGGCTTGTGATAAATTTATTTTCTGTTAACTCACTATATCACTATGTTAGGCCTAAGTTCGCTAGTATTCGATTTGAAAAATAAAAATCAAAGAAAATTAATCGGGTCGTTTCATTGATGTTTTATTTAAATTGCAAAATAACACAATAAACTTATTCGTATATCACATCACCGATTTTACCCGATGTCCCTCAAATACGGCTTCACGTAAAATTGCTTCAACAGCAGCCACAAGAACGCTTTGCTGTTGCGAAGGGAATTGCCGGGATCCTGAATCTACAGACCAAATTTCGAAAGTAAATTGAAGGGCTTTGCGCTGGTAATAACGTAAAATTACCTGATTCAGAGCTAATACGGCGCAGTCTTTGATTTTACCCTGCGACTGCCCGAAATCCAGTACCATCAAAACTTTGGAACATTCGGTGTTTCCCCCCGGTTGTCCCGCCCCGCATGGGGCGTTCCCTGTCCGTCGCACGGTCTGAGGATGGCCTTTCATCTCGGGCAACTGGGCTAAAATGTAGCCGCCCAAAGCCCGGCAAAGGAATCTAAAACTAGGGCGGGGTGACAATATAACTCGAACGAATTAGTACTCTGGACGGCTTACTTCACGCTTACGCACTCCTGTCTCGCCATACCGATGGCACTTAAGATGCCCCGCCCCCAGCGGCTCCCGGACTTGTCCTCGGACATATGCAGTAAAATTTGCGCGAATTTGTAAAGCAAAATGGCCGATCCGGTTTCGTCTTTGTCGCAATGATCCAGGGCGAGTCGTAAAATTGTAAACCAGACTAGAGGGATCTTTGGTTCAGTCGATTCGCTAAAAGGAGAAATACTTGGAGGCCCTCCACTTTCGAAACCAAATATTGTGACCTTGGGTATCGAAAAAAGGTAAACACCGCTATAGTGGATAGATCTTAATTAATGAAAGATCATCTTGACAATCGCAGAGACAATTGAAAAAAACAAAAATATAAATTTTAAACTGAATTAAAAGTGGTAATTAATTTTACGGTTAAATTGCGTTTTTCATATAATACATCAAAAGAACGAATTTTTGGCATCACAAATAGGGGCAGCTCCATTTAGAAAATACTATACTTGAGCTACATCTCGAAAATGGTTTATTGGAGAAAAAAAAGGATTCTACATCACTACCTATTGCAGTTTTTACAGTTGTTCTATCATACAGGGTATTTGTAACACAATACCACCCCAAAAGGGCAAAATTTCTATTTCACCCTGTATCTCGGGGAACAAAACAAAATGTCATAATTCTGTTTACGAAAAACTAACAGCTTGTGATTACAAGTAATCTGGGACACAATGTATGTATGTAGGAAAAATTTAATATCCTAGACCGAAAATGCTAAGCAAGAAGGTTATAGTCAAGTTTTTTGTTTTGTGACAGGCGTGTGTCATTAGCATTAGTTGGTAGGAAAACGACAGTTGAAGTTCGTTAGTCGACGTAAACAAATCAATAAAATAATAAAATTCTTATTGGCTTTTTCAAAATTAACCTAATAAGGTTCAGAAATAACATTTTAAAAAATATATACATATATAAAAAATTAGGATTATTAAAAATGTCGAAAAATTTTATGTGAAAAAGTTGTTCCTCGTTCGGTTTATTTCAAATGTGCAATTTTCCGAAAAATGTTGCAGAAACTCGGTCTTTTCGGTCTTGGTAATCGACGAATCGTTCATGCAAAGTTAATACTTTAACATTTGCACGTACTAAATTTAATAATGTCCAATGGCCAACTCATCCTAGCAGTCGCGGCCAAGCAAAGAAGAAGAAGACAAAGACGAATACCGCACAACCTCCACCGGACAAATCATTAAAAAAATGCAGAGAGTGGTAAATTGAATCCAATAAGAACTGTCACTTAAAATCAACATGGGCGCTGACAGTTTTGGGAGATTCGACGGTTTTCACGTACAAAAACCCAGTGTCAAGTATGTACTGTCGCTTCCCTCACAAAACGACAACCTCAATCAAAAAATTTTAAAAAAATCTAAACAACACACAAATTAGTTATTGTAATGCTATTAGATCCTCTGCCATCATCCTGTTGCCTTCTTCGCAGCTCCAATAAAACTGGATCGTATTCTACTCTGTAGCTTCTTATATACGGTCCGAGGGGGGCGGAGAGACATGAACTGACGACTGATTTCCATAATGGCGAAAGTTTGAATGAGGGTGAATAGAAAGTGACTCCTTTCACCAATACTGAAATCCGAAACAATTTTTATGCCCCTCCTTTAGCTCCGCCCCCTACAGACCGTATATAAGAAGGTACAGGATAGAATAAGGGGCAGTTTTAGCAAACAGGCGAGGCATCAGCAACACACGCAGTGCTGAAATATGTACGTACTTAACCTTGACACGTTCGATGCATTCGATGCACGTGTTCAAAACTGCCTCCTTATCGGTGCACTTCTGAGCGCGCTGCATCAGCATCACGTTCAGTGTCAACACGGAGCCGCTCGTCGTGAGTACTTCTTCCAACTCCGTTCGTTTCGAAGACTGTATCGTCGTCTCACGGACAACTTCTTGCCACGTAGGTTCCGCGCAATTTTCGACTGCAATACCGCGACCAAAACTCAATTTATCGGTTAAAAACAAAACGTTATAACCTCAATAATTAGCGAAAATTTAACGATTGCCATTGCTGAAGGGAATGTTGGTCACGAATCGTGTGCCTTGGTCAAAACCACGATCAGTAGACACGAAACACGCTTTTTATTGATAGGATACTTTCAAAAAATGTATGTAATTTAGGAAAATTCGCAGCAATGACAAGAACAAAAAATATTCTGCGGAATCACCCATTATAGCAGTTAATAACTACATAAGTATTACCTAAGCATTGGTATTGTTGAATTCAAGAAATCCACTTGCTTAGTTTCGGTTAGTTTTGTGATTCTCATTGACAAACAAATAAGACTTATAGAAATTCTTAATAAAAAATACAAAGGAACAATGAAAAATATGTCCGCTTTGATTTTACAAAAAAATTTCCAAATATAATAAAAGATCTGCGAAATATCAAACTTCCTAACTAAATGTGTTATTACTACAAAGAAAATTATTTAATTAAAATTGAAGAAAAGGAAAAATTATCAAAAATAGATCGGCTTTGATAAAATTGAAAAGCACTTTTTGAAAAAAAGGAAAATGTTTTATTTTTAATAGTTTTTTTAATTACAAACAATCAGAATTCCATGCCATATTTGTCAAACGTGCACGTCTCTTTGAATAAAAAACTTAATTAAAATTGAAGAAAAGGAAATCAGAAAAAAATTGCACATAACCTAAAAATTATTTTTCAAAATCTGTGAAATCTTTAGAAACCCCATGAAATCCTGACGAACAATCGAAATTGCAAACTAAATCTTTAAAGAACCCGGGAAATCTTGGTGAAATATCGAAATTCCTAACTCATAGTGTTACACTTTTTTAGGAATAAAATTTACTTAAAATTGAAGAAAAAGAAAAAAAGCAAAAAAAAAATTGAAAAATATGTCCGCTTTCATAGAATTTATAAAATTTATATTGAATAACTTAACATTGACACTGTCAATACACCGTCCCACTGTTTGAAAAACTATTTTTACGTAATAGATTTTTAATTCCACATAACCTAAAAATTATTTTTCAAAATCGATTGATGTGGAAGATTATTTGGAAATCTGTGAAATCTTTAGATAACCCGTGAAATTCTGGAAAACAATCAAAATACCAAACTAAATATGTCAAACGTGTACGTCTCTATGAAAAACAAATACTTAATTAAAATTGAAGAAAAGGAAAAACATTAAAAAATAAAAATAAAATTTATATTAACCACTGACACTGACAATACATTTTTTCCAGTTTCTAGAAAATGATTTTAAGTGTATTTTTTATTTTTGCTTCACAGTTTTTTAATCACGAGAGAAATCGGAAACAAAATCCACATAACCCAAAAATTATTTTTCAAAATGTGTAAAATCTTTAGAACACCCGTGAAATCCTGACGAACAATCGAAATTCCAAACTTAATATGTTAAACGTGTACACGTCTCTATGAAAAAAAATACTTAATTAAAATTGAAGAAACGGAAAAACGTGAATAAAAAAATTATAAAATTTTCTTTCTAACTTAACACTTTATTAATTACGACAGAAACATATAAAAATGTTTTTGAAAATCAGTGAAATCTTCGAAAAAACCGTGAAATACTTAATCAAAGTCGAAGAAAAGGGGAAAAAAATTAGAAAAAATTATAAATATTATATTTGCCATCCCCACTTTCCGAACAAACATTTCGAGTGTATTTCTAATTCTCATAACCAAAAGGTTCCTATATTATCGATCGAGTTATTACTTACAAACGTTGCAGAAGTAAGAGGTCAACGTCGCTTCGCAGAGTTCGGCCAGACACTTCGGATCGTCTACGCAGAGGCCGAGCGTGCGCAGCAGCGACCTCAGCGCCATCCCGTCGCTAGGTTTGTTCTTAATCCATTTGACGAAGGCCTGAGTCGCGGCGACCCCTACGCCGTCGATATTGACCACGGCCGTCCATTCTCTCAGCAAGGTGTCGAATTCGTCGCGAGTATCGACGACGCGTTCCAACTCGTTCAAACGGTCGAAGACGACGTTATGGATCTCGTTCTGACGCGATGCGATCGCGTTTTTGCGTCTGCCCGCGTATATCGACAGCAGCTTCGCCACGGTCCTCACGTAGATTTGCCTTTTGGCGAGCAGCGCGGGCGTCATTTCCGGCCAGGTCGCGTGGTAACCCGCGACAGTTGCCAAGAAACTATAAAATATCGATGCCGATAGCGACAGTTGATGTTGATGTCTTCAGTACTTAAATGAAACCGCATCTATTCTATACGTGCTCATGTACGGACTGAGGTGGGCGGGGCCTCTATCTTATACCTGCTTATATACGGTCTAAGGCGGGCGGAGCCTCTACTTTATACATTCTTATATACGGTCTGATGGAGGAACAGGATTCCCACTTACGAAAAATATCAACCAGACTCAAAGAACATAAAAATCTTGAGACTACGACGACAAATGAACTCATCAACAGTTGCCGAACACAATCACGAAACCGGACATCAAATTTTATTCGGTAAAACTAAAATTCTTGCATGTAATCGATTCAAGAATCCATAGAATCCATATTGACGCCGCTGTTGATGTCTTCAGGACTTAACTGAAACCTGATGTGGGCGGAGCCAAAGGAATAACATGATTCCCGCTTACGAAAAATATTAACCAGGCTCAAAGACGTAAAAGCCTTAAGACTACGACAATTGAACGCATCAGCTGATGCCGAACACGATCATTAAACCAAATAAAATCTTATTCGATAAAATTCTTGCAGAAACCATAGAATCGATAGAAATCTATAATCGATAAACCAAACCAAAGAAGCTCGGGCCAAGATACTGGCGATTACTTTTTCATAATAGGATCTAGGATTGGTGAACGCTGTAGACACAAGAGAGGCCTTATTCAATATGCAAGTTTTACTTGATATAAACACCGCCAAAACCAAACTTCTAATAAAAAGTAAGCAAGACATCAATGGGGCCAATCTATACATAAACCAAACAAGAATCCAAAGAGTCACACAATATAATTACCCGGGAACTATTATTAATGAAACTAACACTGCTTTCTCAGCTATGGGTCAAGCATTCCAAAGACCAGAACTTCTCACTGGAAATAAAGAAAAGACCCCTCACGTGTTACGTGTAAAACAGGAAGATCCGCTAAGTCGCCCGCCCTGTCATTTTATAACAGCTAAACGTTTTATAGCAAAATATTTATCAAGTGCTTGTAAGAAGCCGTTGATTTTATAAAAGTTTTTACAGTTCTACAATGAGATTAAAACTTTTACATGGAACTAAAATCTGGTCACCGCAATTATACTTTTATAAGATTCTCCATTGAAGTGCTATAGAAGCCTTACAAAAATAATAAAACGCGTAAACTAAAACTAACCAAAACTTGTTTATTATTTCAAACAAATGAAAAGTAAAGGCTTTATATGGCACTAAAATGTGAACACCGTTATTATAACTTTATAAGATTCTCCATTAAAGTGCTATAGGATAACAAAACAGGTAATCTAAAACTATCCAAAACTTATCCATTATCGCAAATATTTTTAGAACTAAAATTTAATCACCGTTATTGTTCTTTAAAAAGATTTTCCATTAAAGTGCTATAGCGGTTTTATAAGAATAACACAACAAGTAACCTAAAAGTAAGTAACCGAAACTTATTACTGCAAAAAAATGGAGGGTACAAGTTTTATATGGCACTAAAATTTAATCACCGTTTTTATACTTATATAATTCTTATAATATTCTCCAATTCAGTGATATAACTGTTTCATAAGAAAAATAAAACAGGTAATCTAAAACTAATAAAAACTTATTCATTATTGCAAATAGTTTCAGGAGTAAAAATTTTATACGGGACTAAAATTTGGTCACCGTTTTTATAAGATTCTCCATTTCAGCGATATAACTGTTTTATATAAGAATAATAAAAGTCAATCTAAAACTAACGAAAACTTATTAATTATTGCAAATCAATTATTAGCAAAAGTTTTAAATGTCATTAAAATTTGGTCACTGCTATTACACATTTACAAGATTCTCCATTAAAGTGCTATAGCGGGTCTTATAAAAATAATAAAATAGCTAATCTAAAACTAACGAAAACTAACCAATTACTAAAATTAAATGGTGAGTAAAAATTTTATATGAGAATAAAATTCGGTCACTGTTGTTACACTTTTATAAGATTCTCCATTAAAAAGCTAAATAATAAAATAGTCAATCGAAAGCTAACGAAAACTTATTCATTATACCGATATTATACTTTTATAAGATTCTCCATTAAAGTGCTACAGCGATCTTATAGAAATAATAAAACAGTCAATCTAAAACTAACGAAAACTTATTAATTATACCGTTATTACACTTTTATAAGATTCTCCATTAAAGTGCTACGGCGGGTCTTATAAGAATAAAACTTATAAGAACAAAACTTACGAAAACTCATCAATTATGGCAAATTAAACGGTAGGCAAAAGTTTCATATGGGCCTAAAATTTGATCGCTGCCATTATGCTTTCATAAGATTCTCCATTGAAATGCTACAGCGATCTTATAAGAACAATAAAACAGTCAATCTAAAATTAACGAAAACTTATTAATTTTTGCAAATCAATTAGTAAAAGTTTTATATGGGGCTAAAATTTGGTCACTTCCATTATACTTTTATAAGAATCTCCATTAACTATAGTATACTTATGTTATATGTTAATCAGGTCGCTTACCGCAATAATATGCAATCCAGGTCAAGCGGGTCCCTCTTGAATATGATGGACGCCTCGTAGGACATAACGAGCCAGTCCATGACGTGCTGATAGAGGACAGGGTCTAACGTCGGCCAGTCCAAAGTTTCCGCTTGCACCAGCAGAGCCTTCGCTTTCTCCGAATAGTTCGCCCTTATTTTCGGTTCGTTGATCAGTTTGACGGTTAAGTTGAGGAAACAATGATGGATCCGGCTTTTCACTTGGACAGGGGCGTCCGCATAGTGTCCGAACCAATTCGTCCACGGGACGGAAATGAAAACGTGTCCGAGAAACGAATGACAATCGGGCAAGTATTGATCCACGACCTATTCGCAACGCGTGCAAACTTAATCAACTTCTCGTTATAATTGTTCACGTGATTGATTATAGAATATAGTTTTATATACAGGGTGTTGCAAAACAAATGATAAAAAATTAAGGATGTTCAGTAACAATCGATCCAGAAGATCGTAAATAGTATTATTTACAGTGGCTTGTAGAAGTTTCTTTGAAGAAAAAAAGAGATTCCATTTACTTAAATTGAAGGGTAAATGCCAACCATTAGGGTGATATTGAGATTTTTTAATTTCCGAAAAATTTTCCAAAATATCTATCTACAAATTTTTGTTTAAAACTCACTAATTTATCTTAAAAAGTTAACGGCAAATTGTAAAAGGGGTTTTTCGGACATAATAGTTATGAAATTATAAACAGTCTAATAGGATCATTCTTCACTTATTTACTATATTACAATTTATTAAGTTCTGTTTAAATCACAGTTTACAGTATATAAGTTATCATTTTTGATAAATTTCTTTTTTGATATTGATTAATATTTGTAGACTCAATTGAACTTAATAATTACGAAATGACCAATACAAAATGGCAATCATAGCCCTTCGAGTTGTGTAGATTTTACGCCCTGAAATTTATGACGCCATTACGGAAAGAAGCGAAGCCTGCGGCAAGGTGTCAAACGTCATGGTCCGTGCCAGATAGAAAAATCTAGGTGTGCAAGGTTTTGTGATCTAGGCGCCCAATGTTGAAAAATTCTGTCAAAGTCAGGATTTTTCATTTTAATGTCTGAGTTTTATTATAACTTTAAAAAGAACTTAAAATAATATATCCAACCTAACCGAAGATAACTTTTTCTAAATCCTTTTGCAAGCTGTTTAGCAAACAGACTATAATTCGAACTCACTTTCAGCATACATTCCAAGTCGGTAACGGAGGGCCAAAAATTGTGCCACGGGAATGTGGCAAACAACTGATGTACCGGCAGTAAAACGTGATCTTTGACGGAGACGTGGGCAAACGAGGCTACGTACCACTGCCACAAATAGCTGAGGATACTCGTGGACGCTGAAAACGGGACGAAAGTTAAGGGTATTCTGCAGGATTTATAGGGAAAAAAAGTTTCGAGAGGGTAGTAGCGAGTATGAAATGGAATCTGACAGTGAAAATGAGATTTGGATCGAACCTTTGGAAGATGAAAATAAGACAAAAAAAAGATAATAAATGAAAATATGAACGAGTCAGAAGAATATTATTAAATTGAATTTTTAATTTATAATAAAAAATATTAATATACACCAACAAGCGAGACTCGGTCTACTAAACTTATTGTATATTTATTGTATATTAATTAGGATATCAATATTTATAAAGTTCCTATTTATTTAATGTTTGTATAATAATTCACATTGGTATTATTTATTGCTGTTCAGTTACACAAATACATACAAACTAATAAAATTACCGTCGTAAAAGTCGTAAAAGGTGTGTTGATTTAAAGCTCGAAATTAACGAAATCGGATCTGATTTAATTAGAATAAATTTTTGAAAGATGAAAAAATTTGTGTTTGAATTTGACGACAAAAATGGTGGGGGCATACTTTGTAATTTCGTTTGAAGACTAAAACGAGAGACAAAAAGCCAGAAACAACTAGATAAATTGCATTTTTTCGTTCTTCTTGCTCTACTGATGCCATTATAACACACGAAGAAGACATTAAAAAATCAAAGACAAGGTTCAGTAAATAAATAAAATAATTGCGACGTAATTATGGTTGTAAAGTCAAAAAGTGAACATATCGGTAAAAGCGTTTAATATACTATCACAGAATTTTCAACTCAAAAATATTTCTTATATTGATTAATATATTATATTATTATTGAGTATAATTCAAAAAATATGAATGCCATTTCATAGTACACTAGAAAAATATGATAACAATTATAAAGGTCTTTATTTGAGTTACAGACAATGTAACAGTACGGACTAATAGGATGTTATTAAAAAGGCAGAATTCAGTCTACTAGAGTATATATAAAAATATATACAGGGTGAAAGAAATTGTGCATTTCAATTTTTGTTTTCTTTTCTTCGTTCTTTTGATGGTGAAAATTTTTATTCATCGTGGGTATACGTATGGAGTCAAAGACCAAATTCTTGTGGCATGGTGAAAGTCGAGAAAAAAGGAATGCAAAAATATGAGGCGAAAAACAGAGTTTAGCAGCAATGATTACGTGATGGCTCCAAAATGGAAGTACTAACTACCTACGATCTATAGCAATGAAATGTTCTTCGCTCACTAGTATAAACCAGAAACTGAATGCGAAAGTGCCATTTCCAAAGTTTTGTTGTTTGCTAGAAAGGTAAAGGTTGTTTTTACTAGCTTAGGTAGATAGATAGCAAAACGTAAAAATTGAGAAAAAACAACATGTACGTGTGTTTAAATTGGTGATATTGATCGATGTAACACTCATGTTTTCGGATGAACTATGGTTATTGGAAGTTTATCAATATACATATGGTTGCTATGTCAAGGTTCCCGCTACTAATAATTTTTTTTAGTTCACAAATATGTGACAGGCTACACCCTGAAATTTTTTCGCTGCCAGAATCTGAAAGAGCGAATTTGCCACATTCTCATATTTTTAAGTCGGACACATTCGCAGGCGATGACGTCACGTCGCGTCGAATTTACCGAATCAGATGGGGGGGAAAAAAGGTGCTTACTCGGTAGGGTGTGCAAAACGAAGGTGACACACTCGAAGAACGCGTCCAACATCTTCCGGGCTTGGCCGCTATCGGACGGGATCCATGGAAGAAGTACCGTCCGATCGTCGGCCAATTGTTGTATCCAAGCCGCCATGTTATCCTTCAAGTTGTGCATCGAGTAGGGCACGAGCCAGGGCGCGAACACGTCCCTTATATACGGCCAAATTTTCTCGCACAACTTGTCACCCAACGTGCCCTGATGCGTGTTCAGCATGCTCACGATCAGGGCGTGGCCGGACATCCCCACCAAAAGCACGTACACGTCCATATAGTTGCGGCATTTCGGGTACAACCCGTACAAACCGTACTGAAGGCGCTCTTTGGTGAAATGGCGTGAAAGCAATTCGACAGTGTCCAGCAGCTCCTGGTGTTGAAGGAGACTCTGATGTTGCGCGTACTGCCTGAGCTGATCTCTATTGAAAGGAGAGGGCAAGAGTACGAATACGAATACTTTATTAATGTTACTATCGCAGATGATTGACATACGTCAAACAAAAAGGAATAAAAAAACATATACTTAAAACGTACCAGGTACATTGCAATTGCAAAACTTTACCCCCTCTTTTGGAAAACTACCCCGAAATCCCAATTTCCGATCCGATCTGTTTAGGGTAAAATTAGCGTTTTGATGTGATATATAGCGAAACAAATAACCAGTATCGTCTTTTAGTTTATTTTCTCTTCTACTTCTTCTAGTTTCTTCTCCTAACGGAGGCTGGGTATCATTATGGCTATTCTAATGTTGTTACTTTCGAAAATTGATGAAATCGAATATTTCGAAAGTATCCGCGCTCGTATAAAAATTTCATAACTCGGTAACGGTAAGTCCTACGGAATCGCCGTTGGTACAGAAATGATCAAGGTCGAAAAAATTTTTTTTTGTCTGTCTGTTCTCTGTTCTCGTCTTTTGGTTTTTCTTGAATAACTTTCGAACCGCTGGAGCTAGAAAATTGAAATTTGCCTACTTTTTAACCCTCCACGAGGCACATAAACTTATACGAAATGGCCCTGATTCAACGACGGTATCCATCTTTTTTCCGCAATTTTCGACTGTTTTTTGAACCTTGCTATGAAACACGATGTGTCCGAAATTTAAAGTAATCGACTTCATATTTGGCACATCCATGCAGCTTTGCCCCGTGACGGAACCTATTGGAAATGGGGGGGGCTGGGGGAGTCGGGAAGTATTTAAAAAAAATATAAAAATCGCGTGTGCAAGAGTCTACAAAAAAGACCATTTTTCAAAAATCGTTTACAAGGCATACTTAGGTCCTCTGATCACGTGGCCAAGGTATTCCAATATCCTTCTTTTTAGAGAGTTAATTGTTTCCTCTTGTTCTGTTTCTTCGCCGATAACACCATCTTCCAAATCCATAACTGCCTTTTTCAGTGTCCATGCTTCCGACCCGCAAAGTAGCATTGAAGAAACGTAGCATCGAAGCATTCTTATCCTTAACTCGAAATTTATATCACTGTTGCAAAAAAACTTTTTTATTTTTACAAATGCACTTCTGGCTATCTCTACGTGACATTTGATTTCATTCCATTGTTTCGTATAGCCATGTTCCCAATTATTTGTATTTTCTTACTCTTTCTATCGTTGTATTCTCTGGAACTGTCTTGGAATAACTCCTGATGCGTACATGATGTTAAAGGGATTTACGAGGATTATAATTGTGTCTTTATCTGTAATTTCGTGGCCATTTGCTCTTCCTCCTATATTTGTAGGTAATTTTAGAATCTACCATTTATATCTAAGACGTATGATTAATTTTGTCGATAAAAAACCTGGTTTATTAAGATATTAGATTCACTTAGTTATTATTAAACGTAAACAATAAATGAGGTCGTACCTTAGCGAAGTCTTGGGGTCGATCCTCGCGGGTTTGGACAACGAGTTCAGCACATCCAGCCAGACGGTTTTGGCGATCAAAGCGGACTCGGAGTTTCCGTCGCTAGCGTTCAAAAGACGGACGAGAATTTCCCCGTAATGTTCCGGAAATTGGTGTTCGAAAACTGGAAAAACGGAGCGGTGCCAGTGACATAACGACCCGGATTTTACCCCACCTACCCATCAACAGGTGTTTACGGTAAAGTCCGTGCAGCATGAGCGTCTCTACGGGCGGGTCGTAGCCCAAAACGGTTAGTCCTTTGACTACGGCCTCGATAAACCGCGTCCTCTCGCTCAGTTTCGGTTGTCTCGCGTTCAACCACTTATCGATTTCGAACTAAAATGAAGGGCGAAGGGAAAAAATCAAGCAACGCCACAATCGAGCTAGTAGCGAGGTCGAAAGATGTAATACGGGGGCTTCGCCATGATTTCCCGGCCTGAATATAAAAGAAACAAAGTAGGGTAACAATTTTTTATTATTTTTCAATATAATTTCAATTCACTTATTACATCTCTTTATTAACAACTCAATCCCTTAAAAAAATATATTCTTTCGTCGTTAAACTGCCGTCCACGTAAGTCCTTTTTCAAATATACATACAAATAATAGTCGCTGGGGGCCATATCTGGACTATAGGGAGGATGATCTATCCGTTGGAACCCACACTCTGAAATGGCAGCTTATGCAACAAGACGCCCCTGGTCAGTTTTCCTCGACGTTTTACACGTATGTAGTCTCGCGATTTATGTACTAATGTTGCGTAATATTTACCATTGACAGTGGTATTAGTTTCTTTAAAATCTATCAAAAGAATTCCTTCACAACCCCAAAAGATCGTGGCCATCACCTTTCTTGTTGACTGGCAGACTCTGAATTTTCTTGGAGGTGGTTCACCCTTACGACGCCACTCCATTGATTCTTTTTTCGATAGAGAACCATAGTTTCATCTCCCGTCACAATAATTTCTATCTCAGGCTTCAGTTCCGACACACAGAGTTCCAAAAACACTCGACACGGCGTTGTTTTGGAATAGCAAAGACGTTTTTAGGAACCCATCTTGCAGTAACCTTATGCCTACCTAAATGATCATGCAGGATTCGACGAACACTTGTATCAGAAAGCTTAGTAATTTCTGAGATTTCCTTGACCTTTAAACGATCACTCAATACCAATCGCAACAATATCTTCCGTTATGACCCTCACTGGTCGACCAGTTTTTGAATCATCCCATTCGAAAACGTTTTGCCCATTCTTTCACTACAGAATACGAAGGAGAACTTTGGCCGTACACACCATCTTCTTTTGTCAAATGACTGCTCTATACTCAATTTGCGTTATTTGCGACATTTTTTCGGACACGTCTTGTTTAAAATGCTGTCAATAAAAACTATTTGACGCAAGACTTCTTCATTTTTTCGCGATATTGTAGTTGCATCTATGTCGGACTGGAAAATTTTGGCGCTAACCTCGTAGTTGTTTATTGTTTGTCATAGACTGGTAGGCAAAACTGCTGCGTCGGTTTTTGCTAACGTTTCGCCAATCATCCTGTTGGCTTCTTCAGAGACCTTGACTGAAACTGGTTCGCATTTTACTCTGTACGTGCTTATATGTGGTTTGAAGGGGGCGGAGCTAAAAGAGGGACATAAACACCGTCTCGTATGACTGATTCTGATATTAGTGACAGGTAAAGAAATGAGTCGCGGTTAAGATTATTAGGTTGCTTATAGATTTCTATAGACTCTCGGATTACATGCAATAATTTTAGCTTTGGTTAGTCAAAGAATACATCGGAGAGACCGGACGAAATGTATCAACTAGGCTGAAAGAACATGAAAGAGCCTTAAGACTGAGACAAATATTAGCAGTTGCAGAACACAATCACATAAAATTTCATTCGATAAAACTAAAATTCTTCCATGTATTCATGCTGATACATGTATTCTATGTATCAGCAACCTAACAATCTTAACGGCGACTCAGGTTATCAGTCATCCGAGACGGTGTTTATGACCCTCATTTAGCTCCGTCCCCTTCAAACAATATATAAGCAGGTACAGAGTAAAATGCGAGCCAGTTTCAGTCAAACTCTGAAGAAGTCAACAGGATGGTTGGCGAAACGTTAGCAACTTCGGCCCAACAAAAACCGACGCAGAATAAATAATAATAATAAGAATAAATATGTGCACTTTTGGTTGTTTAGATCGTATGTATGCAAAAAATGTCTTGCGATAGTGATGAGTGGAAAAATGACGGTGACGGCACGAAAAAGGGGACGAAAACCGGAAAGATGGTTAAAGTTATGAAAAAATTACGACTAGTCTCACGAAAAAGAAGGGAAATATAACCAGTGCAGACATAAAACGAGTTTTAGCATATTTTAATAGTTTGGGTCGAAACAACAGGCAAAATGACCATTTGGTTAGATTTGTACCAATTCAAAAGCCCCGCCAAGCTTCAAAAGCGCAAGGCGTCATCTACCTTGAGACTTACAAAACGCATCTGGTAAATGACTGTTTACAAACAAGGAGTTGATGAAATAGTGCAGAGTTTGTATGGTTCTAGCAAATTTGAAACTGATTTCTCGTTCTTGACGCTTTGAAGTTGTCGTAAAATCCTTTCAGGCATTTATTTTCACATTAAAATAGATGAATACGCAAAAATAAATAAATAAAAAGACTAGTTTCAAAGCATCCTAATAAATAAACCCTTAAAAAAATTGGAATTTTCAAAAATTTTTTTTGGTTAATGACATTTGAGGTCCCTATCTGAAATTTTTAACAATCAAATAATGAAATTTTTGTATTAATTAGATGACCACGAACATATTTCATCATATTTTTTATATAATCTGTAATTTAGTGATAACCTACAATAAATATATCAGCTAAAAGTGAGTACCGTGTTGTAGTCACAAACTAAAAAAAAAAAAGATGCGTTTTTATTTAACGTTGTAAGTTAACACTGAATTTAAATGACCCGAACGCCATCCACCTAGAGAAAAAACAATACACCATAAATTTCAACACCCTGTACGTCGAAATCGAGGCAAATGTGAATGAACAAATAATTTTCAAAAATTGTAAAACATCCTCTGCTACAAAAAATTGTTTTTGTTTCGGTTGATTTTCTCTTTGGATAATACGATTTGAGGTGTTGAGGTCATGTCTTATAGATGTTTTATAGATTCCATGATGCGGTTTTCATTTCGTTCCGCGAAATCTCTGCGGGGAAACGTAAAACAGCCTCCACGACTCACTACTACTCACTTTCGATAGCAGAGCGAATACTACGTCGCATTTCCGGTCCGTTTCGTCGCAAATCGTGACGTACATGGAGAGCATGCGGGCGGTGCCGACGTTGGCGGGCGAAAAATGGGGCGCCAGGTAACACGCGAGCCGGGGTTCCGTCAAGATCGTACGCAGCAACCCGGGCATCTCCCGTTCGACGCCGTAAATGTGACTCCGGCCGAGTTTTTCCAAGCAGATCGCGAAGAGCGTTCTCGTCGGCGGATACGCCGTCGTCTCTTCGTCGAACAGGGACAGAATGTGGTAGAAGAGTCGCACGCCCATCTCCGCGGACGAAGGGTCCGCCTCGATTCGACACCGGAGCGCTCTAAAACGGGCACGAAAACCGATAACGATGTCGCAAAAATCGAAACCGGACGTGTTACTTGCCCCACGGCCCGCTGAATCGCGACAGAAGCGCCGCAAAGACTCGCCGAGTCCTTTTCCAAAGTCTTAGCGACGAGCGATTCGTACGCATTCCGGTTGATTTCGATCTGGTGTTCTATCCTTTCGTTGACACGCGCCTCCTAAAAACGGCACGTTTTTCTTTCGCCGAAATTCCCTCATCCCCAATTTCTCGACATAAACAACGACCTTCTACCGCGAGCGTCAAAGTCAAATACTACCACGGAACGCAAGAGCCGGTTTTGGTAGGTCAAAAACGCACATAGTTTTCCGGGCCGCCGTACGGTGGCGCTGTTTTAGTAACCACCAATAAAAATGTCATCTGTCACCCTTGCATTAAACCAACTTATTTGACATCTCAAAGTGTCATTTCCCAGTGCAACCAACTCATATTATTTTGAGGTTATGTTGACTGTTATCTTTTTTCTTACTTAGCTGAAATGACACTTTCAAGGCCAATTTTCCACAAGCAAGTAAAAGTTTAATTTTTGTCGTTTTCTAGTATGGATATATTGGTTTACAATAGTAGAAATGGTCCAACTCACCAAAACTAACCTAACAAATTTGAGAGGAAGAAGATAGTTACCTGCATCTCTAGCACAACGGTCGCTGCCCCTGAGCAATGCACTGTTTGATTACGACCCTTGCAAGGTATCTTCTTCTTCACTTTGTTAAGGACCGATCTATATAGCTGGGGCGCCAATTCTTGATACGAGCAATCGAGCGCCTTGTGCTCCGACAGTTTTAGCGTGTGATTACTATAAACCGAAAATGCAAAAACATTTTTAAAGAAATTTTTATTGTGCTGGACCCTATACATGCCCTTAACTCTGAATAAAAATACTCTTAAAAATATATGGCGACAAATCTCGTGCTGCCAATATATTTATAAAAGCTACTCTGAGTTAATATTTTCATTTCTCTAAAATCATTAAACATTGTTATTTTATCCAATGAAATCTACGCTTTCAAGGTGCAAAACTATAAACTCCGGATTTTAGACCCTCGCAAAGACTTGTTAAACTAAGTTATTATGTTGAAACTGACTGAGAGCTTAGATTCTCTGATAATGTTTGTAAATTTGATTATACTTCTGGTATGTCTTGAGGAGTTCACTCTATCACATCGATCGTCGCCTTAACCACTATCAAACGAAAATTTAGGAAACACAAAAAGGGAGGAGTCTACCTAATTCTTTTCTTTGATTTAGTTTTGAAGTCGGAATATACAATTGGCATCGTTTGATGTGTCGCTTAGAAATTCCGATTTTGGTTCCGAAAAAGGAAACACACTTTTGGGTCGTGAGAAAATGAAACTACAGGCCCAATTTTGCCGTTTGTTTTGCAATCATGAAGCTCAGGGAATTCGTATAAATGATTGATAAACGTACGTTTTGGTGTATAGAGTTAAAATGCACAACAGTTTTTCCAAGTCATCAGTTCTTCCACAAAAGAAAAACCAGAGAATCCACAGAAATCTATAAGCAACCACCAAACATTCTTAAAAGCGACTCGGTTAGTTTGGCTCCGCCTCCCTAAAACCGTATATACGCAGGTGTAGAGTAGAATTGCGAAGACACGCTTAAACGGTTTTTCGAATTTTAAAAGCCATTTATTGGAAGCACTGTTAGTGAAAAAAAAACGAATCAATTGAAATTTATATATAAACGCGACTCGGTTAGTTTGGCTCCGCCCCCCTCAAACCGTACATACGCAGGTGTAGAGTAGAATAGCGAAGACACGCTTAAACGGTTTTTCGAATTTTAAAAGCGATTTATTAGCCGCACTGTTCGTGAAAAAGAAACAAATCAATTGAAATTTATATACCATACGGTACTCACTGCGCGAACTGTTTCAACGTCTTGAAGCAAGGCTCGAGACTTCGAAACATCGAATCTTTGTCGGCAAAATCGACGGGCGGCATGACGGGCGCCCTCTGGACCAAATCCGGAGGTGGTTTCGGAGCGTCGTACGACGTTAACCTATAATAACTACTTTTAAAAGAACCAACAGCCTCGAAACTAATGCCAGAGCTATGTCTAAAGCTACGCACTGCCTAAGCTGGAGTGGACTCAAGAGTATCTGGAGTCCATAGCATGCCAAGCATATTAAAAAAGGTGCCCCATGAAGTCAGGCTTCGAAAACCAAGGCGTGAAGAATTAGATGGAGACGTATTAACATTTTGGCGAAGTTTTAAAAGTAACCATAACGGAAATTTTTCCAAAAAGAAGTTTACTAAGAAGGACTTGTCTTGTTGAAGAAACTATATTCGTGTTTGAAACCATACGTTAATCCATCATTTTCCGTTTTAAAAAATAATGCCATATTACCTGCGCAAAATCCTCTCGACCGGATCTGAGCTCTCCGAATTACCTCCGGGATTCAATAAGGGCCGGTTTACGTTGGTTTTCTCGCGGAAATTCGCGACCCTCCACGTCCTTATACACGCCTCACGTTGTCGCCTCAACTTTTCGTAGTCCAGATACTGATACCACGGGCTCTGAACGCACATTAAAAAAGGAAAACTCAAAAGCCTATCGCTTATTCACGGTTTCCATTCCTTAAGGGATTTTTTTTAATGTGGTTTTCCCTTAATTTTACCTTGAACGAACTCACTTAATCTTAAACTTGTGTTTGATGAGTTAAAAGGTAAAAAAATATATATCAACTCAGTCAATTATAGGTTGGCGTAACGACTATACCTAAAATCAATTCTTCTTCACAATAAAGTTATTGTGACGCCTGAACGCAGCTATTTATGGTTATATACTAATCTATACCGCAATAGAAAGATTGTTCATTTGTTTTGTTTATCACAGAAATACCTGAAATTAAATGTTTGTCGTCGACGTAGTGCAAATTGAATCGACCATGCTGACTTCTTCAGAGCTTAACAGAAACTGCCTAGCATTCTACTCTGCACCTACTTATATAAGGTCTGGAGGGGGCGAAATCAAACCGTGTGTAAGCAGGTACAGCTTTGAAGAAGCAAACAGAAGATTTTTTTTTGAAAAAAAAAAGGTTCAAAACAAGCGTGTAGTTTTGTTTCGTTAAAGTACGGTATCAAAGGAAAATGCATAAGCATGATTCGGAGATTAAATAATAAATTTTTGTTTTTTTTTAATGGTTTTTCCGGATCTGCGGCTGTCGGATGAATGTAAGGAAAGACCACAGTGGCAACTGGGGTTTCCTGATGTGGAAACTAATTTTACATTAAGAGATTATTATTAGTATCCAATTCAATGCTAAAACGTACGTTTTTGGAGTATAGAGTTTAAATGGTTGACCATGAGGAAAAATAACAAAAATTCTTGAACGTCGTCGATTCTTCTAGCTAAGAAAATTCAAAGAATGAATAGAAATCTCTAGACAATCGAACCACCTTAACCGCAATTTAGGTCCTTTTTATAATTTTGATTCCATTTGATTCCTTTGAGGTCGTGTGACATTAATACTTCAGGACAAATTAGATCCTGATTTTGCTCTTTACTTTCCTTCAATGCATACTGTGCACAGTATGGAAAAGTGAATATTTATTCCTACGGTTCGACTTTATAGTGTCAAAGTTTAAATGTCAGAACCTATGAGGTGGAGAACCAATGGAACCAACAATGAACCTTAGGGAGTTCGTATAAACGATTGACAAACGTATGTTTTTGTGTTTAGAGTTTAAATAGTTTATCATGAGGCCGAATAAGAAAATTTCTTGCACGTCATCGATTGTTCTAGCAAAAAAAATCCACAGAAATCTTAACCGCAACCCAGGCCTTTACTTTTCATCAAAATTCATTAACGCTCCTTCTTCAGGTTCACTTTACATACATCCTTATCCAACCTTTCACCATTATGGAAATCAGTCGTCAGTTCATGTCTCTTCTTTAGCTCCGCCCCCCTCAGACCGTATAAAAGCAATTACCGTTAAGAGATTTTTAAATATTGTGGCAGTTTCTCGTTTTTCTGTTCTGGTTTTTAAATAGATAAATAAAAATAATTAATTACCCTGTCGTTTTGAACAATTAGAGTTAAGAGGCCGGGCTCGTACTGCGGCGGCAGGCGGTGCAGTATCGTGTTCTCTCGCAGCCCGGGCTCGTCCAACCACAACAGGAACGCCTGGAATAGTCTGCAAAAGGGATCGATTTTCTTTCGGAGGAAAATTACGCGACTCGCACTGTGAGTACTTGCGACACGATTGGCGCAATTCCTTCGCGTCCGGATCGCCGTCGCAATTCCCGTCGTCGCTCTCGTAGTGTTCGACCGTTTCTTGAAGCCGTCGCTTGATTCTCTTCTGGTAAGCGAAGTTGACGAGGCCGTCGAAGAATTTCGGTCCGACGCAAGCGTTTTCCGACGCACTAAAACGTAATTTTTTTCGATATGCGACTCAGAACGTATAGTCTGAAACGTATCGTTTTTTGCGCCTTGCAAATTCCCAAATAATGGTTTAGGTGAATAAGTAAAAACCGGCCTAAAATTGCTGTTTTCTTTTTTTAATTGTCAATGAACAATTGCACTTTCGTCACTCGTTATTGGTCGTTCGTCATTGGTCATTCCTCTTTCGTCATGCGTCATTTGTCATTCGTTAGTGGTCACCCGTCATTGGTCATTAATATGACAGAGCACAACAATACAGTGATGACAAATATTAATGGGTAAAATATTAGTTTAAATTATAAAAACAGTTTTCTAGGAGGAAAGGCATTAGTTTGGATTTAAAAATGTTTACATTACTACTGCTCTTTAGCTCTGAGGACAGTCTATTGTAGACTCTAATACCGATGTTCGTAAAATATTATTTTGAAAATTCTAGTCTATTTTTTTACGGAAAAACAATCTTTGTAGCGTATATTATAGTCGTAGAAATCTCCGTTTTTTTGTAAGGCATTTGTTAATAAAATTGCAATAGTCAGGGAAAGATTGTTTAAGAAAAAACGGCGTTTTGTGACAAAACATATTCCAATTTTTTTTCCTATAGGCAAGATTTAATTGAAATTTATGAATTAAATTTATTTTTTTATTTTATTAAATCAAACTATCCACCGAGGACAAATCCAGAAGATTTGTCAATAAAATTGCAATAGTCAGGGGACGATTGTGTAAAAAAACCGGCGTTTTTTGCCAAAAAAAAAACCTTGCAAATTATTTTTGTTTACAGGGAATTAAGTCTAATTTAAATTAATTAAATAAAATTACTATTTTTTATTTTTATTTGTTATTTTAATCAAACTATCGACTCAGGAAGACTTGCAAACAATATTGTGGGAGTCAGTGGAAGATTCTTTTAAAAAAAGCCATTTTTGGCAAAAAACATTCCCAATCTTTTTTTTTTTTTGGTTTACAGAGAAGATAGAAGATTTTTTTTTAAATAACTAACCAAAACTAACTAGAACGGTTTTGACTTGGAATATTTCTAATTTTTTGAATAATGTTTTCTAGGTAACGTTACCCAGTGGATGTTGTTATCCTGGTCAAGAAGAGTGTGAAAAATTTTTGCCAGATGAGCGGCAACAGCTGGTGATCGATCGGAGTGTCCAGAGCTTGTTGTGCCCATCGGTAAATACAGAGCCAACCGGATGTGAACGGACTAACTTTTACGGTCCCAGCAGCTTTCTAAAAGGATTCGATATTCGATTTTTTAAATGCAAACTGCGCGAAAATCGACCTTAATGGCGTGATCGACGTTTATTTTGCCCTTTTGCTTCGACAGTTCGATCAGTATTTCCCTCCATAACCCGGTTCTCACTTCCCTTTCTTGGTGTTCGATTTCCAGAAAAACGTAAGCGAGCCAAGGATAGGGAGCCAGCGAGTTGGCAATCAGACTGTTCGACGTATTGACGCCGGACACCCATTTTAACACGCTGAATATCGAACCCGCCTCTGTCGGTGTACCGCACTTGAAAATTTTAATCTATATTTTTTTATCGTCCCGTACAAAACCATATATATTATAAAAATATCTCAGTACAAACACTTTTCTGGCACAATAATAAACTGTATTTCAAATATATTAGTATCAAAAGCATTTAAATATAATAATAATAATTAATTGCATTTCAAATATATTAGTAACGTATTTAAATCCCTCTGTCGAAATCCTGAGTCATTGAAAATACATTTTCAAAAATTACATACAAATACAAATACTTTTATGGAAAAATAATTTATTGTATTTCAAATACATTAGCAAAGTATTTAAATAGAGTTTAAAATTTTAATTCATTTTTTATCCCCCTGTAGAAATCCGGAGTAATTAAAAATATATTTTTAAAAGTATTTAAATACAAATACTTTTATGGCAAAATAATGTATTGCATTTCAGATACGTTAGGAACGTCTTTAAAACTACTTTAATGCACTTTAAAATTTTCATTTACGTTTTTTTATTACTCTGTAGAAATTCTGAAACATTACAAATACATTTTTAAAATTATTTAAATACAAATACAAATACTTTTATGGCAAAACAATTCATTGTATTTCAAATACATTTGCAAGCTTTTAAATGTATTTAAATGGATTTTAAAATTTTAATATATTTTTTACCCCCGTGAAGAAATCCGGATTAATTAAAATACATTCTTACACTTTAATATTTTAATAAGTATATGTTTTTTATCCATCTGCAGAAATCCGGAGTTATTAAAAATACATTTTTAGAAGTATTTAAATACACTTTAAAATCTTAATATAATTTTTAACCCTCTGTAGAAATACGTACTTATTAGAAATATATACAATCCAAATATTTTCCGGCAAAGTTTTCAACTTTAACAATTTTTGAAACTGTACTTGAGTGCAACGTCAATTATATTAGCACTTATTTAAGATTTAAGATGTTAAAAAGACATTTTTAAAAGTATTTAAATACAAATACTTTTCCGACAATTACATTAGCGCTAAAAAGTATTTTAGAGAACCAGAGTTGCTAAAAATACATTTTTAAATTTAAATACAAACACAAATACTTTTCCGCCAAAGAATGCGTTCTCAATGTATTTAACAGTATTTTAAATACACTTTAAAATTTTAATATTTTTTTTAATTACCTGTAGACATCCGAATTATTAAAATGGATTTTTAAAAATATTTAAATACAAATACTTTAGATCATAAATTTAACAATGAAACAGTAGGAAAGTGTAAGGACTAAAATAAAAAATATATATTCATTAAAAATTTAAGTTTTGTATTATTGTATTATAGTCGTTTTTTCCTCTAGCTCCAATGCAGATTTGCGTCTGATCTAACTATCTCATCTTATTACAATTGCGCGAATTTCCCGTAATAAAAATCTGGTTTTGGCAGATATTTAAATTACATTTAAAATACAAGAAAAATGTAATTTGCTTCAAAGTTCGGTTAATAATGAAAATTATCGCGGGTTCGTTGAGTTTAGAGAACTTCGAAAGTCTAAAAAGTAACAGGTACATAGGTAATAGGACTTTGGATACAAGTTTTAATTGTAATTGCAACTTCATATTTAACATTTTAAGGATATTTGTATTCAAATTGTTTTAAATACTAGAAAAATGTATTTAAATAAGGTACATTTTTATTTAATATACCTTTAAATACATGAGCTTCTGAAGGGCTAGAAATTAGTGCGTATATAGATTAGATAACAACTTGATTGACTGATTGAAACGAAAGTTCGGTATCTTTTCAATTTTTAGAGTGACAGCTATTTTGGGCTTCTATGGTAAGGTTAACTTCTTATTTTCGCTTCGCACGATAAAAACTGCCCTGTATAACTTGAAATCCGTTACCTGGTGTAAATTCCGTAGGATTTCGTAAACCACTTCGAGACCGTCCTTGTGAAAAAACGCGTTCCCAATTAACACGTCCAGTAAGTATAGAACGCCGCCGTCGCTGTTCCAATTAGGCATCGAAACCAAAGAGTTCATCCACAATCGTACCTGAAACTTTGAAATTTTTACCCGGCCGCCGAGCGTCGAACCGACATGGCGCACCAAGGGGCGGGGACCGTCTAGTTCGTAATACCGATAGTTCGCGATTTGGGTCTCGATCATATTGCCGAACTGTTGCAAAACGGTGTCTTGACCGACCAGCAAACTCTTCGCCATGGAAATGTAACCCCTGTCCGCGTTTAAAAGATTGACCAACACTTGCTGATACTTCTCCAGATTGACCAGGCACTCTTGGCTCGACATAAACAGCGGCACGATTTGGTACAACGCGAACAGCACCGCCTCGTGTTTGTGATGGTTTTGGATTTGGATCAGTTGATCCATGCCGTGGGTGCATATCGGGGGTATAAGGTGGCCCCAAGTTGTCATCAAGACGGACACGAAACTGGCCAGCGGTCGTCCCTCTTTGATTCCTTCAAATCGGATAGTAAAAATGACATTTCCAAGTGAGCGAGCGAGTCGGTTACCCTTGGTTAAAATGTCGAACCTCTCGGGCTCCTGAACTCTACCGAACTCCTTAAAGTGTTTGTCGCTGATGTGGAGCTTCAGCCTCAAAATCGTCTGCCACCCCCACTGCAGATACCCTAACTCCTGATCTACGGATTTCAATACCAACAGGGCGGTGTCGCAATGCATTTCGTACGGAAGCAAGTCCCAATTTAACCGGGACAAGATCATCCTCGCAAGTTTGCTCTCGTCGGACGCCACTGGACTATTCAGCAGCAACCTTGGGGGCGCAACAATAAAGGCGCTTTGAATTTTTCGAGAAGAAACTGCCGGCGAATTGAAACTGATTTGACTCCACCCTATACCTGCTTACGTACGGTATGAGGGGGGCGGAGCTAAAGGGGGGGGCGGGAACATCGTGCACGAACTGCCGGAATTTTTGGATAAGTGATGATGTTTGAACAGGATTATAGAATTACAGAATATCTAGAAAAAAATAGGATTTACAGAGAACAAAAAAGGTCAATTATTTACTTGGATGAAACCTGGTTCGACAGTTATGATACCCCGGAAAAGGGTTGGATTGACTAAACTGATAAGTGTAAAACAAACGCGCCATCAAAAAGAGGTAAAAGAATAACTATTTTGCATGCTGGCGCTAAAGATGGTTGCATTCCAAATGGACTTTCTCTGTCTGCGAAAAATATTAAAGATTCTTCTCTGGATTACCATGAAGACACCATCGCTGATTTATTTGAAAGTTGGTTTAAAAACAAACTAGTTCCAAACATTGCTCCTAATAACGTAATTGTAATGGACATTGCCAGTTATCACAGTAGACAGTTGACTAAAACCCCTTCGTCATGTGACACAAAAGCAACAATCCAAAACTACATGTATAATAACGACATTTATTTTCACGAAGATTATACCAAAAAGCAATTAATTGAGGTTCTGCAAAGCTTGAACCTACAAAAGTAATACGTCTGTGATAATTATACAAAAAATCTAGGGCATACAGTTTTAAGGCTTACACCTTACCACTGTATATTTAATCCCATTGAACATGTTTGGCACCAACTGAAATCTGCCACTCGTCGTAACAATGTTTTCCCCGTGTTAACTCCAATGTCCTCAAACTTAGAGAAAACCGAAGTTTTTAACATCCCTCCACAAAGTTGGGCAAATTTTGTTAAACATATAGAAAAAGCAGAACAATCGTATATCCATATTGCAAATAATATAGAAAAAATAATAATTAGAACAGGCGATGATAGCGATAGTGATACTGATATATTATGTGAATAATTTTAAGTAATTTAAGTAGGTAATAAAACTTATTTGAAATTTTATTTTAGATTTAAACATAAATACATACATAAATAAATAAATATTGTTTAATATCTTTCCTAACAAAACTCCCAATAATTAAATTCTAAGCAAAGTACGGACCTGTTCGGCCTTATTTCAATCTTACAGCTTGCCCGGGTCTTTCCTTAATTCGTATCAGTTCTTATATCTATGAACAGACTTTATCAGTCTCTATGCTTAAGTGTACTCTAAACTGTAATGTTAGGTCAGATTTTTTTTATTCATGAGAATATCTACGAATGGGAATTGTCATAATTATTGAGGCCCAATAACAAAAGTATCATCAACGTAGAGTGCCCATGATTTTGGTTTTAGAGGGCTTTCTTCTCAAAAGCTTACATTCCTTCATAAGATTTTGGAGGTTGGATTTTTTAAAGGATTTTTACAGTTTCGCTTGTATTGAGATCAGTTTTGGCTAGAAACTAGAAACTAGATTGACGAAGAATTTTATAATCACGTGAGGTTTTGATATGTAACCCATCATATTAAGAAAAATAGTAATGTTATGGTCTCTGTAAGGAAAGAGTCAGACCTTCAAGGGCTTATTAATTTTTCAAAGAAACTTCCCCAAATCTTCCGGATTCTTCAGAAATTGTTGTTGATGACTGTTGATTTAGCTCCGCCCTCCACAACCAGTACGTAACAGATATAGAATAGAATGCAAATCGGTTTCAGCTCCGATGGGATGATTGACCAAACGTCGATTGAGGAGGAATCAAGAATATTTGTAAATAAAAGCAATTATTGGCAGAAAAAAATAAGTTCTCACCCAGCGATTATCTCCAAATCATTGTAGGTAAGCGTCCAAACTGACAGGGGCAGCTCTTCGTACAAGTACAGAGCCAAAGATTTTATCCGGTCGATGTTATCTTTAACAGACGCCAATATTTCGGAGAGGAGATGCGGGTGTTTCGATGTTAAGTGAGTCAAGAGGATTCGTGCTGACTTGTAACAACTGTCTCGAGTCGTTTCGCTAATAAATCCTACCTACGCCCATACGAAATGTGCTTTATTGGTCTCTTTCATCGGACCCACATTAACAGATTTTTTCCAGCACGTAACATACCCAACGCATTTTAAATTATATATCTAAAGAATTAATCGAAAATCAAAAGCTATCCTTTCAATATTACGAAAACGAAAGTCCATCAAAAATAACATACATGTTTTAGCTTAATTAGAAAAATATTTAACGAATAAGTCATATTTGCGACAGAAATTCTGACTTATTAAAAATTTACTTAATTAAACTAAAACATTTTTTCGTAAACCGGAATTTCTGAAAAATAATTCGGAATTTTTAAACTAAGTTAGAATTAGTGCAAATAAAATTCAGGAATTTCTGAAAAGCAAGTTAGAATTTCCGAAAAATAAGTCAGATTTTTGAGTTAAATCAGAAATTTTGACTTATTACAAATTTACTTAATTATAGTAAAACATATTTTTTAATAAATTAGAATTTCCGAAAAATAATTCAGAAATGTTTAACACAAGTCAAGTTATAATTTCTGAAAAATAATACAGAATTTCTGAAAAACAAGTTAGAAATTTAAAAAAAAAACAAGTCAGGATTTCCAGAAAATAAGTCAGAATTTCTGAAAAATAATTCAGGAATTTTTAACATGAGTCAAGTTATAATTTCGAAAAAAAATAGGTCAGAATTTCTGAAAAACAAGCCAGAAAATTTGAAAATAGAGTAAAAATATCCGAAAAACTAGTTAAAATTGCTGAAAAATAAGGTATAATTACTGCGAAATAAGTTAGAATCTATAAAACATAAATTATAAATTCTGAAAAACAAGTCAGACATAAATCAAAATTTCTGAACTTTAAGTGTAAATTTTTAAAAAACAAGTTAGCATTCCTGAAAATTAAGTTAAATTTATAAAGTCCAAATTTCTAAAAGACAAGTCACAATATCTGATAAACAACTCTACACTTCTGAAGAACAAGTCATAATTTCTTATCTAAGTCAGAATTTCTGAAAAACAAGTCAAAATATTTGAAAAATCAGATTTTTTGAAACACAAGTCGGATTTTCTGAAAGGTAGGCCGCAATCTCCAAGAAACAAGAAATTCTAACAAAAGTCAATTTTCTGAAAAATAAGTAAGAATTCCTCAAAAACAAGTCAGAATTTCTGAAAAATAAGTCTAAATTTCTGAAAACCAAGTCAGAACATTTGAAAAACAAGGAACAATGTCCGAAAAACGAGTTAAACTTTCAGAAAAATAAATTATAGTTACTGAAAAATAAGTCAGAATCTATAAAAAAAAAGTCAGACATGAGTCAAAATTTCTGAAAATTAAGTGCCAATTTTTAAAAAAACAAGTTAGTACTTCTGAAAATTAAGTTAAATTTATAAAGTATCAATTTCTAAAAGATAAGTCACACAAAATCTGCAAAACAAGCCACAATATCTGAAGAACAAGTCACAATATCTGAAAAACAAGTCTACATTTCTGAAAAACAAGTCAGAATTTATGAAAAATAATTTAGAACTTCTGAAAAATAAGTCAAAATATCTGAAAAGTCAGAAATTTTGAAAAACAAGTAAAAGTTTCTAAGTCAATTTTCCGAAAAATAAGTCAGAGTATTTTTAGAACTAGTTGTCTCTCGCAAGGGCCATTGCAAATCGAAACATTAGTATTATATATGCAAGTATTTATTGAAAAAATAAAAAATGCTTTACGCAATTATTGTACTAAATCATCTAATAACTCGAGAGTTCCACAGCACGGGTTTAGTCTCGTACCATGAGAAATAGATATATAATGCTAATTAAAATTTATAATCACTATTAGGCTCACTAGCGATTAAAGCAAAGGAAAACAAACCCCCAATAAAAAAATCAGTCTTTTCAGATCAACTTGGGAGCGTATAAGAGGTGCAAGTAAAAGAAATGTTACATTCTGTTTTATTATGCGTCGTTGACTTGAATATTTAACTTACCTGCAGGAGATCGAGCACAGCGGCCCTGACGAAATCCACGTCGCGATCCCCCCGTGCCAACGCCATATTGGCGAACGTATTGAGCAGATAGTAGATTTCCGCGTCCTCTAATCGCTCCAGTTTCTCCTCGAACTGCACCCTCAACGCTCTCTCCCATATCAGTCCGCTGTAATCGCTCGAGTCTTGGGGATTCAAGATGTCGTCCGCCTTTTCGTCGGAATTGTGCAGGAAATAGAAAATTTTCCACAGGGTTTTTATCGTCGCCACGTTATAGGGCACGACGGCGAGAAACTGCCACGCCCCCAACTTTTGCGACGAATACAGGTAGAAAATCGCCCTCAGGAAGAACGCGTCGTACTCGATCTGGATCCTTTCCAGCATCGCGCCGTCCGTCACTTTGTTCGCCTTCGAATTGCAAAGGGTTCGAGCTTAGGTGAGGCTTTTTTTTTTTTAATGGCCCGAGTCCCTGATTGCATTAGACGTAATTCAAGATGCTTCGATAATAAATTTTTCAAAGAACCTTCCACAGGCTACCGTAATGCTTTCTACTAAACTTCTTTTTGTTGAGTCGAACACAAGCAAAAAGTCAGAGGATCACCGACTGGAACTGGTACGACTAGTCTGTACGCTGGCGAACCATAAAATATTATGCGTTATTTTTTTGTATCACTTTGTACTTTTGGTTATTTTCTGTCGAATTTGAGTATATTTATGTATATATTATATGTTACATCTTATGCGCCTCAAAACATTATTTAATGTTTTATCCCAGAGGTTCGTTTACGCACCAGTATTTTTTTGTACGTTTAAATTTTTTGTTTACACATGTAATGTATTCTTAACGACAACAAAATAAATAATTTCAGAGCAAAAAAGGATTTGTTTATTCTTTTTTATGCTTGGGATAAAATGTATTAACCGCGACTCAAGTCACCAATATTCACTAGTGTTATTACTTTGGCTCCGCCCCCCTCAAACCGTATACACGTGGGTGTAGAGTAGAAGCAACGTTTAAACAATTTTTCAAATTTTAAAAGCGAATTATTGGTGGTTTTTGCCCCAACAAACACCGACGCAGTTTTGTAAAAAAATAAATAAATTTACTTTACCCATCTTTAAAGCACCTTGCTATTTTTTTTAGGTGCCGGGTCCAGCACAATACCTTCAGCCTGAATTCCGTTCGATCTTCTCTTGAATGTGTGATTCATCGATCTTTTCTTCATTGCCTTCGTATCGTTCTAAACTTCTATTACTATTTCTACAATCAGTTACCATTTCTTTTCGACATTCGCGAAATCGATTCACCTCTCTGTTCTCTGTTCTTGGACGTCTGTTCTCCGTAACGCGAATAATTCTTCGAAAACGATATGTCCGATCGAAATAAATCTTGAACCGGAAGACGCGTTAGAATAGGGGAAACGACGTGAACGTACAGTTTAGTCAAATATATATAAGGGGTGTGTCAGTTATAGGCGAAAACCTGAAATTTTCAATTTTTCGGTGTAAATCATCGGTAGTAACTGTCAAATCTTAGCGAACGGCGCCGTTCGGTTTGAGCGTGATTTCAGTTCTAGTCGAGGGCTACGATTTTTGCCTCTATTATACAGAGTGCGTGAGGTACGGGCAGGAAAGCGATTGTACAGAATTAAAAATTCAACTGAGCCGGCTTTTACTTGATGAAAAACCATTTTTCAAAATAAATAAGAAGTAAAAGTTCAGATGCTCACGAAATTATATATTTTTATATGACAATTGTTTCGACAACACCGTGTCTTTATCAAATATAATATTTGCAAACTACCTTCTACTATATATACCGAAAAATGAAAATAGGTATTTAAATCTAATTAATCGTTAAGCAACACATTTGAATGTCTCATTTTGTTAATCTACATGGCTTCCCATAAATTTAATTTTATATTTTTTGTGGCTGTATGTAAAATATCAAAATTGTCGTCAAAAATGTGTTTTTCTGTGTATAAGTGTGTAGCATAATTAGAATCTAGACTATTGTTTTTAAACGCTCTTTTATGTTCGTTAATGCGTTTCTTGAAAGATCTAAATGTTTGTCCAATATAAATTTTAGGACAAGATGCGCATTTCGACCTGTAGACATCGGATTTTTGAGATTTTGGACATTTCGTTTTATTGTTTTTTTAAAAATTGTCCTATTGTTGTTCAGTGCAACCTGTTTAATGATATTAAGTTCTTTGTTGTAATTTTCTGTTGAGAGCGGCGTATTAAGAAGTATATGTATAAGAGAGTGAAATGCAGCCATTTTGTGTGTATAAGGGTGATTGGAGCTGTTGTGTATGACTGTGTCTGAGTGTGAAGGTTTATGGTAAATGGAAAAATCTAATTTGTTTTGCGGTTTTGTAATAGTTAAGTCTAAACAATTAATAGAGTTATCCTGTCCAATCTCCATAGTGAATTTTATACGATTATGTAATAAGTTAATGTAATTTAAAAAATAATTCAGTTGTCCGTCCACGTATCTATACCACCATAGAAAACTTTTACTTAAAGGATGTTCTAGTATGATATTTTCCAAATTATCCATAAAAGTCTCGGCTAACAAAGGACTAAGTGGGTTTCCCATAATCAAACCTTCCTTAGAGATGTAAATCTGTCCATTAAATTCAAAATAATTTTGGTCTAAAGATACTATTAAGCAATCTAATAAATCTTGTTTCACCAATGGGTTAATCTGTTTCCGAGTGAGGGTGAAATCTACTAAATCTATCACACCTATAGGTGGAATACTGGGAAATAAGTTTTGTACATCAAAAGACAATAGTGTTGCGTTAGAAGGGATTTTGATATCTTTAATTTTGTTGGTTAATTCGAAAGAATTTTTTATTGCAAATTTTGGTTTAAAATCTGTGTGGAATTTAAAAATATTTACTAATTTTGTAGAGAGTTTAACTGCTGGAGCCATTACATTAAATTTATTCGAATCAATGGAGATAAACAAAATGAGACATTCAAATGCATTGCTTAACGTTAAGTTAGATTTAAATACCTCTCGTTTATTGAACTTAAATTGTCACAAAAACTTTAATTAAGGTTTTTGTTGCCATTTTTCGGTATATATAGTATCAGGTAGTTGGCAAATATTACATTTGATAAAAACACAATGTTGTCCGAACAATTGTCATGTAAAAATATATAATTTCGTGAAAAACTGAACTTTTAGTTCTTATTTATTTTAATTAAAAATTCGTCTGTTATACTGTGTTAGCGCGGAGCTTAACAGAAAAACAAATAAACGCAACCGGGTAAACCATCAAAGTTTCGTGAGTAATTTTTTTAATTAATTAATTAAATGGACTCGGGCCGCATTCCCGTTGAGGGATAGGGGGGGGATACCTTCGAAAACTGCTCCCATTGGTCGGTGGTGTACTGCACCACGTGCCTGATGAATCGGCTCAGTCTCTTCGAGAATTGATTGTATCGTGGCTGATTGTACGTTTGCAAACCGCGGTGAATCAATCGAAGCAAAATGGTGCCGAAGGCGAAAAAACGAACCAAATGGTGTTCCGACACCAGACTGGAATCGTAAAAGTCCTAAAATAACAACTTTCACCGGGAGTAACTCAATGGGAAACGCTACGACGGGTACCTGATCGTCCCTCTTGCCGATCAAAAGCAACATTCTAAACATGTCGTCCAAAGGCAATTGGTTCAATAGCGATACTAGATCGTTCTCTTTCAAAGACGTGCCGGCATTTTGGTCGTCCTCTTCCCCGTCGGAATCCACTATTATCCACAACGCGTCCGTCGCGCCTTCTTTATTGTGAGCAATCTGGATAGAAATAAAAAAAATGGTTTTCTCTTCTTTTTTAATCGCTACCCGTACCGGTAAAAACGGATGTTTTTTGTATTTAAGAGAATTTTTGAATTATTCGATATTCGATATTTTATGGCACTTTAGGATTTAGTGGGAAAAATAAGGATCGTTATCGATTTCCGCACGGTTTAGGAAATATTTAAAGGTTATGCGATTTGTTGCCAGTCCTGTTGGCTTCTTCGAAGTTCAACTAATACTGGCTCGCGTCCCACTCAGTACGCGCTTATATACGGTCTGAGGGGGGCGGAGCTAAAACAAAGGAAATATAAAGACCTAGTGAATCACCGCTGTTTCCCTAAATATTTCTAATTCTATGTTTATTCTTCTTCTTCTTCCGTCAGGACTATTGGCTTCTTCAAAGTTTAACTGAAACTGACTCGCGTACAACTCTGTACGCGCTTATATACGGTCTGAGAGGGCGTAGCTAAAAGAAAGAAACGTTAAAGACCTACTGAATCACCGTTAAGATTGGCCGCTTCTATTTCTGTGCTTCTTCTTTTTCTTGTTCTTACATTAGGACTGGGTCCTGTGTTTTATCATCAAGGGTTTGCCAGGAGTATTTGGGACGCTGAGAACCAGCTTCCATACCATCTTATAGGTAGTCGTCAAGTAGATCGGGTCGTGTCTGGTTTCTTTTCCTTTGCAATTTTTGCTAATCGTTCTACATCCTGAATATTACACACGTCCCTTATTTGTTCATTTCTCTCCCGACCGCACAACGTACGTCCTGTTATTGATCTCAGGGTTCGCATTTCCGTTGTTCTTAAGAGCCGTTTAGTGGTTGTGTCCTCCGCTCTAGTTACTATTTATTTCGTCAAATTAAACCTATTAGGTATTACTTCATTCTTTAGGTTTCTATCACTTGTTACTTTCGAAAATTTTTTTTGTCTGTCCGTTCTCCATTATCGTCTTTTGGTTTTCGGAACTACAAAATTGAAATTTGTGTCCTTTTTAACCCTCCACGAGGCACATAAGCTTATAAAAATAGCCCTGATCGACTGTTTTTTGGACATTGCTATGAAACACGATAAGCCTCCGAAACCACTCCAGAAACTTTTATTCTTGACAATTTTTCAAAAATATACAGGGTGCGCCGCAAATTCCAAAAAAACTGAAAAATGAGTCCCCCTATTATTGAAAATTGGCAATAATTTCAAATATGTGTTTTAGATATTGGCAGTTTAAACTTTTGCACTTACGGTTTTTAAGTAATGTACAGGGTGTTCGCGATATTCCGTGCAATATTAAAAAACATAATAAGTACTCCAAATTTGCAGCTACCGACTTCAAACTTGGGAGAGAAGTAGAAGTTTGGACCCGCATTTGGACTCTTTAAATTGGGAGCAACAAAATAACGCGAAGTATTTTTTTTTTATTTTTGAAAAAAATTCTAATAGATCCTAGAAATTTCCGCTTTTGTAGGTGAATTATTGGCGATAAATGAAAAACTTTTATAGATGTGATAATTTGATATGAGAGTTAGTTTAAGGTTTCGTCTATAATACAGGGGGCGCGAGATATTTGAAAAAATATAATTTTAAATTGCAATTACCAGTACAAATTTTAATATTTACTGAAGTGTGCCGTAACTTTGAAGTTCGACGAGATATGAAGGACACTTTATACAGGGTGAATCCACAATAAAATAACATTGCGAAAGTTCCATAATGGTCCGCAGGAGCAGGACAAGAATCCTCGAAGCGCCTTGTTTTTAAAATAAAAAGGTGATTCACGCCATTTGCTATTTGAAGGACATCACTTGTTCTACACTCTGGTCGTAAATCCGACTGCGTCATCAGCACGGCATATTATTTTTATTTCTTTGCCTCCCACTGTTGCCTAATTTGTTTGCCTTTCTATGTTTCTTAAGAACTTTATTTTCTTTGGGAAGTTGCGGCGAAAGGATTTTTGTGACCAGCATCCTTTTATTGTAAATCCCGAAAGAATTGAAAATTGATTCATGTAGGAATTGAATAATATATCTATATATATATATATATATATATATATATATATATATATATATATATATATATATATATATATATATATATATATATACATATACATATATATATATATATATATATATATATATATATATATATATATATATATATATATATATATATATATATATATATATATATATATATATATATATATATATGTTTAGCTTTTGGTTCTTGGGTTATAGGTCTTTGTATTAAAAGCGATTAAAATTTTTTTTGTCCATATATTGACGTTTCGGTCTTCTATGACCTTCTTCAGAAAGGGGTACAGTCTAAAATTATGTTATAGTACAGTTCTTTTTTTTTACATATACACAACGGAATTACAAAGAACCTTACCAAAAAGAGACAAACACAAATCTTAAAATTGAAGAGGTAGCATCATATGAAAGTTTATACTTTAAAAGCGTTTGGTTTTGTCATAGTGCCTAGAAATATTATTGTTTTGGTTTTTTCCAACTATGAGAATAAAAAAGTCATACCCTTGATAAAAGATAAAAGTCCAACAAAAAATGATTTGTATACGGCACTCACACACATAATACACACAAATTTAACGAAACAGTTAAAATATATATAAGAGTTTAAAATAATAATAATAATAATAATAATAATAATACCGATACGCGAGGTTTGCTCGCGTCGACGTTACTGTAAAAACATCGTACGATGCACGATTGTTTTGGTGCAAGGTTCAGAGGATATACAGAGTGTTTTTGTTAATTTATAATTTTTTTCTTTTATTTATTTTAAATTATTTTTATATATTATAATTTTATATTAATATATCCCTATGTTGTTACTTCCATTGTTGTTTTATTTCAGAATGTTGCAATATAACTTACTGAGATTGTTGGTGTCTGTTTTCGAATTTATAGAGTTCTTATTTTTTTGGATCTCAACCATTTCCAGAATTTCCCTTTTTTTTGTATTATTTTCGGTTTTTAGAATTTTTACTTTCGCAAAGTTGAAAGAATGCTTGGTTTAATACACACAAATTTAACGAAACAGTTAAAATATATATAAGAGTTTAAAATAATAATAATAATAATAATAATACCGATACGCGAGGTTTGCTCGCGTCGACGTTACTGTAAAAACATCGTACGATGCACGATTGTTTTGGTGCAAGGTTCAGAGGATATACAGAGTGTTTTTGTTAATTTATAATTTTTTTCTTTTATTTATTTTAAATTATTTTTATATATTATAATTTTATATTAATATATCCCTATGTTGTTACTTCCATTGTTGTTTTATTTCAGAATGTTGCAATATAACTTACTGAGATTGTTGGTGTCTGTTTTCGAATTTATAGAGTTCTTATTTTTTTGGATCTCAACCATTTCCAGAATTTCCCTTTTTTTTGTATTATTTTCGGTTTTTAGAATTTTTACTTTCGCAAAGTTGAAAGAATGCTTGGTTTCCGCGCAATGACTCTTCAGGGCAGTCGTATTTTTTTTGTCGTATTTGTGACCATTAATTCTGTTTTTAAGATACTGGCTTGTTTGACCGATGTACACACCCTCACAATCGTTGCAAGGTATCTCGTAAATGACGTGACTCTTCTTTTCGTCCGGTATCTTGTCTTTTAATTTACTGAAAATGTTTTTTACCAAATTGTATCCTTTGTGAGCAATAGTAATGTTGTGATTCATAAAAATTTTGCTAAAATTTTCGGACATACTGGGTATATAAGGAAGCGAAAGATAATTTTTTTTTTGTTTTTGTTGGGTGTTGCTTTTTTGTTTAGTTTGGTTATAGAATAGGTGTATACGTTTTTTGAAAATGGTGTTAATTAATCGTTCCGGATAGTTATTTAGTTTTAATGCTTATTATTATATATATATATATATATATATATATATATATATATATATATATATATATATATATATATATATATATATATATATATATATATATATATATATATATATATATATATATATTACATAAATCGCGAAAATTCATTAAATGAGTGGAAAAACATTACCAGGTGCGGTCGTTTTTATAAATACGACGATTTTTCAAAAACCAGTCACATAAAATCGAATATTTCCGAAAATGTGCGGGGATCGATAAAGGTAAAAAATTAAAACGGCATTATTTTAACTCACGTCGTTTAAAAAATTCTCACGCTCTTCGACCGGACTCAAAATAACGGCCAATATCGCCAGCAGATGGTTCACCTCGTAACTAGAAAATGGCGATTGTCCGGAACGTATATCTAAAGGCACCTGGACAAAACTCGATGCCCAGGAACCCACCCCAGCGGGACACCTGATGAATAATTATATTAGATTATAATTCGCAACAAAATTTCATTATAAATAGTAGCAGGTAGTTTGTAAATATTATATTTGATAAAGACACGGTGTTGTCGAAACAATTGTCACGTCAAAATATATAATTTCGTGAAAATATGAACTTTTAGTTTAGTATTTATTTAGTTGTATATTGTATTAGTAGTAATTTTTTTTAACCAGTAACTTACCGCAATATGTGATTGATAATAAACAGATGATCTTGATAGTTGGCGACGCGTAGCAAAACGGCCACCAATTGTTTAAGCCACGCCCTCGTCTCGTCGGAAAACGTCGGGTCGCGCACGAGTCTCCTTTGAAAGGCGAACAGGATCGAGATGCAGAGCCTTATTTCGGCGATGCGATCGGTCAAATGGGGCGGTTCGCGTCCGACCGAAAGAGACACCGGCGTATTCGCGCTTATCCCGGTGGCGGACACGCAATTTGCAATCACCGAATGCACAAACAAATCGATCTGGAACGTGAGAAAGTAAACGCATGTACAACGGTCGCAACTAGTGATGAAGCTGGTCACGTGACATTGGTTCCTTTTTGTTTTGCAGTTTTGTTCTTCCGTTTTGTCCTTAAGGGCGCAACACGCATCTTTCACACACAATCAACAGGTATTAATAGGCATTAAAAAAAAACGGATTTTTTATAACTTTATTTGGTTGGTGTCATACAAAATGATACATATGATTCAGATATTTTCAGCTAATTTCTAATAATTAAATAAATAATAAAATAAATTAAATAATTATCTAAATTTTTTCAAAGAAACTTCCACATTCTACTGTAATACTTTTTACAAAACTTCTGGATTCCTCCTGCGTCGGTTTTGCTGTTGGCTTCTTCAGAACTTGACTGAAACTGGATCGCATTTTTATTTTTATTACTATATTTTATTTCACTATTTTTCTTATGAATAATATATTTATGGCAGCCTTTGAAAAGAAAGCTCTCGACATCTTTCATCTAAAACCAAAATTAAGGAAACGCTACGTCGACGATACTTTTGTTATGTGGCCTCGTGGTCAGGAGACTCTAGTAGATTTCCTTAGTCATTTAAACTTTATACACCCTAACATACGTTTTACCATTGAGTTGGAAACTAATAGTAATCTTCCATTCTTAAATACCTTTACAGAAAACTTATGCACACAGACCGATACCTTCCATCCACCATCCGGCCCAAAAATCATCGGTTATCAACTCTCTTATCTACAGGGCCGTAAAACCATCTCGGTTCGAGTCACTGAAACCAGAATTAAAACCCTTACCTCCGCTCTTCTCTCTAATAATTTCAACATTAAAGATATTAAGCGTTCCATCACAAAATACACTTCACCACAACTTTCCAATAGCAATACCGAAAGCAATCCTAAACTTGGCACTGTGGTCCTTCCTTACATTCAAAATATCACTGACCACATATCAAAAGTTCTAAAGAAGTATAACGTGAAAACCACTTGTCCAAAAATCTCTCAACATCATCCATCCATCAAAAACAAAATTCCATTTGAGATGCTAAGCATTTAATCAACAATAACAATCTTAACCGCGACTCAGGTCACCAATATAGGAATCAGTCATCCGAGACGGTGTTTATGCCTCTCATTTAGCTCTGCTCCCCTCAAACAATATATAAGCAGGTATGGTCTGTTCATAGATATAAGAAAGTGACCAATTGCTTTTGAATGGAATTATCCATGGGTGGTCATTAAGATTAAGATTATCACCTAAAGTTTCAGAATTTAAATTCAGGTAAAATTGTAATCTGTAATAGAAAATAATTTTATACCTGCCTGTGTTTAATATTCTTTGGTTTGGTATACTACTTAGTTTAAGTTTATTGGTAATCATTCTTATTTCGTGTGTAATACAGGGTGTGTTGAATCGTGTGCGAATTATGCAAAATATGTGCGAGTCTAGTGTATCTCAGGAAATGCTCCTGCCCCTATTCTATTGAGACTAAGGAAGTTATAAACAATGTTTATTTGACTCTCATTGAACGTAGTGCCAGCAAGCATCTTTAGAAGAAACGGCCACATTGCCGACAATTTCAACGTCAACTTATGGAAAATTGTGAATAATCCCATTTCAGCGAGGAAAAAAAGAAGCGATGCTGACATTTTCTCGAGTGTAGATGAAAGTGATCAAGATATAATACGGCGTAAAATTTACCAGTTATACGAGGAACAAAGCGTGCCTACATTAGATACCTTAATTAGGAGGCTTGAAAAAGATGACACTGGTGTTAAATAAAAATTGACAAAAGGCATGTTTTAATGGAATCTTTTAGAATTCGGAAATGGCGACTGGAATATCTAGAAAAAATTAGGATTTACAGAAAACAACAAAGGCCAATTATTTACTTGGATGAAACCTGCTTCGAAACTTATACCCCGGAAAAGGGATGTGTTGAGTCAACTGATAAGTGTAAAACAAACGCGCCATCAAAAAGAGGTAAAAGAATAACTATTTTGCATGCTGGCTCTAAAGATGGTTGGATTCCAAATGGACTTTCTCTGTCTGCGAAAAATATTACCATGAAGATACCACCGCTGATTTATTTGAAAGTTGGTTTAAAAACAAACTAGTTCCAAACATTCCTCCTAGTAGCGTAATTGTAATAGACAATGCAAGTTATTACAGTAGACAGTTGACTAAAACCCCTACCTCATGTGACACAAAAGCAACAATCCAAAAGTACATGTGTAATAACGACATATATTTTCACGAAGATTATACCAAAAAGCAATTAATTGAGGTTCTACAAAGCTTGAATCTACAAAAGGAGTACGTCTGTGACAATTATACGAAAAATCTAGGGCATACAGTTTTAAGGCTTCCACCTTACCACTGTATATTTAATCCCATTGAACATGTTTGGCACCAACTGAAATCTGCCATTCGTCGTAACAATGTTTTTCCCCGTGTTAACTCCAATGTCCTCAAACTTATAGAAACCGAAGATTTTAACATCCCTCACTTTCTTATATCTATGAACAGACATCACAAAGTAAAATACGAACCAGTTTCAGTCAAGCTCTGAAAAAGCCAACAGGATGATTGGCCAAAAGTTAGCAAAAACCGATACAGGAGGATCCAGAAGTTTTGTAAAAAGTAATTATCTAAATGAAAGTCACTACGCTATGTTGGGTATTTTGATTTCGAATATTTCATATTTGAGAACAAAGACGCGCAATTGTGTGTTGTTGCACAATATGAATACATTTTTAGCGCAAATTTCCTTAAAATATGATCCTCATCTTCATCGACTAAGTTCCAAAACATTTTATCATCACTGTGCGTTTTTAAAATTTTTCATTTCTACAAATTAAATTAGAAAAAAAAAAAAGTTCAGATTTTTAGTTTTTAACGCTTTATGACAGCTGTTTTGGCAACACCGTGCCTTTATCAGATACAAAATATGACTATATTCGGACACATACATAAAAACAGGTAGTAATAGATTTTTAATTACAGGTATAGGGTTATAAATTTAAATTTAACAATTGAACTGAGGTGGCTTTTACTCGATGAAAATCCATTTATCAAAATAAATAAGAAATAAAAGTTCAGATTTTCACGCAATTATGTATTATGACATGACAATTGTTTCGACAACACCGTGTTGTCGAAACAATTGTCATTTTGTTAAATTTAACAACAGAGACGCATTTAAATTCAATAAGCCGTTAAGTAATGAATTCGAAGATCCCATTTTGTAAATTTCCATAGCTTCCAACAAATTTAGTTTTTTTGCTTTTTGAATGATTATGTAAAATATCAAAATTATCGTCAAAGTTGTGCATTTCTGAATAGCATATGAATGACATAGTTAGAAACAGGACTTTTAATTTTTATACGCCCTTTTATGTTCGTTAATGCGTTTCTCGAAGGATCTACCTGTTTGTCCGATATAAATTTTGGGACAAGATCCACATTTCAACCTGTAGACTCCGGATTTTTAAGTTTTTCGTAATTTAATTTTACTGTTTTTTAGAAAATGTCCTATGGTAGATGTTTCGAAATTTTCTTGCTAGGTTCTCCTGTGTATTTTATTGTTTTCTAAATTTTGTTTTCGGTATTTAATATGGGATAGATAGAGTTCACAGTCATTTGAAACTATTTTTTAGTTATAATCTTATATATATTTGTTTTATAATATTAAATTCTTTTTCAAAATTTTCTGTAGGAAGTGGTACATTAAGTAGTCTGTTGATAAAAGCATAAAAGGCACACATTTTGTGTGTGTAAGGGTGATTTGGGTTATTATGTATTTATTATCCATGTGTGAGGGTTTATCATAAATGGAAAAATCTAACTTGTTCTGTAGTTTAGTAATAGTTAAGTCTAGAAAAACAATATCTACGTATTTACACCACGAGACAAATCCTTTACTCAGAGAATGTTTATGTATGACATTGTCTAAATTGTCCATGAAAATTTCGGCAAGCAGTGGACTACGTGGGTATCCTATAAATATGCAATATGATCTCACCGAATTATATCAAAAACAAATCATAACAGTAATTACCGATTCAACTCTGTTCAATGACAAGGATAAATACCAACTCCAAAGCTATATTCTTTAATTAAATTACACAAACCGCACCATCAGTTAAATTTTCAACAAGATTAATTAAAATTTTAGAACACGATACTGCCTTTAAACCTAGATATCCTATCAAAGATTCATTCGAACTAATTAACAAGATTAAAGACATAAAAATTCCTCGTACCGCAATTCTAGTTTCATTCGATGATCAAAACTTATTTCCTACCATTCCACCAATAGACAATATTCTCGCGCAGAGACAATTTAACCCTATCATAAAACAAAGCGTGCTAGATAGTTTAACAAATTTAACATGTTAATGTTTAGCAGGAATTATTTGGATATTTTTGGGATAGAAAAAGACCTTTAGACCGTTCACATAGCGATCTGAATAAAATTGATAATAATAAAATTTGCCCACAATTTCAACTTTTGATTCCAAACAACAGAATCTGTTACTACAAAGCAACATGAATCAAAAATGGGAAAAATATTCCGAATTTTTGACAAAAATTTCGCTCATTTCAATTTTCAGTACGTAAAAAAATTTATGATAAATATTAATTAAATTCTTATTATTATTAATTTAAAAATATTTTTGTTTCGTAACATTTGCACATGTTTTCTACTTATAAGCCGCAAATCCGATTACTGTTTCAGATACACAGAGAAATTTGCATTGCATTGCATTTGCACATTCCGCCCAACAAGTTAAATTTCAACTCGATCGATACGCATACGGACGAGGGTCAATTTCGACCACGACTTGCCAAATTATATTATATTCCGCTTGTTTAAAAAGTTTTCACGCCCGCCCATGTAGGGAGATGTACTTTCGCGTTGAATCCTACCTGCAGTCTGAGGTCCTCTGCCGAGTACGAAAATAGCACGTGATTGTCGTACAGCAACTGTCTTACGTTCCCGAGGATGCGGACAACGCTTTGAAAGATGGACCTGTGAAAGATACTTTTCCTGTAAGCGTGAGTCGCCGTGACGATCTGACCGTCGTCGCACTCAGCCCGTCCGCTAACTTCGGCCGACTCGATCGTCCACAATTCATTTTGCAAATGTCGATATTCCTTTCGGATCTGTTCTAATTCCAAATCGTTCCCTGAATAAAGTAATCTTTTGAATTATACATCGACCAGTGGACGGGGCCATAGATACTAAAATGGTAAGTGACCCGGCCACAGTTCGTTATGCAATTGTTTCACCCCGTGTTGCCAAATATTCAGTTATTATTTCCTAGATATAAATTTATATACTTTTTATAGTACTCTTAAACAATAATCCTAATTTTCAAAGGCCAACAACTAATGTACATAAATATTATCTATTACTGCTAATTTTGATATCAACGCGAATTGTTCTCGGATCGGAACCGGAGTTCTCCGCGAAACATCGTAGTTTTACCAAAGCGATTTGGCAATGCCGGATGACATTCGGCGTTCACAGTTGAAACTTTCCCGTCTACCAAAACGCAGGATTACCCCTACCCGACTTTTATTCTTAACCCACGGAAAACAAATTTACCGTGGTTTACGCAACAACCGCTTGTCGCCAGCGTCGCGCGTCATTAACGAATTTTTCTCTTGGGGTTTTGATTTTTTCAAGTGTTTGGTGTTGTGTTTCTGGTCGTAAAAATGACGACAAGCTGGTTAAGACTTTTAGATAAAGCTGTAGGTTCCACTCAGTCGCTGTGTACAACGTGGTTAATGTTTATTTAGTGCATCCCCTCGTTTTGCGAAATGTAGAATGCCATAGTTAGTGCGAATTCAGGATATTTGTCGTGAAGATTTTTTAAGGGCCAAAAGACTATAGACTAGGAAGAAATACATATTTATATTTGTCTTTTTTTTTGATAATTAAGAATTCAGAGGTACATTAAGAATTTCAGGTTCAGTCAAAACCAAGGACAAATTAATTTATAGAAAGCTAAGGCATAATTTTTTTCCTGAAATTTTGAAATTAGTAACCCAAAATCCCTATTGTGTCAGGGAGTGATCATAGTTGATTATTTGTTAGTTCCAATTTAATTTTATTTTTTATTTTACTTTAATGTTGTGCGTCAAAATTTGTGCCCCTACTTTAATTTTATAATAGTTCACCAAACTTTTACATATGACGACTAAAACGAAATCTCACTATTCTTTGGTCAATTTTGAAATTACATAAAAGTCCCACCTACCTGTTATTTTTTCGCGTACTTTTAAATAATTCGTCAACAGTTCGAAGAGGTGGTGACGTTTCACTGCAAGGCCCTTGAGTTCCGCCTCGAGAAAGTCACTGCGGAACTGTTCCAACGAGTCCAATTCGCTATTGTGATAAAGTGCGCTTAGCTGTTGCTCGGTGTAAGGCTTTATCTCGGGCCTTTGATACGGAAACTGTTTCAGTTGCTCCGAAGGTTTGTTATAGACGTCGCTGTCCTCCACGGTTTTTAAAATTATCCTATTGGTATTTAGAAGTGCCGTGGCTTCGACGTCCCGCCGCGTCTCTCCGGATTTGGGGCCGCAAGAGCTCACGATCACGCCGATGTCGTCGACCGTTTTCAAAATTTGTTTGTTCATGTCCAAAAATTTCTCCATACTAGTTTGTGTGGATCTGCCCCGTAGGTCATCGTCACTTTTCTCTATTGTTTCGTTTGTCGCTAAAATATTATCACTCTTTTGAACGAATACGTTTGGGGAACTGGCCGGAACTATATTCGTGCCATTTCCGGCAGGATCGGGGAACGACTGGGGCTCTAAACTTTCGGATAAAGCCTTTTCGATTGCATTTTCTCCGAGAATTTCAGCCTTCTGAGTTTCCCGTTTCTTTTTCTAAAATAAAAATTTCGGTATTGTATCAGCAAAAATATCCAGTTTACCTTAAGTTTTTGTTTAGACTTTACAGCTTCCATTGTCGATTTGGCTGCAATTGTTATTCGGATGTAAATGTTTACAACGCTCTTTGCCAAAACATTATCAGCTGATCTTGGGTTACACTCCTAGTGAGAGTTTTGGTCAGTTTAAGAAAAATTAAACACCAGAGTTTTTTACCACTTCAAAATTTTGTTCCCAAGAAATCTTTTATGATCGATATCGCAAATTCGAATGAACTGTTCAATGGAGATAATTATTTGTTGAACTAAATCATAATGTGCGTGTCGGTGGATAACGGAAATAACGGGTGCCAGTAATGGGCTAGTCTCTTTAGTTGGCTCCCTACTTTATTGAAGAACAAAATTACCCAAAAAAAATGCAACCCAAAATGTATTTTGGGAAGTTGCCAGTTGTTTTAGAGTCCTAGTCAAACATTCTTATAGTGCGTAGCGCTAAGTTGTTAGTTATGAAAATGCACACATTTTTCTAACCATGAACTGACGGAAGCCACGTTCACTGCCTTCCTAGACGTTAGTCAATGGTGTCGTATTTAACCTGCTTGTTTTTTAAATAACACCAATTTCAAATTTGTTAACAATTTTCGTTAAACAGCAAATTCAGGATGTCTTATATGCTCGCGCATTTACACAACGGCTGGCAAGTCGACCAAGCCATATTGTCGGAAGAGGATAGGGTGGTGGTAAATATCGCGATATTAAATAAAATTTTGTTTTGTTACTAAAATTATTCCTCAGGTAATTCGATTCGGACACGATTGGGACCCGTCCTGTATGAAAATGGACGAAGTGTTGTACAGCATAGCGGAGAAAGTAAAGAACTTTGCGGTTATATATTTAGTGGATATCACGGAAGTTCCGGATTTCAATAAAATGTAAAATGCCTCCGAGTTTCATAGTTTGCCGATCTAAATTTCTCTGTTTGTAGGTACGAATTGTACGATCCCTGCACGGTCATGTTCTTCTTTCGCAATAAGCACATAATGATAGATCTGGGGACGGGCAATAATAACAAAATTAACTGGCCTTTAGAAGACAAGCAGGAAATGATAGATATCATCGAAACAGTATATAGAGGTGCGAGGAAAGGCCGAGGTCTAGTCGTGTCTCCTAAAGATTATTCTACAAAATATCGCTACTAAAAGGTTATCAGGAACTTTATGGACCATATTGGTTTGAGCAGCGGTTTTGTATATTTACTTGCCTTTTGTTTAAATAAATTGTTTAATAGTAACATTTATGATTTTTCAATGTGAGTAACAAAAATCATCTACGCAGGGTGTGTGAAAGTAACGTTGAATATTTTTTTTTTTTCATGTCTCGCTTCATTATCGATAAAAAAAATAAAACCCAATAAATCTTTTTTTTGCTCAAAAACGAAGGGAGTATACTCTGGGAGTTTTGAAGTGTTTAATAGTTTAATGAAAACATTCGGTTCTAGATAAAAATTCTGTTGTTTTCTAGAGATATTCTAGTTTGTGGCTTCTGTAAAAATGGTATCTTTACACATTGATCTAAAACCATTTATGATTAAAGTCCTTTGTTTGACGCTTCATATTTTACTCTTAATTTTGTTTAATAACGGTCATTTGCCAAATTAAAAGTTTTCAAATATCCGGAAAACTGTAGCGGCAATTTACTAAGTAGACATAACCTAAAAACCTCATTCACAATTTAAAATTTTATGTTGTTCAGTTGCCCTCACCATACCATTAAAAAGAAGAAGCTTTTGGCATTATCAGCAGAGAATACCACTTTATTTTTAGTAGTCCGAGGCGAGAACATCGTAACTCAATAAAAAAAGGGCAATTCCTTTGAGAGAAGAGAATAATGTAGTTCCAATCGGAGATTTTTCAATTTTTTATTTTCAAAGCGAAGGGCACGAATTTTGCACGGTTTTGTTTATGTTTCGAAATGCGTCATTTCGAGATACAGGGCGCTCAACTTTTAAAAATTCTTGTTCTAGACAAAAAAAATATTGAAGGTAATAATAAACTTTTTAGATTTATTTGCCAATTAGGGATATAAATTTGTTTTTCTTTTTTTGACAACGAAAAGACGTTTTATTTAAAGTTCTTTTTCTTGAAAGAGAAAAATATTCCATTTCTATTTATGTAGAACCACCTTTTAAAAACGTCATTTACGGACATCCTGTATATATAATTTTGTTAGTTTCGAAATAAAAAAGGAAACATGTAACTCTGCTTACAAATATTGTCGCAGTAAAAATTATTATAAATTATTTCATATTACTAGCGTCTTCTTTTATAATATCAGTATCTAGAAATAAAATCACACATAATAGATTTAACAACTTTTATTGCGTTTCTGCATCCGGCTCCAACCGAATAAGTGTCCTCGATCCGAACGTATTCGTCACTAGAAATAAAGCATATTTATTTCGTAAAAATATTTTACAACTTCTTAAACTTACCTTCGTCGATATTTCTCAAATCGAATACGGTAAAATTGTTCGACTTTTTATCGCCGCCCAAACTAATCACGAAAGGGGAATCGGGGCACAGCTCGACGCAGTGCAGGTTTCCCATCGAAAAAACTTTTTCAAACACCAGTTTCGGTTCCTGTCCCTCGTAAATATCCCATATTTTTACCAATTCGTCCGGCGAGGCGGTGACTAACAACCCGGGACATTGGTCACTTACTGTTAATCCCGTTACTTCTTTATTATGTGCCGGAACGCCCCAAAGTTTACCTAAAACCCAAATCTCGGTAATCTTCTTCTTCTTAATACATTTCATAAACATATGGGAATGTTATATTTATTCGATTTAAGTAGAAAATCACAAGGAATACACAATAATTCAATAGAAATACACAGTTTCACTTATAGCAGTGGTCTAAAAAGCATAACAGAATAACGGTAGATATTCTACTGTGATAGATAAACTTGGGATTTGTAAGGTTATAAAAATGAGGGATGAGACAGTCAGTCATATGTGGTTTTTGTTTAAAAAAATTATGATGGCCATTTTTTATTATTATCGAAATTCGTATCTAAAGACGCTAAATGTGCCCTTTTTTGTGAAGAAAATATGTTTGTTTCACTGACGTTAATGACACTCTCTTTCCAACATTTCCAAAAATAAATGTTTTAAAAGCGTATTTATTTAAAAGTTGAGGGCCTTTTAATTATGATAGAATATAAAAAATAATTTAAAAAAAAAGAACGCTTTAAATGTATTTCTTTTCTAAGTTGCGACCTAGTATAAAAATTATTAAGAAGTTTAAAATTTTTGTTTCCAAGTTTTTTTACAAAAAAATTGAAGGTTATGTATATATTTGTTTTGTCTCAATTATTATTAGTGTATTTTTTTCTAGGTTAATGGTTTTTTAATTACGGCATAATATAAAAAATATGTTAAACAAGATTTAGGTGTATCTTTTTTTTTAAGTTTTCTAAATTTCGACGGAAAGCAAAAATTATTTTAAAAAAGGCTTTTTAAGTGTTTTTTTATATTTAATTTTTTTATTATTTATTATTTTTTTATTTATTTTTTCGTAAATTACGACGGAAAACAAAAATTATTTTTAGAGTATTTTTTTAAATATTAATACGGCATAAATAAATATTTAAAGAAAGGTTTTTAAGTGTGTGTTTTTTATTTAATTAAGACGGAATACAAAAATTATTGTAAAAAAAGTTTTTAAGTGTGTTTTTCCACGTTAATGGTTTTTTAATTACGACGAAATACAGAAATTATTTAAAAAATATATTTTAAGTGTATTATTTGTTTAAATCACAACGAAATATGAATAGGTTTTAATTGTATTTTTTGTCGAAAGATTTTTTAATTATGACGATATGCTAAAATAATTTTTAAAAAATGTTTTAAGTGAGTTTTGTTAAATTACAGCGCACTGCACAACTTATTTTAAAAAAAGTTTTAAACTATTATACAATACGTCTTTTTTTAATGGATTTAAATAGATTTTTTGTTTAAATTACGGCGAAATATAAAATTAAAAAAAAAAGTTTTAAGTGTGTATTTCTTTAAGCTGATAGTTTTTAATTATGATGGAATAGAAAAACTATTTTAAAAAAAAGTTGGAAGTGTTTTTTGTCCAACTTATTATTAAAAAAAAGGGTTTAAAATGTATTTCTTCTTATAAGTTAATAGTTTTCTAATTAATTAATTGTTTTTTTTTAATTAATTAATAAGGGATTACAAAAACTATTTTTAAAAAAGGTTGAGAGTGTTTTTTTTGCCTAGATTAATAAAAAAAAGGTTTCGAGTGTATTTCTTATTAAAAGTTAATAGTTTTTGAATTAATTACTTCTTTAAGTAATTAATAAAGGATTCCAAAAAATATTTAAAAAAAAAAGGTTTTAAGTGCACTTTTTCCACATTAATGTTTTTTTAATTACGACGAAATACAAAAATTATTTAAAAAAAAAGGTTTTAAGTGTATCTTTCTTTAAGCCGATAGTTTTTTAATTATGACGGAATACAAAAATTATTTTTTAAATAACTATTCAAAAAAGAGTTTAACGTGTATTACTTCTTATAAGTTAATAGTCTTCTAATTAATTAATAAGTTCTTTAATAAATTAATAACGGTTTACAAAAATTATTTAAGAGAAAGATTTTAAGTGCACTTTTTCCACGTTAATGGTTGTTTTAAATACAACGAAATACAAACAATTGTTTTAAAAAAGGTAGAAAGTGTTTTTTTGTCTAACTTATTATTTAAAAAAAGGGTTTCGAGTGTATTTCTTATTATAAGTTGATAGTTTTCTAATTAATTAATTAGTTCTTTAATTGATTTTTAACAAGTTACAAAAATTCTTTAAAAAAAAAAGTTTCAATTGTATTTTTCGCATTTTTTTTTTAATTACCACTGAATCACAAAACTAACTGTAAAAAAGTTTTAATGGCTTTTTTTATATAATTTAAAAACGTTTCAAGTCGTCTTTTTTTCCTAAATAGTTAAGTTCGAATTTTCCACAAAAAAAATTACCCTTCCGGCAGTCGAAACATTCCACGGAGCCGCCGCTGGTGCCCGCCAGAAAACTAAAGGGCTGCAGGGGGTTCCAAGCGAGCCTCTCGGCCTCCCCGTCCAACGTCCAAGTCTGATGCTCCTCAGGCGTACGACAATCGAAAACTTTCGCCTTTTTATCGCACCCGCCCGCCAAAAGCGTCTGCCCTTCGAACTTGTGCCACTCCAAACACTGTACCTTATCGTTGAAAGCGTCGATCGTGCTACTGGGCGCGAGATTCTCCATGTCCCACAGTATAATCGTTTGGTCGACCGAACCGCTGGCCATCACGTGTTCGTACATTTTGTTCCACGCCAATGCCAAAACGGCGTCCGTGTGCCCGACGTGGTCGCGTTTTTTCTTCTTGTTCGCCATCTTGCCCAACGTGAACGCGGGCCGGACGCCGTTAATGATATCGACGTCCCACACTTCGATAACGGGCGACATGGAACCCACGGCGCAGTAGTTCCCTTTGGGTTGGTTAGGTTCGAAGTTCGACCATTCGAGACACAATGGAAACGCGGGTAAAAAAATGTCGTGATGGACGTACAGCGCTTCCTCCTCCGCATTATACACTACAACGGAATATTGGAGTTTCCAAATACGAAATTCATCGTTTTTCATCGATTAATCGATTAAATACAAAAAGTCATAATTATTAATCACGTTCGAATCGGTCAAAATTTGTAAAATATACCGCAACGTCAATGTACTGCGCAAGAAATTGAAAACTGTGGTTTCTAAATACAAAAAGTCATCATTTCTAATCGATTAAATACAAAAAGTCATAATTATTAATCACGTTCGAATCGGTCAAAATACGTAAAACATACCGCTACGTCAATGTACTGCTTAAGAAATGGAAATTTGGAGTTTCTAAATACAAAAAGTCATAATTTTTAATCGATTAATCGATTAAATACAAAAAGCCATTATCATTAATCATGTTTGAATCGGTCAAAATACGTCAAATATACTGCTACGTCAATGTACTGCTTAAGAAATTGAAAATTGGGGTTTCTAAATACAAAATGTCATAATTTTTAATCGATTAATCGATTAAATACAAAAAGTCATAATTATTAATCACCTTTGAATCGGTCAAAAATCGTCAATGTACTGCTTAAGAAATGGAAAATTGGGGTCTCTAAATACAAAAAGGTATCATTTCTAATCGATTAATCGATTAAATATGTAAAATATACCACTATGTAGATGCACTGCTTAAGGAATGGAAAATTGGGATTTCTAAATACAAAAAGGCATAATTTTTAATCGATTAAGCGAGTAAATACAAAAAGTCGTAATTTTTAATCGATTAATCACGTTTGAATTGAATATGAAAGTCTAAAATTTAATATCATTTTGTGGCGATTTAAAAATCTCCTATTATCCATCAATCAGGTTTAAATTAAACAATCTTCAAAAATGCGTTTGTTTCATATCAAGAAACTTAACAATAACATATTTTTTTCAAAAATAATATAAAATACAAAAATCAATGTTTGAATTTGTATATTTCGCTTCGTACCAAAATATCGTTTATATTTCAATGACGATTTTTGTCAAACGATCAAAAAATTAAATGAAAGTTATTTGGAGCTAAAGCAACTAGGTATTGAAACAAAAATGAAATAAAAAAAAATTAATAATCAATTTTGGAAATTTTTTAGTTATTATTAATAAGCATACTAATATAAAATTAAAATTATAACCAAGTATATCCAACAACTGAGCACAATAATTGTGCACATTAATTATTTTTTTATATTTATTTATTATATAACTTTGCCTCATTTTGAAACAAGGTTTTAAGGATATTTATTATTATTTTTTGCTTTAAATGTTTTTTAGTTACTATAAAATGAAAAAAAAATCCCTTACAAATTAGAAATTACAATTAGAAATCTGTAAAATCTGAAATTTGTGAAATCAAAAATACAAAAATTCTCCAACATAACTACTAAATATATAATTATTATTTTGAAAATAATAATAAAGTCAATTCTCGATTATCGATTTTGGATACAATTGGGTTTATCCTGACGAGTCTGTAATTATTTAACTTTGTGCATGTTTTTTTGAATACGGCACAAATTTTGGACACATTACGCAACAAACACCTCATATACATCCCAAAAATTTTACTTACCATACACTTCTAAAATACTCGCGTCTCCTTCCACGTGTCCCACTAAAATAAGATTATCGTTCGGCTTAAAAACGTCATCCTCCCGCTCGGAATCGTCAGACTCTGAAAAGTGCTCTTCCGCCTCTGTCTCGAGCTCAGCAAGAGTGTGGATGCCCAAAGTTTGAGCCGCTGATTCGTCTTAAAATCAACGGTCAATTCCTCGATTTCGATTTAGTTTACCCTGTTACCGTCGTTGTCGTAAGATTCGAAATTAAACTCGTCGGAAGCATCTTCTATCGCAACATCCTCCGATCCAGTGCGGTTGTCTGTAACTCTAAAGCGTGTATGAAAATTATACCGATAAATAGTAAAGCCGATACCGTAACTTATGCTTGGTGTCCTTAATAATCTCAACCAGTTCGTTTTTCGATAACTGAACCTACGAATTGGGATGGAATTTGAAAAACATCTTTAAGGTTATGTCAAACGTGCTCACTTTGGCGGGATTGGGGCTTGCGGCGCCCCTTTTCACCCAGCGCAGGCACGGCACGAAATTTACGCTGCTAGTGTTATTTTCCGTTTCCATAATCGAAAACAGCGTAAAAATCCGTAACGAAATTTTATTAGGAACACTTAACCTCTTGGTGCTTAGGGTGGAGTTCTACGCGGCGCTGTCAGATTTCATTATGATGGGCGAGTGTCCGTGGTCGATTTGCCCATTTAAAATATTAATAATCCCAACAATTTCGTCATTAATATGTTTCGTGTGGTAAAGACTCGTTCCTTTATCCAAGTTTATTCATTAACTATATTAAAAAACTTATTACTGACATTTCCCCAGAGTAATTATTTTAACATCTCGTAGAATTTTGCTTAAGTTGAAATTCCTGATGGCGCTTCATCAATTGCCCAGACAAGCTTTTCTACATTCGCCCGAGGACGAAGTAAGAAGGCAGTAATTTCCGCAAAATATCGAGAATAAAGTAATAGGAGTTGCTCCGTTTGCTTCTAATTTTAAGAGGCTTTGTGCCACAAAACGCCACAATTTTCTGATAAAAATGTTAAGGGGCCATTTATGGTTTTTTCATCTACGCCTTAACGAAACGCATAAATTAATGTTAATTTTCTAACGGTGCCGACCAATCGGAAACTAATAGAAATTGTATTTACGAGATTTAAAATAAACGAGACGCTGTGTTTATACTGCTTTTATTCGCCTTTTTTGTGATTGACATTACACGCCCTGTGTTTTATTTATACGAACGCGAGATATAAGTAAACATTTAAAATTAAGATCGCAGCTCGCGGCGCCATCTAGTTTTGGCGAGTTGTAACCCGCTAAGTTTGTGGGAATAATAATTCATTTTTTATGGAATTCTTTGACGAACCAACGTAAAGACTCACATGCTTGCTAAACGGTGGTTCATCGTGAATCCTACTAAATAATAAGTATGCTCGAGCGCGCACCGATGAAGAAACTCCTTCCACCACCTGTTATTTTCGGGGAAAGTGTTCTGAATGAAATCGGGACAATGCCATCGCAGTTCTTCGTCGGTGCTGAGGCCGACCGGTTTCAGTTGATTTTTTCGGCGAACAATGCGCGCGTGTTTTAAAAGGATTTTGAAAGATTTTTGAACAAATAAAGTAAGTAGTCGGATATAGCTTTTATTATCTTTCTCATTTTTCAATTGCGTAAACAAAAACGACGTTGAAGAATGACGGATGAGACGTCGTGGTGAAGTTTTTAGCTTTTAAAGCGTAATAGAAAAAAATATATTTCAGATGGTTTTAAAGACCGACAGCGTATTTTAAGACAGCAAAAAACGGTCCGTCAATAACGTTTATAAAATGCAACGTTTCAAAATACCGTTATAGTTTCTGTGTTCTGTGCATTGCATCCCAAGTTGTTTGCTTACTGTCTAAGTCTATATTCTGTGGTTGGCTGTTATAATACGTCCAAAAATATTTATTGCTTTTACGTTTTAAGAATTTTACAGACCTTCGTGGTAAAACCCGTCCCGAAAGATGTTTATTCTGCATTAATGAAATTTTTATTTGAAACGTACATGGACAATTTTAAATTTGATTAGGCATTGATACTGCCAAAAATGTCAAAGATTCAAGTGTGGATTACCATGACCTGTTGCGAAACCTATCGCCAAATACTGTTCAGCCCAAATTAGAAAAATTGCAAATATTTCTTCAAGTAAAGAAGAAATTAAAGAATTTCTGTACGAAAATGATTTATATTTTGAAGAGAGCTACACGAAAAAACAACTTCTGCAATCATTAAAAGTAACACATTTTAATAAAGACTACAAAATCGATTCGATAGCTCAACAAAAAAAAAACTATCACGCAGAAACACAACACAGAAGTTTGTAGTATATAGTATTACAGTGGTCTGTGAAAGTTTCTTAAAAAAAAAAGAGCGTAATTAACCGTTTCCTTGTCTTCCTTGTCTTTCCAGAAACTTCCAAGGCTTAAACGAAGATGACGAAGTCTTACAGAGCGTGCGTTGACGTTTGCAAATACGCGACCAGGCAGAGTTCCCAAGCGACGACGGCGATATGCGAGGCGTCGAATTCGCACAAATTCGTCAAACCGTATTCGGCAATTCCCGGCCCGAAGCCGATCCCGTTTCTGGGAAATACCTGGCGATTGCTGCCCGTGATCGGCCAATACGACGTTTCGGACGTCGCGAGGCTCTCCGAACTGTTTTACAAAGAGTACGGCAAAATCGTAAAACTGTCGGGACTCGTGGGACGGCCGGATTTGTTGTTTATCTACGACGCAGACGAAATCGAAAAGGTTTACAGGTAAGGACGTGATACGAGACGTTCACGCGACTGGGGCGATTACATAGGGTGTAAAAACTATAAACAAGTCGATTTTTTAGGCGCTGGGGATACGCGTCGGCCATTTTGTAATTCTCGCTATTTAACTAACCAACCAAAACGAGCAATAACAGCAAATTTCGTTAAATTCTTAAGTTTTATTCATTAAAAGTTTTATTCTACTTTTACGAGTTAACATTTTATCTATTTCCTATCTATCTAAAACATTTAAGTTTGGTTGGTAAGTTGGTAGTTTGTTTTTTGACGATTTGTCTTTTTTTTCTTTTTAATTTTTGTTCTTTGCCATCTTTAAGTTTGATGTGTGAAAAGTTAAACATGGTTTACTTTTATTTAATCTTTGAACAATTTACTTCATACGCATATGTTGAAATAAGCTATGTACCATGTATAGGGTCTTGGGACACTACCTTATCTCAGAAACTGTAGGGAAGGAGCCAAAAGTTAATTCGGGTATTACAAACCTTCGATTAATTTTAATGTTTTATACACAGGATTGTTCATTTTTCGTTGGCGAGTATCAACGTTTTTATTTTAAATGGAACATCTGGCATATTACTTCATTTCTGAATTCTATACAAAATACTAGACATATTTTGTGTATAACGTCCTACACTTAAATCTAACCGTTTTCGACGTTTTTAATTTTTTATTGCAAGACGTAAAATATCTGCCGATGGCATCATTGTTTCACATGAGTAAGTTTTCTTGTAGACAAAGGATTTCATTAACGGATTTAATAAGAAATTTCCATACATATTAAGAGAGGGTATGCGAAAAATAAGATTAAAAATGAAATTAAAGAAATGCCAAAAAAATCTTGTCATATTTAACATTAAAAATTAATTCAATTTTATAAAAGGTTATATATGCCTAACATTTTTACTTTTTGAAATATTGCCTTTTAAACATTTTTCTATTACAACTAATGTGCCGTTGCCATCAAAGTTCAGTTAGTGTGAGGTGGCTATGACGGCGTTTAAACAAAACAAGTGCTGGAACGCTGCACCCTTGGGCACGGGGTTGGTTGTTGATTACTGCCATACTTCAAATATGTTTTGAACACGTTATTGATTTATGTATTTATTATTATTGAACGATAAAAACCGGACCCTGGCTTTTACGGAGGCGCACAGAAAAATGGATTTACCAACACTTTAGAATATATGGAACTTTGAAGGAAGAAAGAGTCATTTTTCTCATAAAACATTAAAAATGTCAAAAACGGTTAGACTTAGGTATAGCACGCTAGAATTTTGTAAAGAATTCAAAAATGAAGTAGTATACAAGTTGTTCCATTTTAAATAGGAAAGTTGATATTCGCCCACGAAAAAATAAACACCCTGTATATACAACATTAAAATAAATTAGAGGTTAGTAATGCCTCGATTAACTTTTGTATTTAACTTTTGGCTTTTTTTTTAAACTTGGTAGAAAGACGCTTCGCGTTTTCTTAATTATCTTAAATTTCCGACATATTTATTTTTCGTACGTCTCCCTTGCAAAAAAAAATCTGTGGTTAGGCGCCTATTTCAACGGGAAGAAGGATAAGAATTGTTTTGGTTTATATTCTTAAGTTACCGTAACGGTTTTACGGTTCAGTTGAAGGTATTTCCTCAATTTTATGTGGAAAACTTGTGGGAAGTCCAAAAGCAATAGGTTTGTTTCGACAGGAACGAAGGCCCCACCCCCTTCAGGCCATCGATGCCGTGTTTGGTCAAGTACAAGAGCGAAGTGAGGAGGGATTTTTTCGGCAAATATGGCGGAGTCGTCGGAGTGTAAGCTTTATTTTCTTATATAACATATGTTTCAGTTTCTCAGTTAGTAAATCGAATCAGTTCCGCGTATTCATAAATTCACATCGCGCCCAAGGAAACCGATTAAAATTAAACTTCCAAGGAGATCCACACGGCGCGTAAAAGTTTCTTATGTTCAAAAACGCCAACAATTCTGAGAACGTCTTTATTAATAGTGGTAAACGTGGCAACATTGCTGTTAGCATTCTGTGTTGAGAGTCGCGTATTAAGAAGTCTGTATATAAAAGAGTGAAATGCAGCCATTTTGTATGTACAAGGGTGATTTGAGCTGTTATGTATGACTGTGTCCGTAATGTAAAAGTGGTATGATACGGACACAATCATACATAACAGCTCAAATCACCTATATATACACAAAATGGCTGAATTTCACTCTTTTATACACAGACTTCTTAATACGCCACTCTCAACAGAAAATTGCAACAAAAAACTTAATATCATTAAACAAATTGCACTGAACAACGGCTATGTTTATCCGAAACCTAAAACAGAACACGAACAATTTAATTGTTCGTGTTCGTTGTTTTGTGTACCTTAAAATATTATCAAGACAAATTGAACGCACGGTACATTCATAGGGTTCGACGTTGACATCGGAAACATTTTCAGACACGGTGAGCCGTGGAAAACATTCAGGACGAAAGTGCAAAAACCGATTTTGCAAATGAGCACCGTCATGAAATACGTAAGTCCCATCGAAGAAGTCACGTCGGATTTCATCGGAAGGTGAGTGCGAAAATAGATGGTCTCGGCAGATTTCCATAAGAAAATTTGACGTTTTAGCTGTCAATCGGAAAAAGAAAACAAAAAAAAAAGCTAATCGGCCTTATAGGTTTTACGAGTGCCTTTCGTATTTGTGGTCAGATTTTCAGATCACTTTTTTTAGAAATTTAATCTAATTTTATTTTCAATTTTCATTTGAATTAAAAATAAAATATGCCATACACAGTGTGTCCCGCCCTTTTGAAATCTTTGTTTACGGTTCCATTTTGATTTTTGTTTTTAAACCTTTATTCAAAAAATATATAGTTGCATGTACGTTGCAAGGGCAAGAGTGCAACTAAACCCACACGAGTAAGTTCAGTGGATTTTACATTTTCCCCAGAGAGAAAGAATATTTTTAAAAAAATCACGAAAATGTAAGAACCTTTCAAAATGAAATTAATTCTTTCTCGAAGTAAAACGAAACTACATTTACGAAGAATTTTATGAGCGGATGAGGTTTTGACACGATGGGATATTTTGAGAAAATTAGGGATAACGTTATGGTCGCCAAAAAGTAACAAATAAATCTGTGTACAGGGTAATCTTACCAGTTTCAGGCGGTGATCTAACTTTCCGCTTGATATAAAGATAAGACGAATAATAAAGATATCACGAACTTCGCAAGGATATATCGGATATAAAAAATATTCGTCCTACAACCAACATAAAGATTTCAAGGATTTCGCAAGATAATTCGCGGATTATTCAAAGATTTCACGAATTGACACGAAAATATTAAGCATTTCACAGATTTCATAACGATATCACGGATTTCGCAAGGATATATCGAATATCACAAATATTCGTCCTACAACCAACATAAAGATTTCAAAGATTTCTCAAGATATTTCGTGGATTATTCAAATATTTCACGAATTAACACAAAAATATTAAGGACTTCACAGATTTCATAAAGATATCACGGATTTCGCAAAAGATATATCGAATATCACAAATATTCGTCTTACAGTCAACATAAAGATTTCAAGGATATCGCAAGATATTTCTTGAATTATTCAAATATTTCACGAATTAACGCGAAAATATCACGAATTTCACAGATTTCATAAAGATATCGGGGATTCCACATTTCGCGTTTTACAAAGATTCGTCTCACAGCCAACATAAAGATTTCAAGGATTTCGCAAGAGATCTCGTGGATTATTCAAATATTTCACAAATTAACGCCAGATTTCACAGATTCGTCTCACAGACAACATAAATTTTTCAAATATTTCGCAAACACACAAGAATATTACGGATTTGACAGATTTCCCAAAGATATCACGGATTTCACAAGGATATTAAGGATTTCATAAAGATTTCACAGATTTCCCAAATATTTTAGGAACATATCACGGAGCACACAAAGATATCACGGGCTTCGAATATTTCACAGATCTTCCAAAGGATGTCACAAAGATTTCACGGCTATTTATTTTTCCGATTTACTCCGCATTCTTCTGAAACGACTTCCACATTTCCATTACATTAAATGATTCTAAAAATTATTAGAATTAAAGTCATCCTGATGGCTTCTTCGGAGTCGATTCGACAGCAACCCACGCAGCAGGAATCCAGAAGTTTTAGGAATGGTGGAAGTTTCTTTGAAAAATTTACAAAGTTCTCATTCGATTTTTTGACTTATTATTTATATTTTAGTGCACATTTTTCCATTTTCCGTTGCAGAATGATGGAAATGCGAGACGAAAATGGAGAAACGCCAGCCGATTTCGACAACGAGATCCACAAATGGGCGCTAGAATGTAAGTCGAACGCTTCTGCATTTTTTACTTTCGCGACTGAGGTCCTTTTTCAGGCATAGGCCGCGTATCTCTGGACGTGAGGTTGGGTTGCCTGGATCGGAACTTGTCCTCGGATTCGGAGGCGTTGAAAATTATCGACGCCGCGAAATACGCGCTGCGAAACATCGCTATCATGGAGCTGAGGTTCCCGTTTTGGCGCTACTTTCCGACCTCGCTGTGGACGCGTTACGTGAAAAATATGGACTACTTCGTCGAGTAAGGTCGCTCGTCGAAATTTCCTTTCATATGTTAGTTTTCTTCGTTTTCCAGGATCTGCATGAAACATATCGACGCGGCGATGGAAAGGCTGAAAGAGAAAAGGGACGTCGAGGACGAGGACTTGTCCTTGATAGAGAGGATACTCGCTAACGAGAAAGACCCGAAAACGGCGTACATCCTTGCGCTGGATCTGATATTGGTGGGGATCGATACGGTAAGTTCGTTAATTCGATTGGTTAGTTTCATAAAAAATGAATATTCTTTGGCGTGATATCTTTGTGTGATCCGTGAAATCTGTGAAATCAGTGATATCTTTGTGAATTTTTCATAAAATCCGTGATATATTTATGAAATACGCGAAACCTTTTCAAACCTGTGAGATCTTTGTTATATTTGTCATATTTTCGTGTAATCGCTGAACCATGTGGGAAATCTGTGAAATCTGTGAAATCTCTCCGGAACCCGTAATATCGTTGTGGAATCCGTGATATATTTGCGAAATATGTGATTTTTGTGAAATCCGTGATATACTTATCAAATCCGCGAAACCTTTTTATACCTGTGAAATCTTTGCTAAATTTGTGATATTTTTGTGTAATCGGTGAAATCATTTAGAAATCTTTACCTAAAACCTGTGAAATCTTAGTGAAATTCGTGATATCTTTGTGAAATATTTGGGAAATTTTGTGAAATCTTTATGGAATCTGTGATATATCTTTCTAAAAACCTTGATACCCCTGGGAAATCTGTGAAATTTTTGTGAAGTCTGTAATATCTTTATCTCCTGAAGTTTTTCCGGGAAGTTTTTTTTTAATCCAAGAAAAAATCAATTTTCGAAAACCGTTTATGGGATTGCCAAAAATTTTTGAACGAAAAGATCGGCAAGATCAAATTCTATGAACTTTTATTTTTCATATCTTTCAAAAATGTACAGCGTGTGCAAAAAAAGGGAAATTGGGTCCCCCTATAATTATAAGTGACCATAACTAAAAGGCTCCTATAACATGGCCGTATGGACAGCTAAAACTAAAGTTGTCACGTAGTGTACGGGATATTCTATGCTATATTCAATAATGTAATAGGTGTCTCAAATTTGCAGCTACCCACGTCAAGTCAAATATCGCCAAGTATTTTTTTTTTAATTTTGATGTTTTTTGATTATTTTGGCTTGCAGAAAAAAATATTTTCACGAAAAGCATTTTTTCGATTATATACAGGGGTTTTCAATTATCTAATCTAAAAAAAATTGTTCTCTTATAGAGTAACTTATTAGCCGCAAATCAAAACTCGTAGAAAATATGGCTAATCTTCTTTGGATTATATAAAGGGTGTCTTTAACTGTGCCGCGGGATAGTTTCAGTTTTGGTCGTATCATCAAAAGTCATCCAAAAATTGGTGAATGATCAGATTACGGAGCATCTGCAAACATATTTTGTACTTCTTTTAAATCCGTCATTTAAATGTCACAGAGCAGCGGAAAAAGGTCAAGCGGCGGCCCTGAAATTCGTTGATTATTCCAAACCCTTCGGTAGACCAAACCACGAATTATTACGACGACTAAAACACGCATTTTTTTTTTTAAACCCGGGACACGGAACGGAACAAAATTTAAAAATAGGATGCTTCATTTTTTTAAAAATGTACGTTTTGTTCGTCACTTCTATATTTTAAAATAATTTTAAATTTTAAATTGTTCAAAATAACAAATTTTGCTCTTTGCTCTAATGTTGTCGGTATTTGTTCTCGTTTATCATCAGATCGTCATCAGTTTGTTTTGACCAGCATATCCGAAAGACATTGACGCGAAAAATTCAGGGTCATTATAATCCGGTCGGAATTTTAATCATAATTAACATACCTCGGCTAACACCGACGATGACATCGACGAAGTAATAAGATACATCGCTCCAGGCGTTTAGACAAGGTAATCATGTCCGATGCTTTTCAGCGTAACCATAATTCAAAATTCGTAAAGGTATAGACCAATTTATCATTCTTTAGCTGTGTCTAACATATACGGCGGAATTAATTGCAAATCACAATTGGAATCGATTAACATCTACAGAAAACTAACCAAGCGTTCAGATATGTCGTCGCAGCACTTCTTCTTCTTTACTACTATGGCCAAGCGGCCAGAATCACTCGGCCAGTCTCACCGGCATTTGCAACACAACGGTAAAACGAAAACCATGGATTATTTCTTTTTCGTTTCTTTTATGTTTTACAAACAGAAGTTGGATAGTACGTTTACATTTTGAGATGATACAAAATAATATATACTACTGCATACTACATACAAAAACTATAAGCTACCAACAAATATAACTTTATTGTTTTTCAAAATATTCACCCTCGGACAGTCTCCTAAGATTTTTAGTTATAAAAGTAAAGATAAATTCGAAATTTTGTTGGATGTACATTTGCAGATATCTATGGCGGTGTGTTCCATCCTTTATCAGCTGGCCACGCGGCCTGCGGAACAAGAAAAATTATATCGAGAACTGAAACGGATACTTCCCGATAAAAACGAGCCCCTGGACGCCCGCAAACTGGACCAGATGGTTTATTTGAAAGCGTTCGTCAAGGAAGTGTTCAGGTAAGTTGAAAAAGTATTGCTTAATATTTTGCGGTAGGGCAATCACTTTATTTTGGTCCTAATTGTAATTGTTTTTGCCGACAGAAAATTAAGAATAACCGAAATTTCCAAGTAAAAAAAAAGTCTAAGAAAAGGGGGAAAAAATAAGATATTTGGATATTCTTTCGCACTGTCTGGAAAATCGTGTTTTTTATATGTTACTTTTACTTTATATTTTTTTAATTGCGACAGAAAGCAAAAATTTGAATGGAAAAATATGAAATTCCGAGTTGTTTCAGAAATCAAGTGCGGTTATGCACACACGCAAAACAATTGAATAGCACATCCGGTTTTGCCGGAAGTGAGATCGGCTTTCTTATTTCAAATGAAACTTTTTTCCTTTTTTGCATAATCCATATACGGTAGCTCCAATTTAAATAAGAATTTCCAGAAGGAGTAGTCTTTTTTTTATAGAAAACCATTCGGTAAAAATAAAAATGGAAAAACGTACTTTCGCTTTTACCGAAAGTGATTTTCCACAAAAACAATCGCGGCAGTAATAAATTATAGAATGGAAAGAATTTACCTGTGCAGGTATTTAACAAATTTTATATTTATTATTTCTATCTCTTACATTTATGGGTCATTTTTTTGAGCACCCCGTATATATAGGCGTGGTTGTTGAAGTTATCGACAATTTTGATATAACAATAACAATTACTATAATAACTATTAATTTTCAAGTTTTTTAAACGATTCAGTCTCATATTTTACCTCTTTTTGTACGGAGTTGAGGTTATGTTGAAAAAAAATTAAGATTTCTTGAAAATCTAGGACATTGTTCGACATTGAAAAGATTAAATTATAAAAAACAGAAACGTAAAAAAAACATCGTTTTCTTAAATAGTAAATTGTCAATTTAATTTCTTAAAATGGCTGTATTATTTTCGGTTGTTGGGTTGTGATTTTTTTTTTATTTTGATTAGAATGTATTCGACCGTGATAGGAAACGGGAGGACACTCCAGGAAGACGCTGTCCTGTTGGGATACAGGGTCCCCAAAGGGGTAAGCTCGATAATTTATTTCAAAATTTAAATCAGTTCACTTTATATTTATAACTAAATTCGGCGATTGCCGACGGGCTTACGGCATATCTGCCTCATTAATCGTAAAAAATAAAATTCGTAATATATTAACCAAAAAATCAACTGAAATAGTGACGTTTGAGTCCCCTTTTTTAATGCGAAGTTTGTTTTGTTAAAATTTGTTAGGTTAAAATAACTATAACTACTTTTTAAATTGATCTTATCTTGTTTAAAGTTCCAGTGTTCATTAAAGTGACGTCTTTTTGAGCATATTATGCAAGGTCTGCTAAATTTCCGCCTTTTTTCATCGCAGATACCGACAAACCGATATGGCGTCTATAAAATAAGGAAGTTGTATTCTGTAGACAAAATCTGAGTACGCCACTGCATTTACCTTAAAAAATGCCCCGATAATGTTTTTATCCGGTTCCATAACTTTCGTCAATAAGAAAGTCGTCGGCGATTTTCAAATTGAAAAACGCACCATCTCTGGGTCGGTAGCGAAGATATCGCCGTGCGGTTTTAAAACTAAAGGTGATAGTTTGTCCCTCGTATTAGGTTCAGGTCGTTTTTCCGACGCTAGTGACGGGAAGTATGGAGGAATACGTGTCCGAACCTTGCAAATTCGCACCGGAACGGTGGATGAAGGGAGAGGGACGCGATTATAGAACGCATCCGTTCGCGTCGCTGCCCTACGGTTACGGGGCAAGGATGTGCCTAGGCAGACGCTTCGCAGATTTGGAAATCCAAGTGCTGCTGGCCAAAGTGAGACACGATTATTACACTTTTCGAGACCCCGTCGTCGTGTAATCGGTCGTTTTTTTTTTAAGCTCGTGCGATCCTACAGGCTGGAGTTTAACCGGGAACCCCTGCGGTACAAGGTGACCTTCATGTACGCGCCGGACGGTGAGCTCAAGTTTAAAGTTATCCCTAGGGAAGAGTCGCCCTAATTTTGTTATACGAACAGACGGAAAAGGAAGTTTTTGCGTGGAAACTTTTTCGTAACTTTCCGAAACCGTCAAGAGAGAAATAATAAAAAAGATGATTTATTCGTATTAAATTGGACGTCCTGTATATTGAATCGCGCAGACAAACGTCTGTTATTCTCCGTTTTGGAAAATAAAGAAATAATCGTATAAATGTTCTGAGTTCCTCGGTTTAAAAAAAATATACAGGGTGATCCGTTTAAAAAAATTTCGAAAACTTGAGAAAAAACTATAAAACTTTCATATAAAAGCTGGGGCGAATTATGCGAATAATTGTGATTATGTAATATAGAATAAAATACTTTTTATACTGAGTACGTTTTTTTTTTTTTTTTTTTTTAATTTGGCGAATTTATTGAATCACTAATTTAAACCGGTACAAAACGATTGGTAAATCGAATTACCTATTTAATTTTTTTTTTGTAAATATAAACAAAAAGGAAAGCGATTCCTTAAATCCTTACAATTCAATGAAATCCCTGCCAAAAAAATATAGCCACGGTTTGAAAATAAAATCAAATTGAATTTTTAAAAGAGCCACACAATTCCCTGTGTGTGTTGATATAAGTTGCGAGTTTTGCCGGCCTCATGATAAGGATGAAACTTTCGACGCAGTGGTTAGACATTCAATTCATTAGTTTTTTTGTGCATTTAGTCGACAGATCCTTTGATTTTTATGTTTGTCACTTGTTTCAAGCAAAGAGTATAAGAGAGAGGGGAAGGTCGCGTATACTGTTACGAATGCCATCTATAATTTGTGTCGAAGTACTAAAGTACTGTTATGGCGGTTTAAAGTAATGCGTCACACTGAAAATATTGCAGTAGCTTGTAAAAAACGTTTAAATCTATTTCAACATTTTTTTTTCACATTGTAGCTTTCAAACTTGAAATTGAATTGAACCGTATGTTCCGCGCGTTTGGTTTGAAGATAAAGTGAAAGTTAATAATTTAAGCTTGAATTTAGTACGGCTACGAAAGGGCGCTGTTAAGTGTTATATTGATTGATTATTCTCTTTTCCTCTAAGGCCAAGATCGAGATATTTACCGTTTGTCATGGACTAGTCCTAACCATCTGCGATTGGTATTCTGTGCTTTGATCAAGGTTGGTGGCTGTGTGTAGTCTGAGAGAATTTTTTTTCCATAATTTACAGGCAAAAATGTTTAATATTTTTCTTAAAGTTATCAACACACCGTATTAATTAATTCCTATTATACAGATGTCTTTTTGGTAACATATGATTAGACCAATCATAAGTAACGTGAGGATTACGACTTAGGGATCTTGTAAAGGTTTAGGTATATTACCAGTAAAACACTATAAAGATGCTCTTATTTTTATTACACTTTTTTTAATTATACACTTAACAATTTGTTGCAAAAATGGTTAATTTACAAAAAAAATCATTTGAGTTTACTAATTAATAAGTTTATATTACCAGTCATCTTGTTTTAACCTATAAGTTTCATTGTTGCTTCTTATCACTTCTATCACAGGACCGTAATATGGAATTACATATGCCGACCCGTCAGAGGGTCCGACCACCTGAGTAGCTATCAATATAATATCTACGAGATGACCTAAGAACATGAATCCGAGGGTACACAATTTGGCTAAACCTATAGCGTGGTATCCCAGATAAAACCTGTCTATTCCGAACATTCCCAAAAATACTGAAAGCAGCAGAGCAGTTTCGTAAGAATATCCATTCCTAAAAATCAATAAAAAAAAAGAACTGCTTCGTACTTCTTTTTGACAAACTTCTGCAAATATCCAGTTTAAATCAATTTACTTTGGCTATTTTAATTCATAGAGAATTATCATCCTGCATAAAAGTTTGTCAAAAACCATGTTTCTGTAATTATTAATTGATTGTAACCTATAATATCGGGTTTGTACTTACGTCCACTTACAATTAACTTCTTTAGTAAATGTTCTGTTTTGCGATTCCGAACATACAATACCTTCGACTGCTATGCAAGGGACTAGAACAGTAACATGATTTTTAAGGCAAAAACTATAAAACAACCCACGTTTTCCTTTATTCTCCTTAGTACAACCACGAATCTGCTGAGTTTTTGGATCTACTAAATCATTAACAGAAGGATCTGGACACAAAAACTGACCCATTTTCAACTTGCTGCAGTCCTCAAAAGTTACTGTTTCAGTGGTTCCCCCGCATAATATACTTGATACTAAGATACTTAGAAATATTGTTTTCATATTGTCGAAACATTATTTGAGGTTATGCTGATTTTTATCGCTATTCACTTTGACATTTCACACATACAATAAAGATCGGTTTATAACAAGAATCGTAAACCTAATAGGATTGCCCAATCCCATAAGACATACGTTCGCCAAAATTATGAATCGCACATCGTCGCTTGTGACGTAAGCGACAGTTTTTGTGTATTCTGTCAATGCATTGTATTTTGTGTTCTTTGAACAATTAATGGTGTATTATGCAACAAGTGCGGTAAACGGAATTTGACTCACGAATTTATTTGACAGGAGCGGAGCCATAACAACTAGTTTGATGAAAAAGCAAGTTCTCGAAAATGTAGTTTTCATCGCTTTCCCAAAGGGAAAGATCTAGTATCCTGACCTATTCGGAAAGCAAGGATAGTTCGATGTAGAAGAGAGGACAAACTTAATCCAGATAAAAGCTATGTCTGCTCAGTTCATTTTACTGAAAATAATTACGATAATTCGTATGAACTTCAGAAATTTAAAAGCAAAATAAAACGTTAGCCTAAAAAGAAAATCTTTTCAAGATGATACCAGCAGAAAAAAATTAGAAAGTATGGTAAAATAGTAAAATAAAGATTTATGTATATGTAGTAATATGTATTTTTTATATTATCTACATACGAGGGTACATATAAATACATATTATTATTTACGTACCACCTATAAATAGTTGCTACGTATGCCTAATAGATTTTTTGTTTTTTAATACGTTCTTTAATATACCCAAAAATAGGGATTTCTAGTTTATAAGTATTTGTTGATTTTTGTATATTTAAAATGGTAGATTGCCGTGAAACACAAAGTTTTACAAGTAAATCGTTTTGTTCGCTAGTTTTATGTATTTATGTGTAACAATATTTAACAAATATAAAATTTGCCACGAAAACTGACTGATGATCCTAGAAATTATGTGGCCAATAGAAATTAAGAAGAACCATAGCTCTCTTTCAGAAATTTGTCAATGTGTTGGCTGTGTACCTGCTTATAAACAGTGTACAGAAAAATGTTTAACACTGTTAAATTTTATTTTCGTATTTCTGTTCCTGTAAATCCCGAATGTGAATGAACTTTATTATTATTATTATCAAGCGAGCCTGGTCTTGTGATTGATCATGCCGATCTTGAACAATGGAAGTAAAAGAAGAAGGGTGCCGCACAAACCTCACTTGAATGTTTTGAGTTTTATTCTTTGACGTTTGAAAATGTTTTAGACGGCTATTAGACAACTTTTAATCCAGGAAAACTTTGTTATGGGTCAAACGAATTAAGCAATGGCCAACTTAAAGACAGGTCAAAATTTAAGGAAAAAAGTGCAGGTAAGAAAGACGCGGCCATGATGAACATTAGCCGAATCGAAGTTCGTGACTAGGTATCGATGGTTGTATGTGATCCTGAAGAGAAAAAACATCGATCCGGCGTCAATGCTTTGCAGTTCGATCCACAGCTGGATCGGCTATATTCAGCCGGACGAGATTCTATTATTCGAGTTCATGAACACGAGAAGTTTCTCCACGGAATGGAACATCACACGGATTGGGTTAATGATATCGTCCTCTGCTGTGGCGGAAGGCATTGTATAGTTATTTTATCTACGCCTACGATCTCAGCCCCTGTAATGCGTATTAAATTTTAGTGATATCGGCCAGTTCGGATACCACCGTTAAGGTGTGGAACGCTTATAAGGGGTTTTGTATGTCCACCTTGAGGACGCATAAGGATTACGTGAAGGCGTTAGCGTACGCGAAAGATAAAGAACAAGTGGCGTCTGCGGGGTTCGATAAGTCTATCTATTTATGGGATATTAATACCTTAACCGCTTTAACCGCCAGCAATAACACAGTTACCAGTAAGCGTTGATGGATCTAATGATTCCGTCGAAATGCCGAATAAAATTTTTAGCCTCTAGCTTAATCGGAAGCAAAGAATCCATCTACAGTTTGGCCATGAACCCGCCCGGTAGCATTATAGCCAGCGGATCGACGGAGAAAGTTTTGAGGCTGTGGGACCCGAGGACTTGCGTAAAGTCGTGCAAGCTCAAAGGTAATTCAAGGTTCTCGATGAATTAATTTTTGCAATGGCGGTTTCCTAAGGTCACTCTGCAACCGTCAAGGCATTGGTTGTGTCAAAAGACGGTACGCAGTGTATATCCGGAAGCAGCGACGGGTCGATAAAAGTGTGGAATATAGGGCAACAAAGGTAAGCTACTAAGAGATGCATTTGCATTGTTTTTTTTTTGTGCATATACCTCGGAAAGCCCTAAACAGTGGATTTCGAAATGTTTGATCCTTCTGTATATAGAATTTGCAAAAATTTGGTAATTTTTGATTATACTGTTTTACAAAAATGGTCACAAATTACAAATCCAATTTGTCGCTACTTTACGATAGAATCGGCAACACTGCAATACTGAAAACAGAGTCGATCGATTAACGAGACATCATGTATATCAATCGTTATGTATAGTACATGATTAAAAAAGTCAAATGGAGCGGAAATTTTGTCTGTTTTTCTGCCATTTTTCGCTTTTCAATAAATTTTAATTTTTGTCTCAAAATCGAAAAAGTGTGCCATTTTCTCTGGTTTTAATTAAAAAAAAAAAACACTGTTATGTTAAAAATTATATAATTAAAACAAAAAATATAAAAGAAAATTGAGAACAGCTACAAATTAGATACGGAGAAGCTGAAACTATTAAAAAAAACAGAAATAAAAAAAAATATAGACATGATACCAGAGCAAACAAGTATACGAATAACGGAAGAATATTATATAAATCTCTATAACGTACAACAAAAATTATCACAAGAAATCCTCAATAACAGGTATCAGATTGAGATAAGAAAGGGACTTAGAGGATATAAACCCATAACAGATTTTCGAAAAAGCCTTTGATACGGATAGCAATAAGACAAAAACCGTGACTAAAGTAATAATTGATGATTTTTTGCTTGTTAATTATTGAAAAAATTGCGAAGACACAAACATCAAATAGCAGATAAGGAAAGGGATAATTTATTGCAGTAACGAGATGGCAACGCAAAAACCATCATTAAATATGTAGCAGTACTAGATAAACACTGCACAATTAAAAATTACTTACAAACGGAAGAACAGAGTATAGATGTACCGACCTAACCTCAAAGCAACAAGAATTATTAAACTAAGCTCTTCAATCCGGATTGTGATATTAGTACCAAGCAAAGGAGATGAATTGGTTAGGTTACGAAGAAAAATATGGACAAAATTGCGAACTCACAAACGTCAAAATATCAGACAAGGAAAGGAACAAGATTGCTTTCGAAAAATCGCCGGTGAGCGGGGCAAGTTCGTAGCAAATAGCGCGAATCACCTTTTTTTTTTTTAAATACAAGGCGCTTCGCGGATTCTTGTCCTAGAGGGACGCATTGTTTTTTCATCGTGCTCCTGCGGACCACTATGGAACTTTCGCAAAATCGATGTAATACTTCAGTAAATATCAAAATTTGTACTGGTAATTGAATTGCATACCGTTCATACCAAATTATCACATCTTTAAAAGTTTTTCATGTATCGCCAATAATTCACCCACAATTTCTATTATCCATTAGAATTTTTTGCCCACAAACGACGTACCCTGTATATAATTCCAACAATGTTCGAAATAGAGGATATAGCCCTGGATCTTTTTAGTTTCCTGGTATCCGAATTTTTCCAATGGAGTAAATAAATGGTTTTCAAAAAACTACTTGTTTTCCGAATCCATGTAGTACGTGGTAATTGTAAATGACGTCATCGCGTCTAAATTGAGGGCGAGAGAGAAATAGTGGTTTTCATTTGGTTTATTTCAAATAACTCGAACAGCTTATGAATCGGATGAATGGCTTTGGAGGAAAAGCTGTTTTTCTAGATGCCAAAATAACCTAAAAAAAAATAAAAAAAAAGCTTCCCGTTATTTTATTGCTTCTCAATTTAAAGAGTCTAAATGCTGGTCCAGACTTCTCTACTTCTCTCCCTGAAGTCGGTAGCTGCAAATTTGAAGTACTAATTATGTTTTTTAATATTGCATGTAATATCGCGAATACCCTGTACAATACTTAAAAACCGTAAATACAAAAATTTACACTGCCTATATGGGCTATATCGTCATGTCAAAGAAACTGACATCTAAAACACAGATTTGAAATTATTGCCAATTTTCAATAATAGGAAGACCCATTTTTCAGTTTTTTTGAATTCGCTCCGCACCCTGTATATTTTTGAAAAATTGTCAAGAATAAAAGCTTATGGAGTCGTTTCTTCTGCGCCTTCTGGTTCAAGAATTTTTCAGACAAAGACGAGAACGGAGAACGGACAGACAAAAAAAAATTGCATAGATGCAATAGTCAGAGATGACTTAAAGAAACATGGAAAGAAGAGACGTTTAGTTCTCTGGCGTGAAGATTTAACGGGATCTGGACATATTTTGAGATAATGTATTATCAGCACAGACACGGCATTTGTATCTCTAGCAGTTATGTGGCAATTTTTTTAAAAAGCAGTGCTAGCGTAAAAATGTCAGCGTATAACTCGTTCTAGGTGTACCCAAACGATCATGGTGCACAGTGATTCCGTGTGGGCATTGCTTGCTACCGAGAATTTCGCGTACATTATCTCCGGGGGCAGAGATCAAAAGGTAAACATGTAAAATAGCGAGATGTAAAGCGTTTGACAGACATATCTTAGGTGATAATGACAGAGCTAAAGAACACTCAGAACACCAAGTTGGTATGTACCGAGGACGCACCAATTTTGAAAATGTGTTTCACCGCGGACCAAACGGCAGTTTGGGTGAGTTTTTTTTAGTGTTCCTACGCAACTTTTTTCGTTATATCATACATGAGGCAACACTACAGGAATTGAAAGAGATCGAACAAAAAGTTAAATTCAAAAATCGCTCTGGTTAGTTTTGGTTAGTTTTTTTATTTGTACATTAATACTCGTACTAATTGTTTTTTTCGCAATAACTTCTGACATCTCTGGCTTGACTTTTGTTATTTTAAAAAAACGGTAATAAAGAAAAATAATTAAAGCCGAATGAAGGCTTTATTTGAAAAACATGATTTTTACTACTGAAAATGTCTTTTTTTATTTAAAAACGCGAAGAATATCTTTTTTCATACTCGAAAAATAAAGAACAATGAAGAAAAAAATTAACCGTTACAACATTTCGCTCGACACTTTCTAGATCCTATAGTGGTGCCTTTACCCTTTCTTTTTTTTTTCAGAATAACAATTGATCCTCTTTCAGGTTTCCACTTCGAATTCGAATATCAGATGTTGGAGGTTGCCGAACGAAAAACAAATGAAAGATTCGTTGCCGATGCCCATTCAACCGATTTATTTAATTCCAGGGGACGCGTCCATAGTTAGGGCCCACGTCTTAAACGATAAACGCCACGTTCTGACTGAAGACTCTAACAAAAACGTTTCCGTCTATGACGTTTTGAGGGTGAGTGTTTTTTTTTTTTTTTTAATGCAATAATGTGAATTACGTAAGTTTTGATTACAAAATAACTTTCGACAGATTGACGAACCAACGTTTTCGACTAACAAATAAGCGTAAATGTTGATGATATTAATATGTGTAACTTTCCACTCTTCTTTGTTTAAATAAAAATAATGCGACAACAGATGTCACTAAAATTTCGACAAGGTTTTTCATATGATTCTTGTAAAAAAAACTTCCAAATATTGGTGTAGGGTGACCCTCAAGGATCCCACCTCTGTTAAAGCTATTAAAACTATCTCTTATTGTTTTGTTTTGGAAAAAGACTGGAAAACATCCAAAAAACCTTATCTTGTGGTTCAGATTCTATCCAAACCTAAACTGATTTCATTACGAAGAAAGCATACTATACTAAAACTAGCTGTTCATGGTTTTCTATGATTCCATGTTGATTTGAGATGACACTTTGATTTCCTATTCTTCTTCTTTTCTTCTTTGGTTAAATTTTCATGTGCAAATTTAGAATATTTATGTGTATATTTATTGAATACACATACACATACACATAACTCCGCCCCCCTCAAACCGTATATAAACACACGCAGAGTAGTTTTAAATCCTTTTTTCTTAATCTTACGATATTATAGCTTCATTTTCCAATGGCGTTTTAGGCGCGCAAAGTGGACGATTTGGGCAAAGTGAACTACCAAAACGAGATAAAGGCGAGGGAAAGCGAAAAACTAGTGTACGTCCCTAACTGGTTCAATGTGGATTTGAAAACCGGGGTATTGCAAACGTCTTGAAATAAAAAACTTCACACTTTTAGCATTCTTTTTTTTTTTTCGTCCAGATGCTCACCATACACCTGGGCCAGGAAGAAGTCGACTGTTTTTCGGCCTGGGTTTCGGCCAAAGACGCCGGAATTAGAGATCATCCCGAGCCCGATCACAAAGTGAATTACGGAAAGTTACTGTTGCAAGCGTTGTTCGAGCATTGGAGAGGCGTCCAGACCGATCCGGACAACAAACTGTATTTCAGCGTCCCCAAACACATACCTCTGATATTAAGGTAATAAAGGACCGATCATTTCCCAGGACGCAGTCCTGGAGTCGTCAAAGAGCACAGGGGGAAAAAGATGAGGGTCCAAAAAACTTAATTCTGAAAAAATGTGATTTTTATTTAGGAAGACTATTTTAGAACATGGTAAACAAAAATAGGATTTTGGAATATAATTAGTGCTAATTTATATACAAAAAGCGTATAAATTGTCAATGCATAAGTATAAAAAAAAACTTTGATTACAATACAAAAAAAACTTGGCAATTTATTATTGTAATCTCAAAAATCACAAAAATAGTGTTTTGGAATATAATTAGTGCAAATTTATATACAAAAAGTGTATAAATTGTCAATGCAAAAGTATAAAAAAGAAACTTTGATTACAATACAAAAAAAACTTGGCAATAAAGATGAAGGTTCACAATTTATTATTGTAATCTTAAAAATCACAAAAATAGTGTTTTGGAATATAATTAGTGCTAATTTACATACAAAAAGCGTATAAATTGTCAATGCATAAATATAAAAAAAAAACTTTGATAACAATACAAAAAAAAATTTGGCAATAAAGATGAAGGTTCACAATTTATTATTGTAATCTCAAAAATCACAAAAATAGTGTTTTGGAATATAATTAGTGCTAATTTAAATACAAAAAGCGTATATATTGTCAATGCAAAAGTATAAAAAAGAAACTTTGATTACAATACAAAAAAAACTTGGCAATAAAGATGAAGGTTCACAATTTATTATTGTAATCTCAAAAATCACAAAAATAGTGTTTTGGAATATAACTAGTGCTAATTTATATACAAAAAGTGTATAAATTGTCAATGCAACATTATTACATAAATTGCGAGACTGCATACGTGTAAAACGTCGATGAAAACTGACCAGAGGGGTGCGTCTTTTGCACGATCGTACACCCGTCCATTATGCGGGTGTTGTACAAGCTGTCATTTTAGAGTGTGGGTTTCAACAGATATAGATCATCCTCCCTATAGTCCAGATATGGCCCCCAGCGACTATTATTTGTTTGAATATTTGAAAAAGGACTTACTTGGACGGCGGTTTAACGACGAAGTTGAGTAAAAAGAGGCTGTTTTAGATCATTTTGCAGACAAACCAAAAGAATAATTTTTTTAAGGTATTGAGATGTTAATAAAGAGATGTAATAAGTATATTGAAGTTAAGGGAGATTATATTGAAAAATAATAAATAGTTGTTACTCTACTTTGTTTCTTTGAAATTCAGGCCGGGAAATTTTGCCGCTGCCCTCGTAAGTGAGTTACCGACCTACCCTCCAGGGATCTGTGACGATTAAGGAACAATTTGTAAATATTTTCTAAATTTTGTTTTTCAACACAACCATTATAATTAATCCTCCTTCCCCCACCATAGGTCATTATTTTTATTACTTATTACAACATTACATGGACCAGTTGGAAAAACTTCACTATGATGTTTTTAGAAGGCATTTTTTTTGCCATCTTGTAAATGATAATTTTTTTCGACAATAACGGACGCAGGAGGAATTCAAAACTTTTCTAAGTAGTATTACAGTAGCCTGTTTCTTTGAAAAAACAAAATCTCGTAACATCATCTTTTTTTTTTAAGTTTGTCAGAAACGAATTTTTATTTCAGTGAAGTGGGCGGCAGGACCCTATACCGCGTACTGGTCGGAGACACCTCGGGTGAAACCGAGAACGCCCTTTTAAACGAGACGGTGCCCAATTGGGTGGTCTCGAACATAGAAGAGAATTGCACCAATAAATTCACCAAACTGCAGTTCTATTTGAAACCGCATTCGACCGTCCCGTCTCACTTGCTAAAGCAAGATCGACTTAAAAAAGTAACGATTACGGTGGAACGTAGGACTCGTGCTAGATCCATTTTCTTTTCCAGCCGGACAGGTTGGTTGCGAACGACTTTATCCAGTGTAGGAAAGTGGCGGAGCACATTTTGGACAAAATATTGGGGGAGGGGTCGGCGACGTCGCCCAACGGCGATGGTGACGTTCAGGCGGCTTCGAACAACGGCTATACTGTAGACCAGATTCAGTTAACTTGCGACGATCAGGTGGGATTTTCGAGAATTGTTCACCAAAACACGTTTTTGATTGATTATTGACCCTCTAAATAATAACAAGATCTCTTTTGAATATGTTGTCATAGATTCAACCATATAGCTATTAGACAATATAATACTCAGTGGGGGGTAAACCGCGATCAAAAATCTGCACACCAATTTTATTCCACCAATATACATTAATTCCCTTATTAACACCTACTAATCCCTAGTTCAAAAATCTGTATACTAATTCTTAGTAATTCCATTAAATTTCCAATTCTAAATGGCTAATTCCTGCGATCCACATTAATTTTCTCATTAATACCTGTAATACCCAGTATTACTACGGTCTAATTCCATAAGTAATACCTACTAATTTTCAACTTCACAAATTTGTATACTAATTCCTAGTAATGCATTTGATAACTAATTCCTCCAATATACATTAATTATTATTAAACCTCTAATACCCACTGTTTCCGTTACTAATACGTCAATTAAGCTCCAATTCCTTAACCAATAGCTACTAATGCCTACTAATTCCCCAATTCAAAAATGTTTACATTAATTCCTAGTACATCATTATTACATAACTAACAACTCTGATCTTTATTAATTCCTATTCCTATTCCAATACGTATGAAATACTTTACTAAAACCTGTAATACCACTAGTTCCGTTACTAATCCTATTACGCCCAGCTAATAGTAACACTTCTAAAGGTTTCCTCAGACATTAATTCCCTTATTAATACCTCTAATGACCATCAGTTCCTTGAGATATCTGATTTCAATAAGTCATCTAATTTGAATAACTGAAGAAGTGTAAGTGACAGAAATAACTAAAAAAGGCCTCTAATTGTTCAAATTTCCATGGTGGTTCCAAAAGTGTCCGCGTTCGAGGCTTTTATATATATATATATATATATATATATATATATATATATATATATATATATATATATATATATATATATATATATATATATATATATATATATATCTAGTAGCTATATGGATGGAACCATAATCGCAATGGACGAAGCACTTTTTTTTTTAATTAATTCTAGGTTGTGGACCATTCGATGGATCTCAGAACTGTCAAGCACTATTTGTGGAAGTTCCCTTCGGATCTCGTTTTGTATTATAAAATTTTGAATACCAATAAGTAGTGATGTTTTTAGATCTTTGTTACGTCGTGGTTGAGAAATGAAACATCGTTTTATGAAAAATTATTTATATAAATTAATCAAAATTATAGTATGAACTCGTCCATCTCGACGACGCTTTTCGAATTGTGACAACGCCAGATCCAGTCGGGCGACACGCAAACCGCATTCGGTAACATATCTTTAAAAACGTTGGCGTTATCTTTACGCGTGATGATTATCTCTATCGAGGCGTCCAGATTTTCCACCAACAACCTAGAACTATACGCTCGGACGAGGAAGCAACTTGATTGGGTAATATTTACCCGTTATATGCCACGACGTACTGTTTGATCTTATTCCTATAATCCTCGTCCAACGCGCTGTCTATATAAAAAATTTTGTTTCGAAAAAAATCTTTTAATAGGACGTCTTTAATTTCTAACGAACGATCGTCGAGGCAATCGTCACTGTCAGTGGCCTCGAAGTCGGTATCGGCTTTGAAAATGTCCGGCGGTTCGCCCTGGCGCCTTGCTAGTATGTCTTTCACCCTATCTTCAGTATCCGATCCTTCCTCTACTCTAAGTTGTGAAAAAATTATAGCACAACATTGGGAAGTCTGTTTCGATCACTCACAACTCGCTATCTGATAACGTGACGGGCTCTAAAGTGTCTTTTACTTCCTCCCAAATTTCTTCTTCGCTCTCTGCTCCAGCGTCTGCCTTATCCAAAGCGTACCTCCTCCAAGGCAGCCTTTTCCTCTCATTGTAAGAATCTTCCAACCAACTCCTTTTAACTATTTTACCCTTACCTTTAACTTGATTGAATTTGGGGGTATTTGCGAAAGCGCACCTGTTTAAATGTAAAAATGAGGGATGTGTCAAGAAATACGCATGAGGGATGGAGGGAAAAACCAGAGGACTGCATACATTTATACAGTGGTGTAGATGAATTTGTATTAAAATTCGAACTCAAACAGAAACACCACGATGAGATACCATCAACTAGACAAACCATGTAGAGGGCGGCACAGATAGTTCCTCGCAAAAGGCAAAAGCATTCATTCCGTTGGCAATATATTTTAAAAAAACAACAAAAAATAAATAGTCCAAGAGGATAAATCCTGGTTGAAATTGAAACCTAGCCTAGAGAAACGGACAATTGATAAAAAAGAAAAAGCATGCCGACTACAAGTAGCGTTAAATTGAATTCTCGCTGATCCTATGATGATATAATACGAGGATGTCCGAAACGCAAAAAAATCACAGTAGACCCGGTGAAGCCGGAAACTTTAAAACCAATGAGGACAAACAGAAAAGAAACAGTCCCAGTCAGCCTTATGTTGCTGAAAATTGCTCAGAATTGATAAGAAAGAGTCAAGATGAGAGTAATATCGTAGGTACAAAATCTAATCACGGAAGAGGTAAGAAAGCCCCTTGGCCAAAAGAAAATTAGCTTCGAACTTTAAAAATGAACTCCATATTCCAATTATTTGCTTTTGTCCTCAACTGAATCATCTAGACTGAATTTACAGAAAAAAAGGCGACAAGAAATTATGCTCAAATTATAGAGGACTTGGAAAAGCTGACAGAAACTATCAAAAACTTATTCACTGATAGAAAGTCCTAAAACATTGGTCAAAATATGGTAATGGTAAATTCCTGCATATCATCAGGAAACTTGCCGAGGCGAACAAGGCATGAGGTGTTCTTATAACAGGGGATTGGGAAGCAAACGTAGTCAAAAGTGGCACTAGTGAACCTGAAATTAGCAACCACATTCGAGAAGGAAAACATGTATGATTTATAATGTGGAAAATGGGCTACCGGAGACGCCGCAGTAGATCAACACTACAAGATAGAATAAGTAACAATGAAATAAAGCAAAGAATGTTGTTGATGCTGAAAGTCTAAAATAGTGTGTTGAGTGTCAGACATAAATCTACAAGAGTGAGATGTAGAGAGTTTTGCAACCTATGACAGTACTGTTGGAAAGGGAAGTGAGCAACTAGAGACGCTGGCAGTAGACCAACACTGCAAGAGAGATAACAATGAGATAAAGCAAAGAATGTATTGTTGATGTTGTAGGTGTTGAGAGTTTGACATAGTATGGCCGCGTACGTTGAATGCTAGACATGGGAAAGAAATCCACAAGAAGAATGGAGCTACAGAAATCGTTGGGGAGTGAGATGTAGAAAGAACCTATGACAGGGGAAATGACTGGATACTTTCAAAAGCACTGCAAGATAGATAACAATGAAACAAAGAATGTATTGTTGATAATATTGATGCTGAAAGTTTGAGATAGTATGACCACATATGTTGAATGCGAGACATGGGAAACAAATTTACAAGAGATAGTGGAATATAGAGAGTATCACAACCTATGATAGAACTGGACATTTACAAAAGAGATTGTTGGAAAGGGAAATAGACTATTGCAGGCGCTGCTGTAGACTAACAGTGCAAGATAGAATAAGTAACAATGAGATGAAGCAAAGATTAATAGACACTAGCATTTTTGATATGGTTGAAGCTGACATGCCGCGTATATTGAATGCTGAAGGATAGATGACCAAAAAATAGTCCAAGAGGACTGGAGGCGCAAGAAACGACTTTGTTGTTTTAAAATCGTAAATATATAGATGTATAACTTACACTAAGTGGGTGCAGGTGTTGTCCCAGTCGGATTTGTATTTGGCGCCCATTGACAAAGCCATAGAGCGTAAATTTGCCCTGTCCGGGTTCTGTATGCCGCTTATTACCAAAACGACACCGTCCAATAATTTTGCGAACGGTTTCGTTTGACGCGTCTTTTTCATTTTTTTCGACTTTGGGTGATCGTCCCGAGGTTGTAACCTTCGTTTGCTCGTTTCCGCGTCACTTGAATTTTTGTTCGACTCTTTTTTATCGACATTTTTTTTATTCCCACTCATTTGCTTTTTCTCCTTCTCTTTTTGCATTGTCTCCCCCTTCTCTTTCATTTTTTTCTCGATTATGGCGTCTATTTTATCGTTTTTCTCGTCCTCTTCTTTAGTGTACAATAACTCATCACGGTTTCTCGCTTTTGGAGATTTTTTTTCCCCTAAGTGGTCGGGCCTCAACTTTGGAGTCGTGGGCAGGTTATGTTTTAGTTTTTTATTAACTGGTGATCCCATATGCGCCAATAATGTTGCTTCTCTAATAGCAGCCGCACCTAGAAATAAAAATAACATTTCACCCTATTTTGAAAATTAATTTTTATACTACGCGGAAAACTACACATAAAAAATATTATCTCTCTTAAGTTGAAAAAAGTGTTTTATTTAAATATAATTTTTGTTTTTAATTCAGTCTTTTTTTTTTCAGAGAAAAGGACCTTTAGTTAATAATTAATACGTTGGTTTAGTTTTGTGGTAGTTATACTTTATTATTAACGAACAAGCAAGAAGCTTAACAATTTAATCATCAATAAATAAAAAAAAAAAGGGTAATAGCATCACTCAAAAGGCGCTAAATTTGAAAAAATCGTTCTTATTATTGAAAAAAACCATTTTTAACTTTTTTTGTCATTAAGTAACGGTAAGTCGTTTAAAAAAATCTACTAGTAGATCGATTTAGAAGTTTTCCAAAAAATCGTTATCATTTTTAAAAACATATTTTTAACCTTTTTTTTGTAATTACGTAATGATAAGATGTTAAAAAAAATCAAACAATGCAAGCTTTTTAGACAATTAAGTAAGATCGGTGAAGGTAACCAATATTTCATGATTTGTTGAATCCATAACCCTACATATTTCTCTTTAGTTTAAAACACTGTATCGAGAAAAGCAGGGTCCCCAAGATCGGGCCTGCGGAGTACCCCATGTCACTTACACACAGTTATGTGCAAAATCGATTAACATGCAATCAAAGAAATTTTGGAATTTTTTTCAAATTAATTTGTAAAGGTCCAGTAAGCCACCTTTCAGTGTTTCTTCTTGTAGCTCCTTCCTCCGGGCAAACAAACTACCCGCCGTGATATTATCTGGCGATTCCGGTCGAACCACAAACTTTCCTATGGTTAAACATGCCGGTTTCATTTCATCTTTTTCAGTGCTCGCGTAGAAGCGAACAAATGATAAACCGTACTGCACGTGTCTATTGAAAGGCTGTGTGCAGACGATTTTCACTCGATCCCACTTTTCGTTTCTTTCCGGATCTGAAAAATCTTCCGTTTTAAACATTCGAACCTGGTCAAACGTGAGAGTCAGTAACGTTGGTGAAAATAACGGGGCTACTACTAAACCTTATTGATATTCTGGCTTTGTCGGGACTCCAACGGCGTCATGAATGAGGACATCACCAAGAGTACTTTATAATCGTCGGAGGTGGAACGAGAGACGAGAATTTCGATGTAAGCAGAGTGCTCGTTTCCGATATCCACGCCGGTGATAACGGTGGGTTGTTCGAATTGCAACACGACGATGGCGTTTTTTTCGCCCGCCGTTTTGCATTTCCATTTTTTAGCGGGGTCGCTCGATAATAAGTTTTTAGCCGCGTGTGCGGAATCTTCGCTACTGAAGCTAACGATACGGTCAATGCCGATATGCGGCATTCTCGCCTTTAAGCTCCGCTTGTTATATCGGCCGGTTTGGCGCCTTTACGGTAATTTATCAAACACCAAAATTTCTAGGTTAAATCCACAGACCATGTATTACAAATAAAAATAATATTCCATGCCTTCTTTTTGCACACATCATCAGGAATATCCTTTTATGAGTGTCGATTATGATACATATAGGGGTATCTTATTTTATCGATAACCTTAAACTCATAATCGAAAACTTCAGCTGAATATTATAGTCAGATTATTTTCGTTCATGGCCAATAACTATGCATCGCAACCAACCTCATCTGTGTTGTGCTAAAAACCACAGAAAGAGTTAAAAGGGCAAAGAAAGCCATTTTTTGAAGCTCTCGTTCGAGATTTTAGATAGGAGTTTATTAACTTTACCGAATTATGTTCTGCGGGTTAGAACTAAATAAGAATGTAGGTATGTGGGAAGTTAAGAAATGGCGTTGTCGTGTGTCGTAAAAGAATGTCCGGTTGACTTGTATCGTGCGGTTGCCATCTGTGAACGTAGAACGCTAGAATGCACTAGGTATCGTTTTTATTTTGCTAGGGCATGGTTAATTGAAGTTGACTTTTACTTTGGCTCATTAACCTAAACCATAGTTCCTGTCCATTTGCAGTTGACTACTTGGCCGTCATTCAAAAGAAGAGGATATACATCGTTCTGTGATTTTAAATTTTAATTGCAGTCTTGATCTGTGCATACATAATTTTCCAAAATGTAACAATCTAAACAAAAAGGTAGCGAGGCAACCAGTTGCTATTCGGAGAATTCTCGTGCACTTGTTGCACTCCACCGGGAAGAATTTTGCCGAAAGCATTATGGCAGAGCTATATATATACGTTTATGTAATAAATGTCTAAAGTTTCTGGTCGTTTCCTTTGCGATGCCACTTGCCAAGCACCAACGGATGGCGATTCTTGCGTTTAACGCCTCAGCGATGCCATGTTCGATAAATTTGGCACGTAAGTAATTTGATCCAACACCACTAGATGGCCGTGTAGTGGCGCCATCTCTTACCGAATGGCGGAACTGATTAGTTTGCGCAAACAACAATAGATGATGCGCTAGTATTGTCATCTCCCGTTTGGCAGAGGAATTAATTGGTTACAACGAGCACCAACAGATAGCGCGCACCGGTGTTCTATTATATGATCATACTTAATTATTTAAATTTTCATTGGAGGAATTACCGACCAAAAAAAGACATCTTAATTACTAAAATTTATTTTTGCATAATAAAGGTTCATAAACTACCAATCAAATTTCTTCAAGGTTTGGGGATGGAGCAGATATCCCAAGATAATCCAAATAGTAAATTGATCTCGTAAGCTGGAGCTGGAAGGAGACATTTAAGATTTGTGTCGTGTGGTATATGGAAGCGAACAAAGGTCCATTTCAAAGCAATCAGTACAACTAAGTGCACGATAGTGTTGGAGCCTAGCAACCTCACAGTTAAATTTTGTACACCAGTTTCAAGTTTACGCTTGACTGTGCAAAAATTCTACGCTCGTCCGCTCCGCAAAATTACCAGCACTCACACCATTTTCAATTAAATACTTCGAAATATACAATTTAAAACTTTTCTCTTTCGGATTATGTGTTCAGGTCTTGTTGGCCGGCAGTCCAAGTAAATTACCTACTGGAAGGCGTACCAAAGACATATCTGGATTCTGACCATCCGACCTCCATACCGGCGTGAACGGGGAAAAGCGAAGGGATCGGCGACGATTATCACTTTAAAACGTTCACTAAACACTTGAAACACTAAATCCACCTAGTGGAGACTGATTTCAAAATTTTTTTGGACGATTACAAAGGATTCTATAGGGAGCGAACGGAGGTTAAACCGCCGCGTGCAATGCTCCACCACAGAATCCAGCACGGAATATCAAGAACTTCTTAGCGGTCCGTGACGATTTTCCGTACGCAAAGCCAATTAGCAGAGGGCGTTCGCCCACCGCGAGCTGCGGTTGATTTTACCCCTGTTTTAGAGAAATAGACGACTCTGACTTTTACGGAACGCAATTCTTTTACGAGCACACGGAAAAAATAAACAAACCCGTCGAAAAATTATTAGTCCGTCCGGCCGTGTCAACATATTACGGTAATTTTGTAAACAGGGGAGCGTTCGAAACAAACAAAGACGCGGCGGCCCGGAAAACGCCGACGCCGCGTATCTATCGTCGTCCCGCGAAAATTAGATAAGTTTTTTACAGAATCACTTACGTTCAATTGAAACCATCGATCATACGCGCACTGTTTATTAAACACACACACGAAGCGGCACCGATATAAAAATAATAGTAGCCCGTTTAAAAACGTGCAATATCGCGGCCGGCTAGATGTTTCTCAAAACAATACCGACGTAAGCGAAATAAAGAATATCGAAATCTCCGCCCCCTTGGTGTTGTTTTACCGTGCCCGATCAGTTTGGGCGCAACTTTCGAACGATATCATGGAAATCGAACGAATCAGGACGATCGTCGGGCGTAAATGTTTGGCGAACACGTCGCTCGTGGCGAAGGGATGCCGCAGGGTTTTCGACGGCCTCTACTGCTGGCCGGAAACGGAACCCGGTGCGCTAGCCACTCAAAACTGCACCAACGAGTACTGGCGGGCAACGAACAAAGTAAGTGCGGACGTGTTTTCGCTTCGTTTACGACACAGCTGTTCGCGACTTCGCGGTTTACGTTTTGGGCTTCGCAAACGCGTTAACGGCGATATTTACGGCACCATCGGTGGCGTACTATTCAGGGATCTTCGCGCCTACTACCTTATCTCAAAACCTATATATACAAAAGTTAATGGGGATATTACAAACCTTCAATTTATTTTACACAATGTGTTTCTTTTGTAGTGGTCGAATATCAAATTCCTAATTTTAAATGGAACGCCTGGTATAATACAAAATTCTAGACATATTATGTGTCCCATATCTAAGTCTAACCGTTTATAACAATTTTAAATTTTTATGTGGGAAATGACGTTTGCAAGACGTAAAATATCTGCCAATTGCTTCATTGGGCGATACGTGATAATACAGGGTACGCGAAAAATGAGATTAAATATGAAATTAAAAAAATAGCAAAAAAAATTTTTTTTGTATATTCTGTTAAAAAGTATTTTAGTTCAAGTTAACAATAATTATATCGCAAAATCTTATTTTTGACGAAAAAGGGACATAAATCCGCAAACATTCGGTATAGACCATATTGAGTATATAAAAGGGAGCATCTACTCAGGCAATAATATACAGGGTGTTCCATTTAAAAAATATATACATTTGGTTTCACACATATTCATGAGTCCCCCTGTATAATTGAAAATAATTTTAAATTGTTTCTTTTAGTATTATCTATTGAATATTGAAGCCTGTAGTTCTAACCCATCGAATGTAATCCGGCTTCAAAAACTTCACGAATGTCCGGGACGGAGAACAGACGAAAAATAATGTAGTTTTTTTCGACGCTGAAATTTAACAACTTATTTAATAAAAAACAGAACATCATTTTTGGATATTAATGTCAAACAAGAAATAATTATACCTGTTATTCAAAGATAATTACCGGAAATGGAGTTCTGTTAATGGGATAGTGAACACTGTTTTTTTTTTGTATTCATGTTAATATGTCGATATATTCAGTATCTATCATAGTGTGTCAGTTAAGATACAAGTAGCTATGAAATTAGGGGCTGGACTTTGATCTTTTTAAAAATTGTTTTTGACGCCATAGTTCTTAAGAACAGAGTTAGTAATGCTTCGAATAGAATAAAGGACCACAATTTGCAGTGTACGATTGCTTTTTTCCAGCTATTAATTGCCTTCTTTTTGGGGCAAGACAAAATGTGTCAGATATCCCCTGAATGGTAGTCTATTTATTTCGTTACTATGGAAACCGAAAGGTGAACATATTTTGCCCGGCTCTGACGTCATTTTCGTGTAAACTACGTTATTTTTGTCACTCACGGGACGGTTTAAAAAAAAACAAATTTAATCAATCACTTGCGTGTCCGTTCTTATCTTATCTTAATTTCTCGGGCAACGTCGAATCATCAACGTAACCGCTATCGTCATCTCATATATACCTCACATCCGAAAACAACTCACTATCTGCGAGGTCTCTAGCCCGGAGAGCTAAAAAGAAACGGCCAAATAGCAATCCCGGAGCTAGATCTATCTCAAAATAAACAGTATTTTAATACAAAAAATGCCCCGTCCTTTATATCTAAGCTTTGATGAATGAACGTACTTAAGTCAGGGTGTTGGTTTCGCCATCGCCGAACTGAAATATTCACAAAATTGAGGAAACACCTCGTCCCATGAATATTTATCGCGATCTACGACGTCCGAACAAACAATCAAGTTGCAATGTTTTCTAAAAATTTTGTGTGTGCGTGGACTTTTGACATTTTGACGTAAGGTATCGTTATTAAGTAAAAGGACTCTTCAAATTATCAATCAAATTATAAAATCAGGTAAGACGACATCAAGACAGCAGACAGCTCAGCTCAATGAACTGAAACTGGCTCGCATCCGACTCTGTACCTGCTTATATACGGTTCGAGGGGGGGGGGCGGAGCTAACGGAAGGGGCGTGAACTTTGTTTCGGATGACTGGAGGGGTTGTATTTCAGGACGGGCTAGTAACCAAACAGTGTAACCACAATTCCACGTGGTTCGTCGATCCCGATCGAGAATCGGGAACCAATTTCAGCCAATGTGGCGGCATCTACATTTTCGACAACAGCCTGAGTAACGGAACCATCGATCCCATCTACGAAACGTGGCTGCCCATTATTAAAGATACGGCTTACGTGGGATACAGCGTCTCCATCTTGTCACTGGCAATGGCTCTAGCCATATTCGTTAATATCAAGTAAGTAGGAGATGTCTAAGAGACATTCCGTGCGTGAAACGCGTAGTTTCGCAAGTAGTCCCAATACATAGGCACTACAAAATTAAGATTTAACAATTAAGAAAGTGTTTTATTTAATCTTTTGCGACATATAGGTAGAATTAATAAAACAAACAGAAATCGTTCTAACCACGTCACAAATACAAGTAGGCAATCAACACTTGCGTATAAATAACAACAACAATTATTTTTAGTATCACACAACAAGTCATTGTTTCCATTTGCCTTCACAACCATATTTATGTTTTTATTGTATACATATCAATATAACCACAGACACAAGTCTAAATAATAATTCTTGCTTACAAGTAGTTTTTGACTTGACTCATGAAATAATTTATTGTGGTGCCTGGTATTGTAAGTTACGATAAATTTTTATATATTTATTATTAATTTTACTGAAAGAGTGCAATTCTAAGTTATCATAAGCGTACAGAATACATATACGTACGTCATCTCGATGGTACATTTCACACATTCTGAGCGCTTTTCTTTGTTATGAGCCCCTTATGATCTCCGATAATAGTCAAAATAAATATTGTCGAAATATAAAAAATCTAAATCTATCGCTGGCTACATTGCTTATAAAGAAGTAAGGAATGTTGTTACAAGTGCAGTGAGTAAAGAAAAATCGGCATATTTGTCTTACAATTTCGATTCTAGGAATACTAAACAGGTATGAAAAAAATCGCAAATTCAACTCGAATTTATCATTTGCATTTAAAATCGCAACTATTGACTCAATTAAAGCCATTATTTCAAACTTTAAGTCAAATTCTGCGGGTGTTGATTGTGTACCTGCTAGATTGCTTCAGATGACCCTCCATACTACCGCTCCATACGTTACACATATTATTAATTGCTGTTTAGAAGCAGGCTATTTATTTTCCCAGTATTTGGAAGTTCGCTTTGATCACACCATTGGCAAAAAATAACAGTCTCAGCCAGTTCTCAGACCCCCATCCAATCAGCATTCTTCCAACCTTATCTAAACTTATGATCATCTCGTACTTTGGATTGTATTTTCACCATTTCTTCGGGAGGGGCATCCTCCCCATAAGAAATTTCTCTAACAGTTTAACCGAATAAAGGGCTCGTTGAATGATTGGTGGTGGTTCCAGATAAACTTCTTCATCTTCTTCTTCCTCTTGGTGCTCTTCCTCACCCTTTCTTGCTTGCTGTAATATGGCTGCTGTTGTAGGCAATCTTGCAACTCCTCACTTGTAAACTTAATTGTCGTTTGAAACTGCTTTATCGCTCGCTTAGTAGCTGATCGAGATAAGGAAAAAATATGGAGACGACCGAATATGAACTAATTTTAATATTTCGCGCCGCTTCAGCGTTATCGCCATTTTCTCACGCCGTTAAAACATTATCGTCGATCGACGTTTCAAGTGCTTTTCCTTTCAGACGCCTACACTGCGAGCGAAACAAGCTGCACGTGAATTTGTTTTTGTCGTTCGTCATGAGGGCACTCATGTTCATCTTGAAGGACGCCCTGTACGTCAGAGGGACCGCCCTACGGAACGACGCTACCTACGACGAAGATGGCGACGCTTATTTTAATTATGTAATTATATCAAAAAACTTTTTTAATTTTTTTTTAGCTCTCGACTGTTTCTTTTTGATATAAAAAAAATCCTCACCAAAGATGAGCCCTGTAACCCTAAGGGGTCGCTATTTTTATTTTAGTTTCCCATTTAATTAACATGGGAAAAAATTTTTTTTCACTAAAATTAAATATACGTATATTGTTGGCGATTTTTTACAAAAAACCAATTTGTATTGTTGAAGTTGAGACTTTAAGCTTTCCAAAATCGTATAACAAAGTGTGATTATCATTAAAAATTACTAAATTTTGAACTTTTCAGAAATAGCTTCTAATAATTTTCTATCTACATAATTTCTCAAAAATGAATTAAAAAAAAATGACAATTTCAATTCTGCATAAGAGAAGGAATTTAAAATATTCAAAAGTATTTAAATGTCGTTATTTTCAAAACTTTTCAATCCATTTTCTTCATCAAAATCGCGAACGTTATACGTAAATTTAATTTTAGTGAAAAAAAGAATTTTTCCCATATCAATTAAATGGGAAACTAAAATAAAAATAGAGTTAGAGTTACAAGGCTCATCTTTGGTGAGGAAAAATTAAAAATTGTTTTGAAGCACCTTAATACATACATATGCAGGGTGTTTAAAAAAGAAGCGGCAATATTTGATATCTTATCCGCCACTGACTCCAGTTGCATTGCTCCGAGATAGAGCGACTAAAACTACGTCTCTCGATTTTTTCCCGCATATCGCTCCGTTTACGAGATAAAAAATAAAAACGGTGTTATTTCATTTCTATTAATCATAAAAATATTTTTCAACATCCTAGTAATATTTGCGAACAATTCCAGTGAAAATAACTTGATATTTATGTCCTGCACGACCCCCGGATTTAAGCCCTCCGGATGTTCTCGTTCTCACTTTAACTTATTTAAAGTATACTACAAAATATATTAATGAATAAATAGAATAAAAATTTTTTCTATGCTGGTTTCAATTCATCGCTTCTCTGTATTTATTTTTCCTATTTTTCTCGTTATTTTATGTTTTTGTTAACTAAATTATTATGTACTTGGGGGGTTTTTAAATAAATAATTACAAAAACGAAAGTGACCATCTCTAGCTTGGCTATCATAGAATAAAATGAAAAAAAACAATTTTTCTTTGCCTCCTCTTTGTGTAAGATTGGTGGATTTGCTGCGCTTTTAAATTCGAAATATTAATTGCAGCCGGACTCAATCATCGATTTGTATGTATTTATTTTTTCTTTTTTTAATCAGTTTCTCTTTTTTTGTAAATAAATTAATAAATAAAAACAAAAAAATTACAAAAACCTCTAGCTTGGTTGTCGTCCTTTATTTATTAATAAATAAATAGAATAAAATGAAAATATTAATTTTATTGCTTACTTTTTTTTCTAAGGTTGACTCAGTTCATTGCTTTTATGTATTTATTTTCCTTTTTTTGTAAATACAAAAATAAAAAAAAAATTGATTGATAAATTAATAAAAGAAAAGAAAGTTAAAAAAATCCTTTTTTTGCCTTCTCTTTGTGTAAGATTGGTGGATTTGTAGTAGTTTTGAATTTGAAATATTATTTTTCTGCTAAGCTAGACTCAATTCATCGCTTTTATATATTTATTTTTTTGTAAATAAATCAATACAAAAAATTTACGAAAACTGTTGATAATCACCAGTTAGAGCTCCGATGCCGTCCTTTACATTTTAATAAATAAATAGAATATAATGAAAATACAAAAATTCCTAATTCATCGCTTTTATATATTTTCTTCTTCTTTTTCACTCTCTTTTTTTATGTTGTTAACTTTGCGTATTATTATCCACTGGGCGTTTTGGGTTTAATCCGTTTGTGCTGCAAGGAAGAAATAAATAAATAAATACAAAAAATTTACAAACATTTTTGAAAAAAAAAACTTTTTCTGTTCCCTTTGTGTAAGATTGGTGGATATGTTGTAGTTTTGAATTTGAAGTATTATTTTTTTGCTAAGCTAGACTCAACTCATCGCTTCAATACATTTATTTATTTATTTAGTAAATAAATAAATACAAAAAAAATACGAAAACTGTCGAAATTTACCACTTCTAGCTTCGCTGTAGTCCTTTATATTTTAATAAATAAACAGAATAAAACGAAAAAAAAATCTTACTTCATCGCTTTTATTTATTTATTTATTTTTTCGTTTCTTCTGTCTCTTTCTTTTTGTTGTTAACTAAAGTTTGCATATTACTATGTATTTAGATATTTTGGGTTTAATCCGTTTGTATCCCAAAGAGGAAAAAAATAAAGATATAAATAAATATGCAGGAATCCAATCGTCCAATGTTAGCAAATTTGACTGGAAATGTTGAAAAATACTTTTACACTAGTGAAGTCATTAGAAAATAACGCTGCTAAATTTTTAACGAATCCGCGAGAAGATATCACCCCCCTTTTTTATATATTAAAATAAATAAAATAAATAAATATGATAATATCAAAATAATCAGGTTTGATTAGAAATTAAAAAAATTTTCAAAAACTTGTTACGGCCATATTTGAACTGAAACAATTTTTAGGTACTGCGGAAACTTAAAAAATATACAGCGGGAATTGTTGCCAATTAATCATTAAACTAACTAACAACAACTCAATGAAAATGCTACTTTTGTGATTTATAAAAATAGTATTACAAAACAACAGTAAAACAAAATTTGTTTTACTGTTAGGTCTCCATACAAAGCTATGTATTAATCCACTCTGTATAACGAATTTCTCACGTTCTATACCGAAAGAAAAAAGGGCACATCAGGCAACAAAGTAAAGAATGTAGGCTGACTTGTAATTAATAGAGTCTCTTACCTTCTCAGAATTCCTTACTCTAATAATCTAATTACTCAGAACCAGGTCATCCTAAGTGTTTTTCTCGTAATAAGCAGTTATGTTAATGAAAAATTTTATCTCTTTCGAATGTGACAGGGGTCCCTTGAAGATGATTCAAGAAGTGGTCGACCAGCGGAGGTGATAACGGAAGATATCGTTGCGATTGTGGAAGAGGTGGTATTGAGTGATCGACGTTTAAAGGTCAAGGAAATCTCAGAAATTCCTAAGGTTTCTGATACAAGTGTTCGTCGAATCAATTAGGTATACATAAGGTTAGTGCAAGATGGGTTCCTAAAAACCCTTAGGCTATTAAAAAACAACACCGTGTCGAGACTCTGTGGGTCGGAACCGAAGCCCGTGATAGAAACGATTGTGGCGGGAGATGAAACTATGGTTCTCTATTTTGACCCTCTATCGAAAAAAGAATCAATGGAGAATCGTCGTAATGGTGAGGCACCTCCAAGAAAATTCAGAGTCTGCCAGTCAACAACAAAGGTGATGGCCATGATCTTTTGGGATTGTGAAGGAATTCTTTTAAGAGATTTTAAAGAAACTAATATCTCTGTCAATGGTTAATATTACACAACAGTATTACATAAATTGCGAGACTGCATACGTGTAAAACGCCGAGAAAAACTGACCAGAGGCGTGCGTTTTTTCCACGATAATTTTTAGAGTGTGAGTTCCAACAGATAGATCATCCTCTCTATAGTCCAGATGTGGCCCCCAGCGACTATTATTTGTTGGGATATTTGAAAAACGACTTACGTGGAAGGCGTTTTAACGACGAAGTTGAGTTAAAAGAGGCTGTTTTAGATCATTTTGCAGACAAACCAAAACATTATTTTTTTAAAGAGATTGAGTTGTTAATAAAGAGATGTAATAAGTGTATTGAGGTTATATTGAAAAATAATAAAAAAATGTTACTCTACTTTGTTTCTTTCATATTCAGGCCGGAAATTTTGGCGCTGCCCTCGCATTCGCGTTCTGACAATTCATCACTTATTTCGAATTTGAATAGATGAACGATATGGAACCGTCATTCCGTAGTTTTACCTGGTATCTCTGATTTCATCATCATCTTCGTCAATATTTTATCTCAAAAACGAAAATTATAACAACAAAAAAATTCCATTATAAAAACACCATCTTTTTTTAGAAACTGGGATGGAGGATACTAAAAGAACAACAGGAACAGGGACTCTGCTAGAAAATGCACTCCAATTTACTAGAAGAGAGAACAAATCTCTGGTTCTTAAGTGTTTCTTCGACTTATATGCCGTCTTGCAAAAAGCCTTTGCTTGTAAGGCATCTCCTTCACGAAATGACTAACATTTTGAAGGATTTTGTCAGTCTTTGGTAGCTAATATACAGAGTGGCCTCTTTTTCAACGCGGCAAAGGACGAAAAAATTACATTAAGCAACTGCTTTATCCCAATTTCATGTACTCGGCGATATAAACTAATCAAAACGGGCTTAACAAAAATTTAACCTTACCACTTTCGATTTTCAAAAATTTACTTATACTGCACCGTTCAGGTTTTTTTTTTTTTAATAAGAAACAAACAATTTTCGTCGGTTTCAGAGCTGGCTGTGCCGGATACTAATAAGCGTTCGGTATTATTTCATCCTTTCGAATTTCACGTTCATGCTGATGGAAGGTCTGTACCTACACAACCTCATCTTCCTGAATTTGTTTTCGGAGAATCACGGTACTACGGCTTACTGCGTCACAGGATGGGGTAAGCGCACGCCAATGGCATTTCCATAACCCACTTCTCAGTGTTTCACTTTGCCTGCGAGCCGGCAGGATTCTCCGCGAACGCCACTGACGTGCATATGCAGGGTGTCCCGTACAAGATGATGTGCGTGGGGATATTGGAAACGGTTTTGACTCCTTTCTTGTCCACTCATTATTTAAACGTGTTTTAAAATCGAATAGCAATATTCAAGCCTACTATCCCGAAACCTTATTTTTGCAATTAGAAAATGTCGAAATTCAATTTTGCGTAAGAAAAAAAATTGTCTTCGGCCGCATGCAACATAGTAGGCCTATTTTTTTTACGAGCATTTTTCAAATATATTGTGGTTTTTCGAAAACTAACATTTTCCTTTTTCACCCTGTACCTACGTAAAGGTATCGATTTAGAATAAAACAAAGCTAGATTATTTTTTGAGGTATATCTTTTACAATTTCCAATGCTGGACACCCTGTATACATACAACGCAACTGCCGTTTGACATTTTTACATTACAGCATTGCCAGCGCTTTTCATCACGTCCTGGATGATACTGAGGGCGCTTTTCGAAAACACATTGTGCTGGACCCAAAAGGACGACAAACACATCTCCTTACTGATAGACGTTCCCGTAGGGGTGACCGTGGTGGTAAGGAAGCCGTGTTGCTGCCGCTAACTTAATGACGGTTTCGGGTTTTAGATAAATTTCATATTATTCATTATAATCGTGAGGGTCTTGGTGTTGAAACTCCACTTCACGTCGACGTTCATCCAACAACGCAAAAAGTACAGGTACGAGCTTGACTATGGTTTATTTCGGAAAATTAACACACACACACACAAATAATTAATTAGTTTGGGTTCATTGAAAATTTAAAAGAAGCGTTAACCGAAACTAAAGGCATTTTAAAGTTAAATGACCTTAGAAAAAAGTTCTCAGCACCTCGAGGAAACGCTAGGGGTCGCGGGATGATTCTGTATATTTATTTTTGTTTTTTTAGTTATAATTTGTATTTTTCAGGAAACTATTGAAGTCCACATTGATTTTGATACCGCTTTTCGGCATACCGTACATTTTGTCACTCGTTTCGTCGTTCTACGTGCACCGCAGTAAAATTCTGGAAGTAACATGGCTGTTTTTCGACCAAACTTTTACCGCATTTCAGGTAAGGATATTTCGTTACATTAAAGACACTTACATTTATTGCAAGTTCAAGTATGCGAAGGAAACATAAGAACAATTGAGGGTATTATAACCTTACTTATTTATCTTTCAATTCTTATTAGTTGTTATGATAGAGTTCTATTTGATATATACGAAATAGATATGTACTAGCAAAAACTACTCAATAATGATTATTATTTATTTTACATAGTATATATAATAATATATAATAATACTTACTTATTTTTTTTTAAATTATATATTTTTTAATATTAATAAATATACTTTTTATATACCTATAAAAAATTACTTTAAATAATAATATATAAATTTATTATATGATAAATAATATATAGAGGGATACAAAATTATTAATTTAAATTATTGTGTTAAATAGGAAATTAATATTGCAATTTTTTTTTAATTTGAAGGAAAATCTTAAGCTTTGGGTTGGAAAATTTTCAAATTTGTGTAAAAAATTAATTGAGGGGGTATAAATTTATGAGTCTATGAAAAAAAAAAGGTGAATTTGATCTAAATGATTGAAAATTCAAATTTTTTGGATTTTTTTAAATTTTAGCGGAAGTTTTTAACCCCCCCCCCCCTTTTAAAAAAAAATAATAAAAAAACTTTTTGAAAAAAGGGGGAGGTTGATTCAATTGAATTTTCCATCTAGGCAATTTAAATTTTTATCGAAAAATTTGGAATTTCTATATAATTTCTATTTAGTAATTATTAGGCAAATTTATAGGTCGGAAATTTGCTTTTTTTAAAATAGAATTTTTATTCAAAACATTTGCAATTTTGTTAAATTTTACTAGGAAAAACTATAACTTCCCTGGTAAAATCGGGGCCTTCTTTCCGGATATCTCTGGAAATATACATTTAACGCCGTCTGTGGATTTTCCTTACTTTCAATATAACATCTTATCATGTAGCTTGAAGAAGACGCCACTTTTCACACTTGGGCTTGTGTATCATGGCAATTGTTTTTATCTGATCATAGCTACCTAGATAGAGGCCGTAAAACTGCATAGGTCAGAGTTAAGCACAGCCTACTGTGGTAATTAATAAAAAATGCAGATATCTTTTTAACTACTTAATAAAAATAGGTGTATGGCACATCGTTTGACAGGAAATTTTATTAGAAAACTTATTTTTAAAAAATGGGGTATTCCATTTAAAAAAATGTAACGTTGTGTTATATCTCGTGAACTAAAGGCTTTAACAGAATAACCCTGTAGCTCAGAAATTACATATTAGTTTTGGGCTAACTACGCTGCAAATGCTTAAACCCATAGAGGCCTCTCGAATTTGGATGATGTCCTTTCTGTTGATACGATGCTCATAATTTGCCTACCACTCCTTTAATCATGTTCATGTATTTACATCTAATTGCACATTTGAACTTAGTTTGTGGTTCTGATGAACATTTTTGATATGGTTAAAGTTAAAGGTCTTTACTCTAGCATAGCGACCTTATCAGTGGTCTATAAACGCCATTTTTTTTTAGGGATTATTCGCAGCGTTAGTCTACTGTCTGCTGAACAGCGAGGTGCAGATAGAGATCAAACGGAAGTACTGTTCGATAAAAGAGCAAAACGACAAGGAATTTAGGCGGAGCCGCACGATATCGTGCAATACGCAGCAGTTCTCGCTCCAAACGAATGACGAGCCGTTGGAAAACGTCAATCTTTTCGGCATGGCGGACTACGAGCCCGCCGCAAATGAAAACCGTCACAAATAAATTCACCTATACTCCTCAGCACCGATCGATATGTATAGATCTCGACAAAAAAAAATAAATTTTTACCACTTATTTCTCTTTTTGATAGATTTCTTTTTATTGGAGTCAAATGAACATCTGAAAACGAGTAGTTTAAAAATGCATGCACAACATAACCTATAAAAAATGACAACGCTATTAAAGAAAAGGCGGTTGAACTGACACTAGGTCGGTGGGGGTAGCTTCAGGTAATTGTGCCTTAAATTCTGACTTTCTTCCCAAACGTTCTCACCAGATTTTATTCGATAAGATCAAAGTACTTGCACCTAACCCTTCCTCAAAAAATTTTTCAGGGATTTTGACTTGTTCTTTAAGAATTCTGACTGGTTTCGCAAAAACTATGAATTGTTTTTCAAAAATTCTTACTTGTTTTTCTGAAATTTTTCCGTTCTCAGAAATTCTGACTTTTTTTCAAAAATTCTTTTTTTTGTTTTTCATAAATTCAGACTTGTTTTTCAGGAATTCTGATTTATTCTGCAGAAATTCTGGCTTATCCCTAAAATGTTCTGCTTAAGTCAGAAATTCTTGCTTACGTTTCACGAATTTTGACTTATTCTTCAGAAATGTTCACTCGTCTTTCAAAAACTCTTACTTAAGTCGGAAGTTCTGACTTGTTTTTCAGGAATTTCGACTTATTTTTCCAAGAAAAATTATATCAGAAATTTTGACATTTCTTAGGGCTTTTCACTTGGTTTTCAGACATCCCGATTTGTTTTTCACAAATTCTGACTTGTTTTTCAAAAATTCGCATTCGATTTTCACAAATTCTGATTTATTTTTCAGAATTTCTGGCTTATTTCCCAAAAGTTCGGCTTAAGGAAGAAATTCTTGCTTACGTTTCAAAAATTTGGACTTATTCCTCAGAAATTTTCAGTTGTCTTTCAGAAACTCTTACTTAAGTCAGAAATTCTGACTTGTTTTTCAGGAATTTCGACTTATTTTTCCAGGAAAAATTCTTTCAGAAATTTTGACTTATTTCTCAGAGCTTTTCACTTGATTTTCAGACATCCCGATTGGGTTTTCACAAATTCTGACTTGTTTTTCAAAAATTCGCATTCGATTTTCACAAAATCCGATTTATTTTTCAAAAATTCTGGCTTATTTGTCAAAAGTTTTGCTTAAGTTAGAAATTCCTGCATACGTTTCGGGAATTTCGATTTATTCTTCAGAAATTTTCACTCGTCTTTCAGAAACTCTTACTTAAGTAGGAAGTTATGACTTGTTTTTCAGGAACTTCGACTTATTTTTCCAAGGAAAATTTTATCAGAAATTTTGACTTATTTCTCAGGGCTTTTCACTTGGTTTTCAGACATCCTGATTTGTTTTTCACAAGAACTCTTACTTAAGTCCGAAGTTCTGGCTTCCACTTATTTTTCCAAGATAATTTCTTTCAGAAATTTTGACTTATTTCTCAGGGCTTTTCACTTCGCAAAACATAACATGAAGAAGTGAAAGTTCGACAATTGTCTACCATCTTCAAGCAAAAGATAAAAATTGAAATTTATTCATAATGGAAGATGATATACATGTATTTTAATATTAAAGCAATGTTATCTGTTATCTGAATCCAATATATCTTCTATTTCTAGCCTAAGAAATATAGCATTGAGATTACGTAGTTATTATGAATAGTCTCTTCTGCTACAGACTTGGCACCATTTGTTTAGACAGCTTGGTCCTTTAAAAAAATCCCAAAATGGGTATTTTACAATAAGGAGTACACAAAATATGCTTCGATAGATCTTTGGAACGTGAATTGACGAAATCCATGATCTCCTGATCTTTTATTTATCGTGTAGCCATTAAATATAAACATTTTCCTTTGCAAGCACATTTTACATTCTACAATTAGATGTTGGCTATCCAGTTAATTGCATCTCTCTTCTCTCGACGCTCCTCTTTCGCCGTTTCGTTTGATCCGTTCGCGTCTTCGTCGGTAACGAACAAAGGAATAGAGAACGGCGAAAATGGATTTTGAATAATTCTAGTCGCCTCTTTCGATTCGTCCACGGGTAGCGAGTTCGCAAAAGACAGCAAAAGCAAAGAGGAAAACGCCAGAGCCGTGGCCATTTTAAGTGCCTGAAAATGCAAAAGAAAAAACACCCTATACACAAATCTGGTTTCCTCCTGCGTAATATAATCTTTATTTAGTATTATGCTACATAAAAAATACGAAATATAAATTCTAAATATAAAATATAAAATTCCTTAAAAAGTCTTTTAAATTTATCAAGGGTATCACAGTTTTTACACGGTAAATTGTTAAAATGGTTTAGGCCTTTATGTAATATCGAGTTTTGTACATGACTAGAATAACATTTATTTCAACATAAAATTACCACAATTTCTTGTGTTGTGAGAATGAATATCTCCGAAATAGGTAACTTTTTCACAAACATAATTGGGAACACATTGCTGTTTAATTTTAAAAATAAATACGTAGATATTAAACACTACTTTTTGTTTTACAGATAAGAAATTAAGAACACTCAACATACTTTGAATTGGCGTATATCTGTTACGCTTTAATTTATAATTAGGCGCATATTGAACAAAAGTGTGGAACAAAATTTTAAGTGGGGAGCAGCTGGGCTGTTATACAATAAGATTTTGGTGTCAATTGATAAATTTTTCCGTATTCTAGATATAAAATTAATCTCATCATCAGAAGCATTCTTCAGATCAGCATTCATTTTTCTTTGCATGTCATCCGCAAACAATACCGCTTTAGTATCATCTAAAATATTGACAATATCGTTTATATACATAAGAAACAACAATGGTCCCAAAACTGTCCCCTGAGGAACACCACCTTCTACAGTTATGTACAGTTTTTTGTACCCTATCTGTTAAATACGAAGCCATTTATACGCTCTTCCCTTAATACCAATTTTGTACAATTTTCTTAACAGTCTAGTTCTACTTATTGTTTCGAAAGCACGCTTAAAATCGAAAAATACAGCCAACACAAATTTACCATCCCCCAGGGATATTGACCTTTTTTCAGAAACCCTGATTTGTTTCTCAAAAATTCTAACTTGTTTTTCAGATATTCTGACTTGTTTTTCAGAAGTTCTAATTTGTTTTTCGGAAATTCTGACTTGTTTTTCAGAAAGTCTATCTTAGGTCAGAAATTGTCACTCGTTTTTCAGAAAATGAAAAATTCTTTCAGAAATTCTGACTTCTCAGGGATATTGACTTCTTTTTCAGAAATCCTGACTAGTTTTTGAAAAATTCTGACATGTTTTTCAGAAATTCATTCGTTGAATTTAAAAAACCAACGATTAAAATCGCGAGAATTTTATTCGCATCTATCCCACTCCTGACATCAACGGATTTTTCGCGATTCTTTGACATTTCACTTTTATAAATAAATATGAAGGCACTTCTATCCTCCTACAAGCCCGGATGCGCGATAAATTCTACAACAAAGCGCGATTTACCGAAATTCGAAGTTGATTCTATTTATTTTTATAAAATATCGCTTACCATTTTTAAAAACCACTGGGATGTTAAATCTCGGTCGATCCAAAAGCCGAAACACACGTGCAACAAAAAGACTCCGTCCTAGTTTGTAAACATGAAGTCGATAATTAATGACATAACGTACTTTTAAATTGCGGCTTGGAAGGAAAGCCACAGACAGGTATTTTGCTTCTATCGGCGCGTCTCTATTGCCTCAGATTAACGCGCCTACGCTCCGATATACGGGGGCAGTTCGATTATTACTGCGCGTAAAATTTATCTTCATAACATTTTAATTGGCTGTAACTTTTTTGTTTTTAGAGACATCGAGGTAAACAAAAAAACAAAAGATAGGATTAGCAGCCGAGTATTTTTTCAAGCAACGTACAAAACAAAACACTATCAATTTTAAATAAATACTTTATTTATTTAGCATAAAGCTATAACAGAAAACAAAAATATACGAGGCAGTTGCAAAATTTAAATTAGTACAAAAGTACACAGAACAAAAGTATATAACAGAACAATTATAAAAGAAAAATAAGAATAAAATTTCAGACAATACATTAATCTTTTAAAAGCATTTAAATTATCACACTCCTTTGTTCTATTGGTGCCCTAAGAGTTGCAAATAATGATCTCCAGTTAACTTTTCATCTAGAAATATCGAAACCAAAATATGCCCATTTATGACACCACAATAAACATTAACTGATTGGTAAAGTCTGTTCATAGATATAAGAAAGTGACTAACTGATACGAATTAAGGAAAGATAGGAAAGATACTAAACAATATTTATTTATTTAAGTATGTATTTATGTTTAAATCTAAAATAAAATAAAAAACTTCGGTTTCTATAAGTTTGAGGGCATTGGAGTTAACACGAGGAAAAACAATAGGAATGATTACTAATAAACTCAAACTAAGTAGTATACCAAACCAAAGAATATTAAACACAAGTAGATATAAAAATATTTTCTGTTACGGACCACAATTCTACCTGAATTTAAATTCCGAAACTTTAGGTAATAATATTGTTGCATTGTATGTTAATGACCACCCTTGGATAATTCCATTCAAGAGCAATTGGTCAATTTCTTATATCTATGCACAGACCATACCCCTGGGTTTTTATTTCGTGTATTTGTCTAGGATTGTTCAAAGACCAATATCGCGTAATTTATCTATTACCGTTTTCTGTAAATTTCTTTGCCAGCCTTGGAAATATATTTAATATACAGGATGTTCCATTTAAAAAATATGATGTAGGCTTAATTCTCGATCCAGGTAACTTTGAGTCAAAAGCCAACCACATAGCGGTACAAATATGACAGAAAATAATGTTTTCAATTTTTTTCTTGAAAACGAAAATAGACATAACAATAAAATAATACTGAAGTATAGCAATTGTAATAACGCACTTTCTGCATATTTTTTTGCCCCTTGCGATTTTTTCACAAAAATTACAGTTTCCGAATAAAAAAATTAAATTTAAGGCATTGACGAAAAAATGATTCTCTTATAAACAATAACATTTGGGAAATATTTTATATACAAAAAGCAACAAATAAGCAAGGCACCGAAGGAAAAACCAAAATAATACGATAATAGGAAAAATTTAAGAAGTGTTATTCATTTGCTTTTATTAAAAAAGGCCAGTATTTTGAAAAAATCGCGGGAACAGTCTCCAAATAGGAATAATTTTGTTTTGTATGCCGTTTCGTAAGTTTTTCACTTTTATTTATTTTTATTTCGGACAAGGAATCACCATCACTTGTTTCGAAACACCCTATATATGGAACAGCCCTCGTATGCACCGAATCGAATTTCCTGTTTACCAACGGAGCCGGCAATCTCCAAGTAAATCAGCTGACGACAAAAACCAATTCGACGAATGAAGGCTTGAACTCTTTCTAGTTTAAAAGAATAATACGATCCGGGCGGATTACGAAAAAGAGAATCGAAAAGTTCACTAGAATCCGAAGCTGGTAATATTCAGAAACATCAGAGACGGACTAAGGATTATTTACATTTACTTATAATTTTCAAAAGGAAAATTAATTTTGTGATTTGAATAGCGCGCTTTTGAAGAAAAAAAAACGGTACGCCAATGATATTTTTTCTTTGGAATTCACCTCAATGACCAACAATTTCAAAACCATACAGTCTATTTATCGTCATGATTCGGGTCATATTTTGATCTTAGACAGTCGCTAATATAATAGTATACAACCGCCGTCGACGATTCCTCACTCTACACTTACATAACACATTACACCATAAACATTTAATAACTAGCATCTAACTAAATTACGAGAATGAGAACATGAAACAAATAGAATAAATACACATCTGTGGCCACCGACGCACACTTGACCTAATTACATAACCCTCGGAACAACCACATTTTTGGTTAGATTAAATGTGTCTGGCGAATAAAACTAAAAGATGGCTGGTTACGATTTAAAAATATAAAACATAATTAAACCTCCGTTAATATCGGCGCGGCGTTAATAAACAGCTGTTAAGGCGAAGAACCACGTAATAATTTCATTGTTCCGCGAAGCGATCCGTGCGGCGCCACCTATATTCCGATGCGGGAATTATCCTGATAGTGTAGAGACGAGCGACACCGCCACCTGAGAGCAGTCGAGTAAACTTACACGCATGCCTATTGAGGTTATTATTTAATTGCAAGTCGGTTGGCGAGAAAATTTTTCGATTTCGGATTATCAGAGACTTTGTGTTAAAGTTTTAATCGATATTTCGTACAGTGTAGTGTGCGTAAAACGTGTACCCTTTTTATAAGTTGCGAATTAACGACCGTGATTGTGCCGGTGAGTCACCATTTGCAATTTCCATTGATAAATCTGTTTTATTAAAATGATTAACACAACACAGGGTGTTATCCCTGATTGGCGCACATAATATTATGTCCGAGATGCTGCTCTTGAAATGGTGTTTCAAAAATCATTTATTAATATCCAATTTTTTTTTAAGGTGTCGCTATATTTTTTTTCACCTTTCTTCGTGTTCCGTGTTAGCGTAGAAAATAATTTCCAATTGTGTTTTTAGTTGCTTAACCACAGAAATTTTGTACGGATAAGGATAAGTTAGTACGATTTTAATTGATTTTATCACAATTCAGAGAGGTATGGTATGTTCATAGATTTAAGAAAGTGACCAATTGCTTATGAATGGGATTATCCAAGGGTGGTCATTAACATACAATGCAACAATATTATTACCTAAAGTTTCGGAATTTAAATTTAGGTAAAATTGTGGTCCGTAACAGAAAATATTTTTATATCTACTTGTGTTTAATATTCTTTGGTTTAATTTTATTAGTAATCATTCTTATTTTGTGTGTAATACGCGGTGTGTTGAATTTTCCGGAAATGCCGACTGGAATATCTAGAAAAAAATAGAATCTACAGAGAACAACAAAGGCCAATTATTTACTTGGATGAAACCTGGTTCGACAATTATGATACCCCGGAAAAGGGTTGGGTTGACTCAATTGATAAGTGCGAAACAAACGCGCCATCAAAAAGAGGTAAAAGAATAACTATTTTGCATGCTGGCTCTAAAGATGTTTGGATTCCAAATGGACTTTCTCTGTCTGAGAAAAAATATTAAAGATTCTTCTCTGAATTCCCATGAAGACACCACCGCTGTTTTATTTGAAAGTTGGTTTAAAAACAAACTATTTCCAAACATTCCTCCTAATAGCGTCATTGTAATGGACAATTCAAGTTATCACAGTAGACAGTTGACTAAAACCTCTTCCTCATGTGACACAAAAGCAACAATCCAAAACTATATGTATAATAACGACATTTATTTTCAGGAAGATTATACTAAAAAGCAATTACTTGAGGTTCTACAAAGCTTGAACCTACAAAAGGAATACGTCTGTGATAATTATGCAAAAAATCTAGGGCATACAGTTTTAAGGCTTCCACCTTACCACTATATATTTAATCCCATTGAACATGTTTGGCACCAACTGAAATCTGCCATTCGTCGTAACAATGTTTTTCCCCGTGTTAACTCCAATGTCCTCAAACTTATAGAAACCGAAGTTTTTAACATCCCTCCAAAAAGTTGGGAAAATTCTGTTAAACATATAGAAAAAGCAGAACAATAGTATATCCATATTGCGAATAATATAGAACAAATAATAATTAGAACAGGCGATGATAGCGATAGTGATACTGATATATTATGTGAATAATTTTAAGTAACTTAGGTAATAAAAATGATTTGTAATTTTATTTCAGATTTAAAATAATTAAATTCTAAGTACGGACCTGTTCGCCCATATTTTATTCTTACAGCATGCCGGGTCTTTCCTTATTTCGTATCTGTTAGTCACATTCTTATATCTATGAACAGACTTTACCTGTTTTCTTTTTCAATTATGCAGATTCTCTTAAAAGAATAGTATTGTAGCTCCCAGTTTCTGTCAATGTATATAGTTGTCTTTTCTAATTAATCTTAAGTTACGTTATACCTCTATCTTACAACATTATATTTTAATTATCTCATATAATTTTAAAAAAACATTGTGCAATAATCCGACGATCTGGTGTTCAGTAGAGTAGCTACTAACTATTTGTATTATATTGTGAATATGTATATGTTTTTTTTTACTAATAAAAAAAACCGTTTATTATTATTATTATTAAAAATCCACAAAATTTCCTTGAAATCTGTGAAAGTTTGAGATCTGGTGGATGATGATTTGCTTGAAAATGTAAAATGAAAATTTTTGATCGTGGGTGATCGAGTATAGCGACAGCACCTTCAAACGTCTACGCAAAGAAACTAACCAAAACTGCTAGACTGTGGTTTAAGGCTTTTTAATTCGACACTCATTCACCCGAATCGCCAGCAGTCAAAAATTCCTTCGTTTTGACGTAATACGTCACCCAGTTGGTAAAGTAGTTCAATTTCTTGTGGATCGCGACCTTCTGGTGATTCTTCGCGTGTTTCTTGAGCGCGTTTGCCGCGTTGACGGCCATTTTGTTGTTTCGAAAGTGTTTCGCATGGAACTTCGGAAAATCCCCGATAACGCGCTGTTTGCGAACGTCACGTTGCGAAATCACGCGGGTGTTTTCGCAAAATAAATTCGCTTCGTCCTTGTACCGGCCGTTGCTGGCCAGTTCCAGGTGTGTAGCGGCGTTTTTCGCGATTAAATGGTCAAATGAGCAGCCATATTGCGTCTCGTTCGTAGAAAGTGTTGTTTGATCATGGTTTCGATGGATGCCGCTGCAATCTATACGATCCAAACGGATTACTACTAGACTACGAAAATTTAGAAACAAAATTTTAAAAATATTGTTTTTAACAAAATCGGTGAAATCTCGCGTAATGTGAAATCTGGTGTACAAACTAGTACTACATCTGCGTGAAATACGTGAAATCTTTGTGAACATATTTTCGAAATTTTAGAGTGTGATTAGTTATTTTTTGTGTTTAGCTATAATTGTATTTATGGATGGAATGTAATTTTATGGACAGAAAATTATTAAAATTCATATCTAAATCTACTACTTAATTAAAGTTGAAGGAAAAAAAAGAAGAAAATGAAGAAACAAAATTTTAATAAAAATCGGTGAAACCTTGAGGGAAATTCGTAACATATTTTTGAAATTTTAATTTTCGGCATTTTTAAAAGGATAAAACGTAGGGCCTTAAAAATATTTTTTGTGTTTAGCTATAATTGCAATTTGTTGTGGCCTTGAAGAAAATTACGTAATTAAACTTGAATTAAAAAAAAGAAGAAAATTAAGAAACAAAATTTTAAAAATAATATTTTAATCAAAATCCGTGAAGTCTTTCGGTTTGAGGACAGTGGTGGAGGTAAAGATTATATTATATTATTATTATATTATATTATATTATTATTATATTATATTATTATATATTATTATATTATATGCTTGTCGTTTTGCTCTTTTATCGAAAACGGCGTTCATAGACGAACGATAAGGGTGCAAAGTTGATCTTTTGACTCTGGAAATGTAAAAATTGAGCAATGGAGTAAAACTCATTCCTCGTAAAAAGTTTTGAATTTTCTAAAATATAAAATGCAATCTTTAGATATCTATTTTTCGAATGGTATACGAGAGTAAAGACCTTTAACTTTTACCATATCAAAAATGTTCATCAGAACCACAAACTAGGTTCAAATATGGAGTTGTAGGAAATTATTATGAAATTTATATAAAAATTATCGTACCAACAGAAATCATCAAATTCGAAAGGCCTCTATGGCTTTAAGCATTTGCAGCGTAATTAGCCCAAAACTAATATGCAATTTGTGAGCTACAGGGTGATTCTTAAAAATGTGAATTTCTAAAAACCCTCTATAACTTTTTTATTTGTATAGAAATTTTTATTAAAAACATTTTTTGAAGATTTTTTAAGGAGTTCACCGATTTTGTCTTAAAGCATTTAGTTCACGAGGTATAACACAAAGTTACATTTTCTACAAGAATACGGATGACGCCATGTATTGTCCAAATTCTGATTTCTCTGTGCTTAGCTTTTGGTTTTTGTTTATCTGGAATTTTATATTTTATATTTCCTACTTAGCATAATGCTAAATAAAGATTATATTATTATTATTATTATTATTCAAATTGTTGAGTTTTATGTAAAAATTTCATATCATCGCGGAAGTTTTTCTTGCAATTTACTTGAAAAAAATAATCATATTAAAATAATAAACAATTTTCAAGATAAAAAAAACTATTATTTTTTACGTGACACTCTTTCGAGTTTTGGTAGTTTTTTTGTTTGTTTGTTTTATGGGATTTTTATCGAGTAAAAACCAACATCTGTCGCTGTCCTCAAACCGTTCGACACCACGCGGCAGTTTCCATGAAAATCACCTCGATCGGACTCTAACTCGGCCTGCTGAACGCCGCACTTGGCGTGCGCGTAGCGTTTCTCGCCAGTGGCGTGCTTCGGCTCGATCTCTTCAGTTGAATATGACAACGTCACCGTAATTTCTGAAGGTGTCGCGTCGTTTATAACAAGCGAATCGGGGCATTGCACCTCCTTCGACTCCAGCCCCGCCCACGCGTGTACGGGCCCTTCCGAAACCCAGTCCGTCGTCGAAGCGAGGGATTTTCGGCCCTCGAGGCCCTCGGGATCGATGAACGTTTTGTAAAATAACGCGTCTATGCTAGATAGGTGGCGTAACGATCGAAAAACGATTGTTTTCCCACTCTCTACCGAACCTTGTTTAGGTTCGGAACCCGTGGTACCTAAAAAAACCGAAGGAGAAAAGCGGAGAATGAGTTCACCCAAAAATATGGTGTATCTCGAAGTATATCGTCTCTAGCATCTCTTTATGTTTAATTAATTTCTCTGTGGGTCGAAACCGAAGCCTGGGATAGAAACTATTGTGACGGGAGATGAAACTATGGTTCCCTATTATGGCCCTCTATCGAAAAAAGAATCATTGGAGTGGCGGCGAGTCTGCCAGTCAACAAAAAAGGTGATGGCCACGATCTTTTGAGATTGCGAAGGAATTCTGTTGATAGATTTTAAAACCACTGTTACTGAGTTACGACAGGGTCAAAACCTCTACAAAAATCCACAGACACAGCATAAACCTGTAGAGTATAGATGTTGTCAATGCAACCCTTGCGAAAGTCCCACTGGACTTGGTGCCGACATCAGACTCCCATGTCGGAAGTCTTCACTACCGTATTCACTAAAGCGATTTATCCGAAAAATGGGTCTCAGCCAATCCGCAACTTTTGTCTTTGACATTTTTAAAGCACCAAAATGATTCTTGATCTAATGTTCACACTTACAAGAATGCAGAACGGTACGCACTGAATCGGCTGAAATCGAGTGTTTGATTTCCACAAAAGCCACGTTGGCTGAGTTTTCTAGATGGTTTTGGCATATTCCATCGGGAGCTATCGACAGTTTAAGTGTTCTTTGAACGCACCTTCCCGTCGGAATTGTCACACTGGGGAGCGATTGAATGGTGAGCTTTTCAAGCTGAAATTTTTTAACCTCAAAATTGCCCTTACGTTTAGTGTCGTACTCACCTTCGTCGAGCGCTTCGGACTCAGGCAATGAGCACCCAAACTTTGAAAGCTTAAATCCGGCCTCGCTTTCGTTTTCGTTGCATGAACGTCCTGTATGACAAAACTGGCTGGACTTAGGTCGGTAGATCGCGGAGGCACGCGGACCAGGTCGAAAGTTTCCGAAATGAAAGTTTTGGGGGGGGACGTTTGTGTGCTCGCGTTTATGTGCGAATTGTGATCTCGTTGAACTCCGACGCTCCTAGTCTCCCAGCTAACTTGAATTTCCTTGGATGCGGACGTCACCTCGGTATTACACCCCAAAGACACTAGTTCCTTCGAGGAATGTTCTGGAAACACGGGACTTTGACATTACCATTATTTACGAACTTATTGACAGATCGTTTCGGCTTCGAAAATAGAACGTTTCGTTTTTTGTCTGTTCTCTGTAACGGATTGAAGCCCGCTTACACTGCAAAATATCGAGCCCATTTAACAAAATAAATTAGAACTAAAAGTTCAAATTTTCACGAAATTATATATTTTCACATGACAATTGTTTCCACAACACCGACCGTGTCTTTATCAAAACAAAGACATTTGATAAAGACACGGTGTTGTCGAAACAATTGTCATCTAAAAATATATAACTTCGTGAAAATCTAAACTTTTAGTTCTTATTTATTTTGAAAAAAAATTTTTTCTTTGTCAATTTAAGTTCAAATTAGAATCGTTAATGTGCTTAGTTGCTAATTCACAATCGATCCCTAAACATTCTCATTCCCTATTAATGTACGACTGCTGTAAGTTAAAATTGAAACCTTTTTCCAGAAATTCATTTCACTTGTAGAAAATGTTGTGTCTGTTAAGTTTATGAAATTAGTGGTCGGTATACTGTGCAGTAAGTGGCCTGCTGTTTGTATTAGAAATTAATTTGTTTAACTGTAGTTTTTGATGGATGAAATGTCTGTTCGAACTCTATAATCAAATGTGTCAAAGTCGATGGGATTAAATCTATGAGACAATTCAGAATGTATTACCTTTACATAAATGTTGTGCACAACGACATCAATTAAGGTTATAATGTCATTTTTCGGTATATATAGTAGTTTGCAAATATTACATTTGATAATGACACGGTGTTGTCGAAACAATTGTCATGTCATAACATGTAATTTCGTGAAAATCCGAACTTTTAGTTCTTATTTATTATTTTTTTCGTTACCGACAAACCAAAACTGCAACTATGCGATGAATTACGTTTTGCTATTTCGTTTGTGCTTTTTCGCTGCCTCGGCGTACTAAAACTGCTCTCCGTCGATTCGGATATCGTATGCAGCTTAGCGTGCAAAGCCTCGATGCTGCTAGTAACTTCGACTTCGCCATCGTCGGGAACTGTTAGAAATTTGTCGCCTAAATAAAAATTTGAAGTGGAATTAAAGCTTCAAATTAGTAAAACGTCCAGGCCTTTCGAACTAACCCTTCGACGATACGTCATCGTTTTCGTTTCTTCTGGTTTTCGGCCGCGATAAGGGGAGCGTTTCGTCTCCGCGATTGTCGATTTGATACAGAAGACTCTCCGCTTCCGTCCTCAAATCGTTTACCGCGTCGCTAAAATTACTTTCGGCCCTTTTCCGGGAGCTCTCGGGCGGTTTCATCGTTTTGATTTGCGTCAACGCGTCCCTGATGCGACCGATGATCGCGTTCGCTTCGTTTATTTTCGACTTGATCGAATCGTTATCCGCGGAGTTGTTCGTTTCGTCCTTGATGTCGCTACCGTCGGTTAGCGTCGAGGATCTGGAAGTCGTAAGACGAAGAAAATTCAGTTTACGATACGATTTATTTACCCACAGTATTTATGTGAAACCAAACAAAACGCAACTAGTTCGATATCAACAATAGGTGCCACCTAAATGCAAGGAGCGTGTTTATGTGCCCTGTGTTATAAAACTGTATTACGAACAAAATTTGTTGTACTATTAGGTCTCCGTACAAGGCTATGAATGAGTCCATTCTGTGTAACGAATTTTAAATCTAAAATAAAATTACAAATCCTTTTTATTACCTACTTAAATTCCTTAAAATTATTCACATAATATATCACTATCACTATCGCTATCATCGCCTGTTCTAATCATTATTTGTTCTATATTATTTACAAAATAGATATACGATTGTTGTGCTTTTGCTATATGTTTAACAGAATTTGCTCAAGTTTGCGGAGGGATGTTAAAAACTTCGGTTTCTATAAGTTTGACGACATTGGAGTTAAAACGGGGAAAATCATCGTTACGACGAATGTCAGATTCAGTTGGTGCCAAACATGTTCAATGGGATTAAATATACAGTGGTAAGGTGGAAGCGTTAAAACTGTATGCCCTAGATTTTTTGCATAATTATCACAGACGTATTCCTTTTGTAGGTTCAAGCTTTGTGGAACCTCAATTAATTGCTTTTTGCTATAATCTTTTGCTTTTGTGTCACATGAGGAAGGGGTTTTAGTCAACTGTCTACTGTGATCACTTGCATTGTCATCTTTTTCACGCCTCCTGATTAAGATATCTAATGTAGGCACGCTTTGTTCCTCATATAATTGGTAAATTTTACGCCGTAAGATTTTAAATTTGAAAAATGTTGAAGGACTCATCAACTGTGTACTGAAGTAAATAGGATATAACCTCTAAAGCCAGGGCAAAACAACAGACTGTCGTAGTGGATCCAAAAAGTCGAAATAGGTTATTAAGGGAAGCTGATCTGAAATTTGAAAAATGCTGGGTGACTGTCTCATCACTATTTGGTTGACTGCTTCAGGTATTAAAGATGATAACAATGAAAGAAGTAATAAAAGTAGAACACCATAAACCTTGAAGAAGAAGAAGTATCAACGGAAGATAAAAAATATTGAAAGTGTCGTCAAATATCTGGGGAGATAGAGGAGGAGAATGGAACTAATATGTTTGCGAAATACAAGATAAGAGAAGCTGATCTGAAATTTGCAAAATGCCGAGCGACTGTCTCGTCAATTGTCCACTGCCGTAAACATAACATAACCTCTAAAGCCAGGGCCAAACGGCAGTGTAATTTATGCTTCACAGATTTGGTTTTGTAGACTTTAGATAATACATTCCGAGATAGAATAATCAACTAATCAAAAATGTTTTCAATTGCTTCATAACGAACTTAAAAATTGATTTAACTATCGAACACTACGCTGACTCAGAGAGAAAAGGAATGTCATTCAGAAAATAATAATAAAAAATATATAATAACATGTGGAATCCCAAAATACGCGATATGTTATTAAGGGAAGGCGATTTGAAATTTCAAAAAAGCTGAGTAAATATGGCATAACTTCTATAGCCAGAGTCAATCGACAGTTTGATTTACATACATACAAGAAAATCCTAGTTTTATATATTACAGGAAACTGTAAGAGGTGGTCACTTTCAACAGTTTTAGTTGGAATGTTAAAAAATATTTTTAGGGCTAGTGGACGAATAAAACAGAAACAAAAATCTTGGAAAAGGTTATATGTGAGCAGATGCCGTCTCACTTAGATAATAACAAGATTATCCCCCTTACTCAATCGGGATATAAAACTGGACATAGTTGTACTACAGCTCTACCGATGATATATTTAGAGCTACAGATGAAAGCAAGCTGACACTATTAACCCTTTTAGATTATTCATCAAATTTTTATTTCAATGTTAAATTTTATTGGTTTGTCAGAAGACGCAATTGACCTTTTAGCTTCATACCTAGAATACCGATCTCACGCGGTAACATATTACGGTGTAACTTCTTCATTCTTAAATGTTAATAAAGGTATACCTCAGGGATCTATTTTAGGACCGCCTTTCTTTGTTGTATATGGCTCTCGTTTTATAAAATTTCTGTTATCATTATTATGCAGACGATACACGAATTTAGGTTTCTTTTTTTCCCGGTGGAGCTAAGGAAGCCGCCGCAGCCCTAAATTATGAGTTGAACATAATTTATGAGATGTCCACTAAGCATTGTTTGCAATTAAATGCGAGCAAGTCCGCAAGTAGCATTAATAATAATTAATAATGAAAAAAATAAGTTTTGTGATTCGGTGAGAAACTTAGGAATGATAATGGACAATGATTTGAGATTTAAAGTTAAAATTTATATATCAAAATCGTGAATTTTTAAGCAGAAAATATAGAACAATGGTCTGTGAGTCTCAAGTTACGGGGATGCAGCGTATGGCCCTTGTTACTTTCGAAAATCGATGAAATGGAATTTTTCGAATGTGCTCGTATAAAAATTTTATATCTCGGTAACTGTAAGTCCTATGGGATCGCCGTGGTATCTATGAACAGACTTTAACTGTGTGCGGTACATGTAATGAAATATTGCTTTCATTATTTTTACTTTGCGTTTGTTTTTCGCGGGAACGCCCATCTTTTTTTAAGTTATAACTTATAAAATGGAAATTCACGTACTTTTTTTCCCTCTCTTTTATCGGGATAGATAGATCTTTAGTAGACTGAATCTCGCCTTTTTGCCAAAATGTTATCTTATTATTGTTATATTGTATATAATTCAAATAAAGACCTTTATTATTATTGTTATTATTATTATTATTATGTGAAAAAACTATTTCTTGTGGAACGGGTCTAAAATATTGTGGTTTATCTTACAAAGCCCCATTCGCATAACCTTAGAATATAATTTGGTTTAAAAAAAATTGATAGATCAAGGACATCCTTTTCGCTATCAGCTAGAAAAAATTCATTTCTTTTGTAGGAGGAAAAATATAAAAGAAAAAACGTCTACACCAAGTTACAATTTTATTTGACATCAACTAACAGCGAAAGATTGTACAAGCCTTAACGTATCATCATTATTATCCTTATAGAACGTTAGTTGTTATACAAATTAACAACTACAATATACAGTTCTGACATTGTCAATACAATACGTTTCTTGCCGTATAGACCAATCTGTGCGAAACGTCACAAATTTCAAACTATAAATACCAGCGTTTTTCTTTTTTTTTTTACAATATAATTCCAATATCCTCAATATGTAAACAAGTGCCAATTTGGTAATTGACGACAATCTACGCGTTTAATAAATTTAAAAAAAAAGTGACGGGAGCTTCACGCGACATTCTACAAGTAAATACCAAATCTAAAAGGGGGAAATTATTTGGGAGTACAAAACCGTGCCGTAAATACAACAAGCTATGACGATACCGTGATATCATCGAATTGAAAACGGCGTTAATCCCGAAAAAAATTGGAATATTCGACTTTTCGTTTATTTTGGTATCGTCATTATCAATAATAATCTCTATTTAAGCCGTACAAATGCAAATTGCTGATTAAACTTAGACTAGTAACGAGACTGTCGAGATTTCTCATAAAGGAAAAAACAACATTAACCTTATATATATGAGCGTTTATTCTTCAGCTTCAATTCCTATATGGGAAACTACACCAATTTGCAATTACTCATGGAACTAAGGTATATGTTATGATATAATTATGGTTATTGATTATCCGAAAAAAGTTCGATGGGGTTCAGATCTCGCGAGCGCGGTGGCGATTCAAGTATAGTTTTTCTCTAAATTAGTGTATACTAATTGTATTTTTTAAGAACTGTTTGTATTGAAAGGCCCTTATGTTGTGGTGCTTCTTTAAGTGAAGCGATTTGCTTAAAATGGGAGTCGCTCTTGTTTACATTCTTCACATGGTCACGACTCTCATATTGTAGTTACAAAACTTTTAGAAATATTTAAACATTAAGTTTCAATACTTATTTTCAGCCACATTTGTTAAACGCGATTTTTTTTGTTTTTTTGAATATCGACTTTTAACATGACAACTGGGTGTTTTTCAAAATTAAATATCGATGATGATATTTATCACGCAAAAATAAGTCTGTTTTACCGTAACCGTAACTGCTTTGCTTTTTTTTTAATATTACATTTTTTAAAATTTTGAGCGTTACCATCGAAGTTTTATCAAAATCATTTTTAAAGCTTTTAAATAACGGAACAGTACGTTCGATACAAAAAACAGAAGAAATGAAAAGTTTTATTTTTTATCGCTATATTAAAATGTTCTGAAATAATTGACAAAGAAAAAATTTTTTTCTCAAAACAAATAAGAACTAAAAGTTAAGATTTTCACGAAATTATATATTTTTACACGACAATTGTGTCGACAACACCGTGTCTTTATCAAATGTCTCTGATTTGATAAAGACACGATGTTGTCGAAATAATTGTCATGTGAAAATATATAATTTCGTGAGAATCGGAACTTTTAGCTCTTATTTATTTTGATAAATGGATTTTCATCAAGTAAAAGCCACCTCAGTTTCAAATTTTTTCTATAAACTTTCAAAACAAAATGGGTTAATTATTTTTTTGGTTTATGAATTTGTTTGTGGTATTTGATCACATTATAAATCATGAAATCGCCCTCATTTCAATTGTTCATCACACTTCAATGGAGTGCCTTGTAAATTCGTATCATTATTTTTAAATGATATCACACGAAAAGTAATACGTAACCAATCAATCAGGATGGTATTTTGATTCGTTCCATTTGCTATTAAGATTCTTACATCCAGGTTTACAACAACAGCTTTGGTTAGCAATCAACAATTCTGTTACTTATAAATGCTCAGTGATGATATTTGAAAGTGACCATGAAATTGCTAATATTAAAAGCAATATTAAGGAACTTTATTTTGGCTTTTTGTAGCAAAAACTTCTAAGTTGCACACGGTAATCTAAAATCAATTGACTCATTAAACATTTGCTTTGGTATGATCTATTCATAGATATAAGAAAGTGACCAATTGCTTTTGAACGGATTATCCAAGGGTGGTCATTAACATACAATGCAACAAGATTATTATTATTAATTACTGTAATTATTAATTAATAATTAAGGTAATAATCTTGTTGCATTGTATGTCAATAACCACCCTCGGATAATTCCATTCAAAAGCAATTGGTCACTTTCTTATATCTATGAACAGACCATACTTCCTTGTTCTCCCACTCCAAACGATGTCTGTTCCTCTGTAACCTTTGTCACTCTGACTTTGCTACCTGTACGAAACGAAGATGTTCACAAGCTCGATAGGGACGCTCGGGAAAGGTCTTCACGATCCGCTAAAGGTCCACACCGTCGAGTAAAATAAACGTGAACTTTTTTCGAAAATCCCGTAATCTCGTCACTAATCCAAGCTTAAAATCGTCCCTACTACTGCGAAAACTGTGGTTTTACGGCGATTAAAAAAAATAGACCGGATAATCCATAATATGGTACAGTAAAATACCGGTTCGTCCGTTAGTCGTAATATTTAACAATTATGAAGAAATAGCTAAATACGTTCTTAAAAATATGAGCGAGTTTTGGAGTTCCTATTTAACGAAGGGACCGGGAACATCCGGTCCGCTTCACTTTTGACTAGTTTTTATCTTCCCTCGTACAATAAAATAAAAACGAAATTAACAATGTTATATATATATATATATAAATCTATATGTATATGTATATTATATATGGCCCGAAAAATGAAAAACTGACCCTAATAATAAGAAAATCGGAAAACGAAACTCCCCAAACAATACTATTTGTACACTTCTTTTATATATTACAACTTATTTACAAACCCAAAAAACAAACACGTCCGTACCGTACGAAAACTTCGAGAAATGCGATTCCTCCGTTTTTTTTTTTCGCTCCTCTACGAACCAGATTGTCGGACTTCGTCGCCCTTCCCAATCCACAGCCTGTGCGTCGGTCTCTCGTGTGTCGACAACCGAATCGCCTCAAATTCCTTACGACGTCTGCCGTCCGAACGATAAATATGTCGTGAAACAATCGCCGCCAGGCGGCGCAACGATCGGCCGCCATTAAGTCTCGCGTTCCTTTTTCACTTTGTACTCCTCGCCCAAGATGGTCGCTATTTCCCCTTGCATGAACGCCCACGGAACGTTGGAGTTCGCTAATGGACATTTCTCGCCGCTGGGACAATACACCTGCCAAAAGAAACGGGACAGATAGAGCCAAAGCGATCTCGACGAGTAGCAGGTAGTTAGAAAGAATAATAATAATAATACCCAGATGAAAAATGGAAATGAGAGTTTCGTAGTTTACCATGGGATTAGATACGGTTTGAAGGGGGCGGGGCTATGGGAGCGACATCTGCATGATCTATATTGACTTACTTCACGAAAAGAACTTACAAACGTGGAAAAAAGGAGGCGAGGATGGAAATAATGGAAAGTTGATTTTATGGGAGAAGAAAACTAAGCGGTTCACGTAAAATACACGTAATATTCCGCGGGCAGGAAAATTTGGTGTTATTCCACTTAAACATTATAAAAAAAGTGACAGAAAAAATACATGTTTATTTTTTGTATGGAAGTCGGGGCTTGTTATTTTAGTTAAGTATTTTCCAAAGATATTGGGACATGTCGGTTATAATACGTATCTAAAATCAATCTCATATGTGTATTTTATTTTGATAGATGTTGTGGCTTTCCAATATCACAATAACTGTTGCAAACTTTCAGTATTTTAAAAAAATTGTTGCTATTACATCTTCGATACAATTATTGGTAAAATGCCGAAAATACATATTTCCTACGTATTTTTTTAGGCCCTTCAATTTTTCTCTCTTGATATTTTTTGATATATGCGATGGTTTTGGAGATATAACAAAATTTTGGACCTTTTTTGAAACCTTTTGGTCAAAGGTATATCCGGGGACTTTTCGTATGTTACAAAGGAAGTATAGTGACACCTCGTCCAGGCTTTATAAAAATTTGTTTCTCCTAAACATTTATTTGTATTGTACTAAAAGGCAGATTATATCGACCTCTAGCGAAGTAGCACTGAAAGTCAACCAAGAGATGGCGAAATACAGCGAACAAGATTTTGGAAAAAGTTGTAACAGTCAGTCAAGATTCACCCATACACCTGACGATGATGAAGAAGAAGAAGTCTGCATGAAAAAAAGTTGTAACAGTCAGTCAAGATTCACCCATACAACTGACGATGATGATGATGAAGAAGAAGTCCGCATGGAAGAAACTTGTAACAGTCAGTCAAGATCCACCTATACAACTGACGATTATGATGAAGAAGAAGTCTGCATGAAAAAAAGTTGTTGCAGTCAGTCAATATCCACCTATACACCTGAGGATGATGAAGAAGTCCGCATGGAAAAAAGTTGTAATAGTCAGTCAAGATCCGTCCACATACTTGACGACGATGATGAGGATGAAGTCCATTTTCTAGCAAAGACGTACCTCAGATCCGGCGCCCTGCCTCTTGATGCTCTCCCTGCTGCAAGGGAAGCAGAACTTGTGGTGTGGCACCGAAGGGCATTGCACGAAATGGGTGTCCTCTAAACGTTCCTGGCAGAGGGTACATTTTAAAGTGGCGGTCGATGCGGGTGTGGTCGCTGCCGCGACGTTTTCCCCGCTTCCGGGCATCGCTTCGTTCGCACCCGTCATCGCTCCCGCCTCCGTAGAAGTAACCGTGGTAGAAGACACGTGCCTCGATCCCGACGATCTCCTGCTGCTCGAAGATCCGGCTGGAATCCGATCGAAGTTTCAATGAAAAGTCTTTAATTCCCGGAACATTGGGTTACGTACCTGTCGAATTAGGCGAGTGCTGAGAACCCCTAGAAGCTGACCTGGGGACGACGTTGGTCGGTGGACTGCCGCCGGTGGAACGGGGACTGCCGGGGGGTAAATTTTCCGTGGCGGACATTAGGGCGGCCATGGGGCTCTGTCCGGATCCCGGTTGGGGCTGATTCTGTTGCACGCCACCCGACTGATTGGCTTCCGGTGGCGAACCGGTCCGGTTTAATGGGGAACTGCTGGTACCGTTCGCGCTCGCTATCGATACCGGTACTAAAAAGAATAAACGAGATCGTAATTGACGGCTAAATTTATTAAAAACGTGTTAGTTGGATTGACTGGCTTGACAATTGAAAAGTTTCCATTAAAATTTAAACGCGTCTCTGTTCTTATTTCGGTTTTCTTGCACGAACTTCATCGAAAAATAATAAGGATATATCGTGCTGCAATGTTGGGGATTTTTGCAAAACTGCGCAAGAGATATAAGAGAAGGATGTGGAGGTATAATACGACCAAAAATATAGTGCAATTATTGCTTTGTCGTTTTAAGTATTTTCCAGTACCTTAACGTGGTAAAATCCAGCCCGACAGATGTTTATCCTGCGTTAAGTAGGTTTTACCCGAGATGGACCGTAACGAATGTTTGTAGAAACTTATTCAACACATGGGTTTTTGATTTAAAAAACTTGACGAAAGACAAGTTTTAATGGAATCTTTTAGAATTCGGCGACTGGAATATCTAGAAAAAAATAGGATTTACAGAGAACAACAAAGGCCAATTATTTACTTGGATGAAACCTGGTCCGACACTTACGATACCCCGGAAAAGGGCTGGGTTGACTCAACTGATAAGTGTAAAACAAACGCGCCATCAAAAAGAGGGAATAGAATAACTATTTTGCATGCTGGCTCTAAAGATGGTTTTGAGAAATATATTTAAGATTCTTCTCTAGATTACCATGAAGACACCACCGCTAATATAAAAAAATATATAAAAACGGATCCATTTGTTTTCGGATGCTACAAACATTGTTTTGAATGTGATAGTCAAGAGTAAAGTGAGAGAAGACGCTAGTTTTAACCCTGGAAGAACTGCATAAAAAAATATTGACGGACCTGAACATCAGTTGTACCAAAGAGACGTTGAGTGCTTTTTTCAAGAAAATGGATTTTCAATTCCAAACAATTAGTAAAAGTGAAAGATTTATCAAGTCAACAATAATTATTTCAGAGAGCTAATCATTCTCAAAGATGCGCTACGAAAGCCGGTTACGCGTTGGCTTATAATATTGCTAAATCTAATAAAGCACTTTCAGATGGAGAATTTATCAAGCAGTGCATGATAGATGTGTGCGATATTATGTGTTCTGAAAAGAAAAATGATTTTGAATTGAAAATATTGATAAAAATCTAATTTCACAACTGACTACAAAAACTCAAAAATTTATTTTTTATTTGTGTGTTTGTACGTATCTGTTTTTAACGTCTGTATTTTAATGTTCTAATTTTTTTTTTTTACTTGTCGACATTATCCAATACTTCTGTTAAAAATCAATGGAAATAAACGTTACTATTATTATTAAAGTGTTAAATGGGATATGTATGGAGTGTGGTTCAAATTTTAATTTTTTACTGTCTCTCAAATTAGGGTAACTACTACGTAATTACTAAAGTTTTACAGCACGAGGAATCTGCGAAATTTGCTTTAATGTAAAACGTTGCCCAAAATTCGATTATTAAGAGTCTAGATAATTTATAAAATGACAAGTTCGCGAATAGATCGGAATAACCGCGAAGTCTGACAACAACGCCCTACTACTTCCCAACTATATCGGCTTGGGAAAGCGAACACGACGCCAGAGCGGCGATCGTTTGGATATAATTAACCGTTGGGATATTTTTATGCCGCGTTCGATCAATCGACCGTGCTGTCGTTTATAACCAAACTAAAAAAAAAAATGCTTCCCAAAGTTACAAATCAGATTTGTGTGGTAGGAAAATGGATCCAAGTTACTTTCCTCTTAAACATTTGTTAAAATGTATTTATTTCTGTTGTCTTAATATCTTTTATGACATTAAAGAACATAAAAGTTTATCCAGGGAAATTGATGACTGGTGAAAACTGATAAGGACATAGCTAGGGAATTTAATAAATATTTTGTGCACTATACTACGTGCACTAGACTATCCGTCAATTTGATGTGAACGTTACGTTATCAACGGGTCACTTTCCAGGAATGGAAGTCATCTTTGGTGGTTCCGGTGCCGAAGGTTAAAAAAGGTACTAAGCTGCATTTTAATTTTAGACCGATCAACACTGTCCCAGTGTATTATTATTAGAACTCGTTGCAAAGAAGCAGCGGCAGAGACATTGTGACGAAAACAATTTAATTGTCTCTAGTCAATCAGGATTTCAGTGTTGAATTTGTTGGGGCAGTAGTTTTGTTTTGGCTGTGTTTTTGACTTTAGAAGGGATTTTGAGACTGTCAATAGGGTTATTCTAATAGATAAGCTAGAAAATATGGGTATAAAGCATTTAGCCCTGGATTGGCTAAAATCTTACTTATCTGACAGAACACAAAAAGTAAAGTGTGAGTCATCTGCGTCTGAGTCTATCTTCTGTATATTAATGATCTAGCTCGAGTTGTGAAAAACAGCAAAATTAGATGATTTGCCGACGATACCATCATAGGGGCCGTTGGTAAGAATATCGAAGAAACGCAGCGAGATATCAATAATGACCTGTATCGAGTGTTTGTATGGCTGTGAAAGTTCTTGCAAAAGATGGGTTTCAACTAGAGCAAGCAAAAATTTAACAAGCTATACAAAATTGTTACTTTACAATAGCTTGGCGGCTCCACATTTGCAATTTTGTTCAACTTTAATGTATAACTATAGACTAACGGAACGTCAGAAAATATAAAACAGAGCAACGCGCGTAATTCCAAAATGTAATACACCTGTAATGACCATGTTACGAGGTTAGCGCCAAAATTTACCCGGCCTGACACAGATGCAGCGCCAGTATCACGATAAAACTTTCTCTTAGTAGGCTGCGAAAAAAAAATTGAAGTCTTGCGTCAAATAGTTTTTTATTGACAGCATTTTAAACAAGACGTGTCCGAAAAAATGCCGCAAACAACGCAAATTGAGTATAGAGCAGTCATAAAGTTTTTGACAGAAGAAGGGTAGCACCTAAAATTATTAAAGAAAGGCTGGATGGTGTGTACGGCCAAAGTTCTCCTTCGTATTCTGCGGTGAAAGAATGGACAAAACGTTTTCGAATGGGGCAGGAGTCCCTTGAAGATGATTCAAGGACTGGTCGACCAGCGGATGTCATAACGGAAGATACTGTTCCGATTGTGGAACAGGCGGTATTGAGTGATCGACGTTTAAAGGTCAAGGAAATCTCAGAAATTACTAAGCTTTCTGATACACATGTTCGTCGAATCCTGCATGATCATTTAAGTATGCATAAGGTTAGTGCAAGATGGGTTCCTAAAAACCTTTCGGCTATTCAAAAACGACGCCGTGTCGAGTGTGCGCGGTCTTTTTTGGAACTCTGTGCGTGGGAACCGAAGCCTGTGATAGAAACTATTGTGACGGGAGATGAAACTACGGTTCTCTATTATGAACCTCTATCGAAAAAAGAATCAATGGAGTATCGTCGTAATGGTGAGGCACCTCCAAGAAAATTCAGAGTCTGCCAGTCAACAAAAAAGGTGATGGCCACGATCTTTTGAGATTGTGAAAGAATTCTGTTGATAGATTTTAAAGAAACTAATACCACTGTTAATGGTAAATATTACGCAACATTATTACATAAATTGCGAGACTGTATACGTGTAAAACGTCGAGGAAAACTGTCCCTGTCCATACTGCCGGTGTTGCACAAGCTGTCATTTTAGAGTGTGGGTTCCAACAGATAGATCATCCTCCCTATAGACCAGATATGGCCCCCAGCGACTATTATTTGTTTGGATATTTGAAAAAGGACTTACGTGGACGGCGGTTTAACGACGAATTTGAGTTAAAAGAGGCTGTTTTAACTCATTTTGCAGACAAACCAAAAGATTATTTTTTTAAAGGGATTGAGATGTAATAAGTGTATTCAGGTTATATTGAAAAATAATAAAAAATTGTTACTCTCCTTTATTTCTTTCATATTCAGGCCGGGAAATTTTGGCGCTGCCCTCGTAAATGTGTTACAAATATTAACTGTAAAGCAAAAAGTAATGTTTGATGCCTTTATATTTATATTGAAGATAAAAAATAGAATGATGCCGCCATACATTGGTAATGGGGTTAATTACTTTAAGAATGTTCATGACTATAACACTAGAAACCGTACTGATTTCATCCTACTCAATCGATGTAAAATATGTTGAATACCATTTTAAGTAATGGTTTGTTAGAGTTTAACAGGCCTCCAAAAAATATTAACGAGTGTGACAATTTAAATGCTTTTAAAAGATTAATAATTAAAACTTATGTATTGTCTGAAATTTTATTCAGATTTTTCTTTACCAATTGTTCTGCTGTTATATACTTTTGTTCTGTGTACTTTTGGACTTATTTAAATTTTGCTACTGGTTCGTATATTTAAAACGTAAATGCGATTGTTTTCTGTTATAGCCTTATGCTAAATAAATAAAGTATTTAAAAAATTTAAAAATATATGGCAAGTTCGATGGAAAAATATGAAATGAATTTATAATTGGGTATATAAAGGTCTTTTTTAATTATCATTTAGGCACATTTATCGGTTCTGTAACCAAATGATCCCATAATAGATTGTCAATACCGAAAATTTCAGTATGTGTGACCTAGGTCGAAATCGTTCTGGGCGTTTGCCGGTGCTGCTTTTATATTTAATGCCATTTAAAAAACGCGCGAGCCGAAAAACAACGGCGAACGACCTTGTAACTTAGTACGCAGCAGAAATATTTATTAAAATGTTACGGCGGAAATTTATTCACGACTTGTTCCGAACGACGAGACGCAATAATCGATTTTTACATCGGGTAGATTAGATTACGCCGTATACGTATTTCGTACTACTTCGTTTTACCCATAGAGAAAACTAAAAAGATAATCGTAGATTCCTAGTGTTCATCAACGCCACCGTGATCTATTGGATCGACTAATTTTCTGTGTGTCTGTTAAGTTATATTTAAATAAACATTTCCTAATTAAATACCAAAATATCACACAAGAAGCGATATAAGGATATAAAATAAAATGTAACCAAAACATCATCAAATAGAAACTAT